TTCTCGATAATCTCTAAACCGATTTGAAATGTTTTGCGTTTTTTCTATATAATTATCTAGTACTTGACGTAGAATTTTTTTCCTTGCTTATCTTTTTTAATAGGCGCAAAATAAGAACCAAGTTAAAAGTATGAACATTTTGTACGCGATAATTAGATATTTTCAATTGTTTTTAATTCGCTTTGATCAAACTGAATTGATACTTGTCATCAATTTATTTTTTGGCAAAATTTTTTATGTTGAATTTTTAAGTTGAGATAATTGAATTTCTTATACAACTATAGATGAAAAGTTTTAAAAATGTGGATCAAGGGCTTATAAATTTTAGTAGAATTTATGAAAAAAGGAGAAGTTGGGAAGATATAATGATTTAATGTTCGAAAGTAGGTTGAAAAGAGAAAAAAGCTAAGGAAAAAGATTATTTTCAAGTACTGTGGTATAAAGATTCGTATCAGAAGAAGGCAACAACAAACAAAATTGGGTGGTAACAGGGAACAAGTATGGAGAGGAGCCATGAGGATAAGACGTGACTAAAGAAAGAATTGAAGTCATTTTTAGAAGGAAAAGAGTGGGTGGCTGGAGGGAAAGGAAGTAAGATAAGTGTGGTCAGAAAAAGAATTTAGGTTGATATTGTAAGATGGGAGCTGATAAAAGATACAGAAAAGGTTGTCAAATAGTGTTAGAGGTACCTATTATAGTTGAAAGGGAGAGAAAAGGAGTTCAAATATTTAGAGTTTAACATTCTATGGAGTATGATGGTAGTTGATTTGGTAAATTGAACACTTAGGTCGACTACTTAACTAATTGTAAATTAGGTTTTTGATATATATTTAGGGCCAGTTTCGCCAACTCCGATTAAAAGTTAATCAATGATTAAAGTCATTTTAACCGCCCATGATTGTTCGGTTAAGGATTTAATCATTGATTAACTTTTAATCGGAGTTGGTGAAACTGGCCCTTAGAGCCTTTACTTCTCATGTTAATTAAAAACAAAAATCTAGATTATTACCTATTATAAGAATATTATAACTTATGATAAAGTTATTATAAACGCATAATTGGAGTATTTTGTTAAGAATAAACTATTTGAAAAAAGTTTATTTATAATTGAATAAATTTTGTTTTATGTAATAAATAGAGTATCAGATTAAATCGGGCTAAGAGTCATCAGCCAGGATTTAACAATTTAAATTTGCAAAGCAGTAGCTTAAGGAAGTATCTTGAAAGTGCAGGGTGCCGTTAGAAAACTTTTATTGCTGTAAAACTGCCATAAAACACTGTGCCATTGCTGGGGCATAACAATTCTTATGACTGTTCTTCAGAGCTGACATATTTCGGCTCACCTGTAAACATTTAGAATTTATCCTTCATGAGACAAATATTCTAGTTCACTCTTAACTTAAAAGTATCAAATTGCAACATAGGTATTAATTCCACATCAAAACTACAACTTGAAAATAAAAATTCAAAAATTCATAAGAATTTTCTTTATAGGAATGAAATTCTCTGCATAAATATATTATAAAACTAATGGAAAGGATCAAAAATAGTTTTTTAATTATTATTTTTAAGAACTATCCCCATCCTCTAGAGATTGAAGTTTCAAATTTATAAAAATTTACACCGCACGAAGAAAAATTCTTTCTCTACATTTTTAGAGCTGATACAAGGAAATTTAAATGTTCACCAGTAATTTTTTTTAAAAACTACCCCTACCCGACTAAACCACTTCTAAAGTTTGAAATTCAAAATTGATAACTATTTACACAAATAAAATTTCTTTTAAACATATCTGGGATTTTACGGGATAAAAATTTATAGAAATCTATAAAAACTATGATGCATAAAGTGTTTTACATTTATGTATCCATACTTATAGTTAACCTAAACATTTTTTTTACAAAAATTATGCTGGAAATGCATTATTATGAAGATACATTTTAAATTAAGATATTTCAGGGTGGTAGCAAAATTTAATTTTCAAAATTCCCTGATTTTTCCCTGACTAATTTCTCATTTTCCCTGATTAACAAATTTTTTAATTATTTAACATTGCTGATTAAAAGTTTTATAATGCTCTTTCAGTAACAATTTTACTTTATAAAGGAAAACATAAGATGAAGTCTAAACACCATATCTAAACATTCATATTTTAGTAAGATTTTTTAATTTGTGGTTTCTTTCGATTAAAATTCAATGTGTAGGTAACGTAATTAATCTCTTGTACCTCTGAACAAATCGTCGATTTAAATAACACAACTTGCATTATGTCTATTAGATAATTCTTGATACTAATTATTCGACTAAAATTATAGATTCGAAATAACAAATATGTCGAAAACTGATAATTCTGTTAAGTGAGTTTTATGGGATAATCAGGATCCCCTTGATATTCCCGTGAAATGTCTTCCTGATTTTCCTTTAGAATGGAAAAATTCTGAGAATTGCTACTTTCAAAAATATTTTAATATAATTTTAAGAATCTGATTTTCATTAATTTTCATTTTTAAATTTACACTTGAAGATATTTTTCATTAAAATTTTTGACAATTTAATTATTTTCAACATTTTTAATGAAAGGGACTTTGTGGTCAAGGATTTAAAAAAAAATTATTTTGTGACGCGCTCCGAAGAAAGGTAAATAAGAAGCAAACGAATTGTAGGTTATGTTTATACTACATTTATCTTGATTAGAAGTTTATTTTTAATGATGTAAATTTGAAATCAGTTTCTGTTGAATATTTTGTCTGCAACTAATATTTGAAGATTAATAATTAATTCTTAGTAATAATAATTAATTCTCTTTTTGTATTTTTACTTCATAAATTAAAAACATAATCCTGAAACTGTTTGCTTCTTAGGTACGTTTCTTCGAAGCAGAACACATTTTTCCTTGAAAATGTTCCTTAATACCATAAAATTGAGGCTCCGGATCTTAAAAGGGCACTTTCACCATGTAAAGTCTATGCGGAAAGTGCCCTTTTAAGATCCGGAGCCTCAATTTTATGGTATTAAGGAACATTTTTGAAAAAATATGCAAAAAAAGGAAAAAAATTTCTGTGCGTAAAATAATTACTTTACCCATTCTTGTGACTGTTTGATGAGAAACAATGAAATAAAGCTTCTTTTAAACAACAATTTACAATCCCATTTTTTTATTTTAGCTTCTAGAAAACTTCATTTAACAGTTCCCCCACTACAACTGAACTTACAGTAATATTGGCAATATTGCTGCAAGTATCATAAATAACTATTTTGAGGTTTGTTGTCTACACAGAGAAAACGGTAATCTAATTGTAAGATAAGCTTCTACTTAAATAGGAGCCAATGGCTCCTATTTAAGTAGGCGTTTCTTAAAATTCGTTTCTTAAAATATCGTTTTTTCTGTGATAGAAAAACCCTTATGAAGAGAATCCTGTTTGAATTTTTAATTTATGTAAAATAGGTTGCCCGGAAACTTTCTCCCCGAAGAAAAGGTACTTTTTGAAAGACGCCACCTACAGTTGCGAAAATTAACTAAAAATACTCAAAAAAAAATTTTTATTCTCTTCTTGTAATATGTAACAATATCCAAAAGGAATCCGAGGCCTGAAATTACATAGTAATGTTTAATTTTATTACAATAATTCAAATACAAATTGTTTATGCATACATAGGATTGATGTCAATTTTTCAAAACAATTCTTTTTGAAAAACTGATTCTTGTTCAACTTGCCCTAAACCTTAAAAGCACATGCTTTCAACCCAAAATAAGATTAATGATGAAATAATTTTCAATAGAAAGTGTTAAAAATACACCAAATCTGTAGAGTTTGTTTTAAATGGTGTTTTCTCCATTTTTTCCACAATATTTTGAAATTAATAATACATTTAATTTGATAAAACCGTATATTAATTTAGAGATAAAGCTGAAATTTGATTTCTGAAATGTAATTCAGTTCAATTTTTCGTTCTTATTTAAAGAAATACTTGCGCACAAAACATTTAATTTAAAAAAATTCCATGTTTTTGATCTCGCATATTCTGTAGATGAAAAAGTCTTATTATTACACGGGAAACCAAATGCAATTTTTTCTATGTTTGTGGAATTAAATAAATTTTCATCCTATATTATGAAGTTGAAAGACTTATTTCTACTCTCTTAATTTACAATAAGAAAACAACTTACAAGGAAGAAAAAAATTACTTTCAAATTAAGGTATAGAGTTAATAAATTTAGTTTAAACAATAAAGATTAATAAGATAAGTTTAAGATAAAACCGAATCAATGATTAGACGAGTATTTTTATACGCAGATACTGCTGCTACTTGACTGGTCAAAAAAAATCAATAAGATGAGAATAATAATTTAAACAGATTAAGTAAATAAAAAGTACCAATTAATTACATCGAAATAGTTCAACATTTGACCGCAATAATTTGGAGATCAATATTTCAAAGATTGCCCGGAAATATTGAGGTGATATTGCCAGGAAGAAAACCTAATTTCGATAATAACCTGCCATCATATTCTGGTCAATATTGTTTCAAATTTTCAAGTATAATATTGCCTCAAGGAGAAAATAATTAAGTTTTCAAAATTACTATAGCACAAATTAATTGCTGTAGCTATTAATTAAGTTCGCTTTGAGGTAAAATTTCTTGAAAGACAATAATGGCCTTAATATTTGCACTTAATTAAGTATTTTAAGATTTGATATTGTCAGGAATAGCGATATTGATTCGTGGTGGACGTAATCAATATTCAAGTAATATTGCCTCAGTATTCAAAAGTAAAATTCAGATAGTATTGTAAGACCATACTATGCTACTTGATAGAGAATCAGAAATGCTTTTTCCTAGACAAAAAATTGAAAAATAACTATGAAGGGTTCACGTAAAATATGAAGAGCGAAAAAAGTATTGGTTCAAATTTAAAATTCAGTGAAAACGTTTTCGGGGATTTAGAGAAAAGTTTGTCAAATCTGTTGTTTTTGAGGAAATTTTGTAATGTTACTCACCTCATATTTTATTCCATTGAGACGCAACCATGTTTCTACTTTCAGACAATAGGGGGAAACAGAAGGTAAGAGAGGTGATCGTGGAAGCTGGTATAAATACACTACATCTTTTTCAAAATCACTTTTGTGTACCGGAACATCTTTTGCTGAAGCAACATTCGTATCTCCGGAAGTTTCCTTTTTTTCGCATTCTTCTTTCTTTGTATTCTCATTATCAGAATTCTGCTTTTGCTGCTTGTTTTCCAATGTTGTTTCAACTTCCTTAATATCCTTAGTATCACTTACTTCAACAGGTGGACTAATTTTCTCCGTTTCAGTAGTCATGATCAATTAGAAATTGTGATTTTCTTTTATACAATAAACAATTAACGTGCTAATATCAATATCACCCTAAAGATCCGTTTCTCTTTAATAAAAATGACTCTTTAACTGTTTACAATTTACTACTATAGTGAATAACAAAGAATTAGAATGCTACGTTTCTTAGAATAATTGAAGATAAAAAAGTATTTTTATACGAATAACAATGAGCCGCACGAAGCACTTCTGCAAGCATCTACAATTCCAACCCAACTCATTCTCATCCCTTTCTTTTCCGTATCAGGGATATCATTACGCATGCGCATGCGCCACACCCCGGCGCTGTTGCTGTATTTAATTTACTGCCACCCCTATTTCCAAGCGAACTCTGTTTTCTTCGAGAACAGCTTAACAGTTTTCAACACAGTATCACACATTTTATTTATTAAAACTAAATTGTCAGGATTTTCTTACAAAATTACAATCTACATGGTAAATTACTGTAGGAAGGTCAATTTTTTTAAATTCGATACATCAAAAAAATACTTTCTACATTGATCTTTAACAATTCTTTTTGTAAAATCAGTTATGAGAATACTATCCAAGCAGCATGTTATATTGTCTTAATAACACTGTAATATTACGTTGGATATACGTAATATTAGCTGTGATTTTGAAGTACCTAATATTATATCACAGACATCAAATATTAATGTATAATAATTTTTTCGACTATTTAAAAAAAAATTCGACTTTTCTTCCAAATACTGTCAAATTTTTCCAAAATTATTTTTGAATAATTTTTCAAATTATATTTTTGAAATATACAATTAAAAAGATTTCGGATAATTGAAATTACCCGTATGTAAAATTTAATTGAAAATAAAAAAACGTTTCGAAACGTTTGAGTAATTTTTATATTAAAAAACCAGTTGTCCGAATGTATTCGCGTAAAAAATTTTTTACCTACTATTCCAATTAAAAATCAACTCGGACGTAAAAGTTTATTCAATATTTTTTTAAGTATCTTATTACAATTTTTAAAAATCAACTTTTCCGATTTTGATAAAATTTAAATGTTTCACTGAACAATAAGGGTAATTTAAAAAAAAATTTATGTATAAAGAATTTTATCAAAAAAAAAACTCAAGAAGATAAAAATTTTAATCCAAATAAAGTTTTCTTGATGTATAAAAAAAATTTTTTTTAAAATTATTTTGAAAATCCACTTGAAAGAGTATTTTCTAAAAATTTCAAAGTAGTAACTTCAAGAATTTCTTTTTCGTTGAATTTTGATTCGACCAAAAAAAAAAAAATTCTTCAAAATTTCAAAAAAAAAATTTTATGAGTATTATGTAACATTTGTTGAAAAAATTTCTTTTAAATAACATTTATTGGTCCATAAAAAATATTTCAAATTTATCAAAATTGGTTAAGTGGTTTTTGAGAAAAATTGATTTTTTTATTTTCCTTTCTCCCTCCATAACTCCCATAAAAATGCACTTTTTGAAGTTATCCTTGGTGAAAAATTTTATGATGGATACCAACTTGTGAAGTAGGGGCAAAATTTTCATTCTAATTCCGCTAGGACCTTTTGAAAATAATTGATTTCTCAAAAATTTTAATAAAAAATCTTCAAGTGTAAATTTGAAATTGAAAATTAATGAAAAAATTAGCTTCTAAAAATTATATTTAAATATTTTTGAAAAATAATAACATTATTTTCAAAAAATTACCTCAAAATATTTTTAAAAAACTAATTCTTGGAATTGTTTTATGATAATTTTTTAAAATTCAATTATCCTCGAACAAAGTACATATAAATTAACAATTTTGTAAAATTTACTTTTTTTGATTTCTTACAATTTTCTAGAAATCATGTTCATATTTATACCCATAACTAAAATTCTTCAAAACATCCATTAATAAACTTTTTCTAAACTATGTTCTATCAGTTGAAGTAAATTACTAAATCCCAAGTAGAAATGTCCGGAGTTAGGACGGAGTTAAACACCGACATGGTACTGACTCAGTACTGACCGTCGGTACTGACTTTCGGAACCCGATCAGTACTGGGAGTATACTGACTCCAAAACCGAATCAGTACTATGTCGGAGTTAGAAAAGTTCTAAAATCAGTACTGGCAGAAAACTGGCTTAACACTAAATCAGTACTGCGAAGGAGTTAAAAAAACAATCAAAATTTGTTATAATGTAAATAAACATTAAACATCGTTTGATTTATTAACAATTAAAATATTTGCAAAGATTTGTAAAAACATTATTCATCAACAATAATATCAAACATTTTATTAATTTATTATTAACTAATAGATATATTTTAATAATATAATAATAAATTATTATTAATTAATTATTTTTAGAATTATTACGTATTATTAATAATAAAAAAAATTTTATTTTTTAAAGCTGTATATATATTTTTATTTATTTATTTAACAAAAATTTTTCTTAAATAAATTTTTTTTTATTATTATTTTAATAAACAATTAGATTATAAATAATAAATAAATAATTATATTAATAATTTTTACCATATTATTATGATGTATCTATTAATTACTACATAATGACTTGATAAAATGTATATAAAGATATATGTATAATAATTTTTCTTGAAATAAATATAATATGCAGTGGATTTATTATTAAAGCACTGTATATATCGGTCCCACAATTCAAAAGGAAGTTTATGCGAGGTAACTCCCGAGCTTGCGTGGCTATGCGGTATGTGTATTCGACTTGCGTCCTCGAGGTCTAGGGTTCGGTCCCCCGTGCGTGCGATATTTTTCCGTCTTAGTTTAAAGTGTTTTGTGTATAATTCTTAACAGTGTTACATAAAGTATAAGTTTAAATAATTAATAACCAGTAATAATAATAATTTAGTCATTAATTTAAATAAATAAGATTTAAATAAATAATGAAAAAATAAGAAAAATATTTTTTTAAAACTTCTTTTAATAAAAGGAATTCTAATAATTAATTAATAATAATTAAAACTAATAATAATTATTAGTATTCAATAAATTACTCCCCATGCTTTAATAATTAAATAAGGAGCTTATACTGACCGCCGGTAAAAATCAGTACTGGACAGCGTTACCAGCCAGGGTTTTCCCAGTACTGACTTAGTACTGGAGTCAGTAATGCAATACTGGCAGTCAGTACAAGATCAGTACTATGCCAGTATTACATTTCTACTTGGGATCAAACAATTTTTAAATTACTTACCAATTGCTACCCTTAAGTCATACATAATGTAATTGTTGAGTGCTTTGCAATTATGGTAAAATGCAAACAAAATTAAAAAGACGACAATAAAACTCATATAATTACGAATATTTTTAAATACAAATTTTTTGAAAATTATTGTTTTATTACATATATTATTTTTTGTACTTCATTATATTTACTTTAATGTTTTTACTGTTCCTTTGAGTGTTTCTAAATAACAAAATTTAACTTTCTCAAGTTCTATTTAAAAAGCTGTTTGTAATCTTTAAAAATTGATAAAATATTTGTCATAAAAAATGGAAAAAAATTTTCTTATTACCATTTTTATATTTTTTATAACTTTACAAGAAATTCATGAAAGCAAACATGAAAGAGTGCGGAGATAACTTTGGCTTGACTTTGGATTTTATATACACGAAATTCATGAGTGCAAACATAAAAGACAAGGAGATAATTTTGGTTTGACTTTGGATTATGCATATATTAATTTGAGAAATTAATATATCTTATAATAATGTTAGCAACATGGTTTTTAAAACTAAATAGTCTCAAAAAAACTTGGTTTACATTACAAAAAAAATTATTTTTTAAATTTATTAACTTTAGAAAGATTTTAATCTTCTTTTTTTTAAAACTCTCGTTATTAAATTCCTAAGAGATCCCTCTCGTGACCGATTTTTTAAAAAATCACTGTAAAAAGAAAGGTACCTTTTTTTATAGTGAACTTTTAATTTTTTTTTTATTTAGAATCATTGACACAAATTTCAATTTGACATAAAACTCGTTTGACACATAAAATTCATTAAATGTAAATTTCATTTGATATAAAATTTATTTAACATCAATTTATTCGACACAGATTTCATTTGACATAAAATTTACTTGACATAAATTTCATTTGACGTATAAAACTCATTAAACATAATTTTCATTTAACATAGATTCCATTTGACATGAAAATATAGGCGCAAATTTTAATATTGACAATGTGTTAATTTAATATTACACAATGTGTTCTTGATAATATCTAATCGGTTACTTTTAATATTCGCTCCGATATTTTTATGTCAAATGTAATTAATGCAAAATGAGTTTTAGGTGAAAATAAAATTTATATCAAATGTATTTTAAGTCAATATATATATATATATATATATATATTAAACAAATTTTACCTCAAATTTCAAGTGCATTGTTATGTCAAATGGGAATTATATGCTAAACGAGTTTTATGTCAAATGAAATTTATGTTAAATGGTTTCATTTCAAATGACTATTATATCAAGTAAGATTTCGGGTGTAGTCATGCGTCTAAAAACCGTCTTATATTTGAATCTAGTATATCATTATTTTATATTAATTGTTTTTCATTAAGCGATGAAAGTAAATATTATATTAAGAAATGCTATTTTTATGCGAAAAATGTTTTTTTCAAGGTTTATAAATAAATAAAAAAAATTAAAGCTTTTTTTAGAAAATCGGCCTCGAGGGATCTCTTAGGACTCTAATAACGAGTATTTAAAAAAAAGAAGATAAAAATCGGTTAAGATTTACGTGCTCTACGCTATTTTGAACTTCGTTTTTCGATTGAACGATGGTGCCACTTGGAGGGTAAAATTTGTGGCGTGTTATTTCAACACCAAATTCGGTGTTAAAATAACACTCATTTTCTGTGGTTGTATATGAAATGAAAAAAGTATCAGTCGCGTTGCATTTCTTTTAACTATTGTGACTAAGCAAAGGGTGTGGAATGATCAAAATTCGGAAAGGACTTTTTCAAGGCCCTAAGCCCTAATAGTTCTCTCAATGTAGAGAAAATCCGTTGCGTGTTGTTTTAACACCACATTTTGGTGTTAAAAAAACACTTCCCTTTTACGTGCGGCCGGGTTCAGCCATGAAACGAACGTGATTCATAATTGGCTGCGTGATGTCTGACCGAACGTTTCTTCTTCTACTTATACTTTGATGTCTGACACGTATTATACGACATCGATTTTCCCTTCGTGTCTCCTCCAACACGTATATACCAAAAATTCCCTAATCCTATCGTGTCGCGACACAACATAAGTATTGATTTTCCGTGTACATCCAGTTTTGAACACGTTTCCAGTAGAGAACTCTGTGGACAGAGAAAATACTATTACGAAATTTCAGAGATTAATTCACAACGACGCCAGCGCCAACAAGTGTGCTCTTTCAACTATGAACATTTCACTTAAATGTATTTGTATATTTCACTTATTGATTAGTGAAGAAAAGTTCATCAATAAAAATACTCCCTCATTCAGAACTTATAGAGACAATTTATTTTGGGGTTTAACTGGATTGAATGGATCTGAAGTTTTAGGAGAAATTAATCATTATACTTCTATTTAGAAAGGGTATTTGTTGTCTATGTCAGAAGACTAAAGAAACCCTAAAGAAACCCTAAAGTGGTCGATAATTTTCGAGTGGGAGGGTATGTACACGTACAGTTTGACAAATTAATGAAACGGACAAAGCTGATCAATAAACTTGATGATTGTCTTTGATGATTGTCAGATTGTCCTTTGATTGGGGGTTGAAAGTAGTTGACAAATAGACTTGAAATATAAACTTCCGTACCATCGAAGATTCTGCGGGGATCTACATTGCCATCGAAGATGGTACAGGGTTGAAATATTTTCAAAACTCAAAAACGAAATTCGCTAAAATTGAAAATTGAAAATAGAAAGAGAAGTAGTTGAATGCAAAAATTTTGACGCCCTTCCATCGACTCCTGTTGATAGAGATTTCCCCCTTGTCGTGGGTAATCACCCTCACACTATCGGTTTCCAAGACCCTCAAGCCACTTTTCTCGTGATGGTAGCTTGCGCCATTTTGAAAGTTTCCTGACGCAGTGACCCACCCAGTGCTAGCAGCACAAATAGTGCTAACATTGCCAATAGTACCTATCAGTAAGGCAACGTGATCGCGCCGGGGTACTTTTTTTCGTGATCAGACAAATATATTTTCTCATCAGTGATCGATTGTCACTCGCCGTGAAAACAGACTAATTTTAAAACTCCTCTCGATAATTCACAGTTTTCGCATGTCGAGCTAAAAATTACACGACTCAACATTTTTTCAAGTGAAGAAAAGTGATTGACAAAGTTGACGGTGAAAAATGCGGGGGATAATTAAATTGACTTTAGCGGTCGGATTCTTTATTGTTCAAATAAAGGTGAGAATATTATATAAATATTATAAAAATATCCATCAATAATTTCAAAAGCAATGTGTAATTTCGAACCATCCCCTAATTTTCATATTTTTTTAATAGTTTCCTTACATTAATATTTTTATTACTTATTCAGAGCTTTTACTATTATATTTCGTTTAGAATTTCAATTTTAATTTAATTTCAATTCAATTTTATTTCAGTTACAATTTAATACCAAAAGTATGAAGAATTAATTCTTTTGTTAAAAAGATTGATATTTTTTTGTTGAACAAAATTGTAATATTTTTATGACAAATATTGTCCTTGATATTAATATTTCCTTTGTTATTGTAATGAGGAAATTATTGTATAACTATTTAAGGGTAACGATGGCAAAATGCAGTAAATATACATAAAATTGTTTATTTCGCGAGAACGACGTAGTCAATTTGAGAATCATCCCCTTTGAAATCGATAAGTCGCTAGTGGACTGTAGATGTCATTTAGAAGCAAGGAATATTATTTAAAGACAGAGTTCACTACGTACAAAGTTTTTACAAAACTAGCATATCATTTGCTTGTGCAAAATAAAAAATCCCATTAAAAAACCAGGTGTATGAACTTTCGACAGTAATAATATTATAATACTACGTACTTTGAATTTTAAACAAACGCTCGTAATATAGTTTATTAAAATATATGGAATTATTTTTTGCCAACGCAATTGTTAAAAATTTATTAACTCAAAACATTAAATTATCATTTTAGTTAATAATTTTGTTTATTATTATTCAACATTTATTTTTAATATTACTGCGTAAATATTATATAAAAATAATAAGAATAACATTTTTAATGATTGTATTTATTATTAGAGTATTATTGACAAATGAAGACAGGTACTTACCTGTTTTCATTTGACAATAATAATTGTCTATAATAATAATTGTTAATAATAATTTTTTATAATAAAATTTTCATAAAATAAAAAAGTAATTACAATACATTATTATAGAAGCAATCACAACAAAGAGCGACGCAAAAATATTTAATGAAGCAAACTGAGTTTAATATGATTGAAATAGAATTATATTGTAATAGTATTACCGTCTATATTGGAGACATTGTCAGGACGAAAAGGACTACTTTTTTAATTTACATGAAAGCAAACTTTTTTTATCAAATCAAAATTTCTATTCGCCTTCAAAAATATTCCTTTTAGAAATATGCAGAAAATGATGGTTAAAAGTATGATTATATAAAATAAAAATTTATTGACAAACTTTTAACCTTTAGAAATAGCCATTCGTGAAACACTTTGCGAGTGGGGTAACGTATTAACATTTTGTTAAATGTCTTGTAATTATTCAAAATTCTTATTAAATTTAAATATTTAAAAAAATTTTATTTTTTACTAAAATTATATAATTACTACCTAAATAACAATTTTGCTATATTATTGCGTATGTTATATATTATAAATAAAATCAGATTTTTGTCTGTACATTGCTTACACGGAAAAAAATAAGTTTTTTATTATATGAATTTTAATTTTAATCAAAAATTGCCATTTTTTTTTATTTTTTTTTAAATTAAAATTAGCTTTCAAGGCAAAAAAATTAGCTGTGAGAAATAATTATTAGTTAACTAATAATAATATAACAATAATTGCTATTCAATAGCGCATATTGAATATTGAAATTGAATACATATTGAATAGCTAAAAACAATAGTTATTATAGTGTGGCTTAAACAGGGTTGCCACTTGAAATATTTTTTTAAAAAATCCATTTAAACTTTTTCAAAAGTTAATTCTACATAATTGTTAGTTAAAAGTATGAAAAATTCAAATTTTCAAAGATTTTCATTTGAAACCTTTTCAAAATTCAATTATTTCAAGAAATTGACGCTATAATGCTTTTAATATTCAATTACTAGGTATCTAAAATTTTAACTGAAACTCATTTTCAATTAAATTTTTAATAGAAAATTCTACGAGAATTCTATTATTTAAATAAATAATGTATTAAATAATTGAATGTTTCTTAAAATTGAATTCTCATAAAGAATTTTATCAACTAATTTTTAAATAAATAAATTTTTTCGACGAATTTTAACAGCAAAATTTTTTAGAATTAAATTATAGGTAATTCTGGGATGAATTATATTATTTATGAAAATTTTTGTATTACTTAAAATTTTACATAATTTATGATAATAATTAAAGTCTTTTGAGGAATTTGATTAAAATTGCATTTAAAATAATTGAATTTTTATAAAGAGTTTTATTTAAATTTTTAAAGGAATTGAAATCTTTAGAGCAGTTTTATTAAAATTTATTGTATTCAAAATAATAACATTTTTGTGAAGAATTTTATTATTATTTATGAAAATAATTGAATTACTGCGTAGAAAAATTTATTATTTATGAAAATAATTAAATTTCAGAGAAGAGATTTATAAAAATAATTCAAATTTTTTTAAATGTTTTAACTAAATTTCTTCTCTAAATCCATTATTTTTAATAATTAATTAAATATGTATTAAAAAATTTCATAAGAATTTGAATTATTAAAATTTTTTTAAAATCTAAGTTCTTTAAAATTCTATAATTATAATTAATTAAAAATTGAAATTTTGTAAAATTTCAATAAACTAAACAGTTTTGTAGTAGGAAATAGGAGTTTTAATTAATTAGACGAAATTTTAATTTTAATAATAATAATAACAACAATATAATAATAATAATAAAATATAATGATATATAATATATTGAATAAACTTATTTTTTTCGCGAAAACTGCAAAATGGTTTTCTTTCACTTTACTCAACAATTTGTCAATGGAATAAAATCCGTATATAAAAGAGACTTTAAATTAAAAAAATCCTCTTAACTACATAAGAATCTACTAAACGGTTTTGCTATTGAGTCTTTATGTGACCTGAAGTTACCCCGAGTCTCTGGTGACTTAATTATATTCTTAGTGAAATTAAAAAAAGAATCGAACTTAAAGTGAAAAGCAACTTATTCATGGTATATATTTTTCTGTAATGGTATGGAATATTGATTTAATGTCATTTACCGACCAGTGGAAACGGACAAAAGTTTGTAGGCGATTTATTTGTATACTATTTTTGCTTACAATATACAGTGAAAACAAACGCATTCGTGTTCCATTTACATTTTCCGGTACTCTAATGGAAATATTCTCAATCATTAAAAAAAATATTTGTTTTTAATGTTCGGATTCTAGAAAAGCTTTTCACTCTTTTGAATTAATATTCAATATAGCAATTAATTGATAGTTTTTTATGAATTTTAATAAAATTCTTCAAATTTTTTTTTAAAAATTTATTGAAGATAGTTCAAGTTTTGTAAATAATACAAAAAGATTAAATTAAATTTCCAATTATTTGAAAATATTTGTCAAATTTTATATTTTTAAATATTTAATTTCTTTACATTTAAAAATTGTTTTTAAAAATAATCGTATTTTTGAAGAATTTAAAATTAACATTTAGAAAAAAATTTTAATTAGCACGGGAAATATAAATTTCTGCTGTCCAAAGACAAATGCTTTCTTATAGGTATTGGATAGCAGATTTCTTTATTAAAAAGTTGAAAATTTTTCATTTATCAGTTTTTAGTCAAATCTCGTTATATCAAAAAAATCTTGATCAAGTTGACGTTGAATCCACCTTCTGTGGAATAGGTTTCTCTTGTGGCATTTTAAATTAGGTTCTACGTGCTGAGGTCACGATATAAATTAAAAGCTTGCTTATCCTGAAGTGTAAAATGTCAGGTACGAAACAGAAATGTGGAATTTTATTAAAAAAGTGCAAAAAAAGGAAAAAATAATTTAAAAGAAATGACACAAGATTCACCATGTGAGTCAGTATTTGGACGTGACTCTTATGGCAAATCCAGACACGCCTGTCTCGTTTGACATTTAAACAAAATTTCATATTTTTACACTAGTCCAGTGAGCTTATTTGTTAAAAATAAGACGCCTGGGGACATAGGCATACTCTAACTGTACTCATTTTTTCTGCAAACTTATTGTGACTTTTCTATCTTCTAACATAAAAATAATGTCCAGAATATCCTAAGAAAACATCAGAATTTATAACTTCTTTATTCTAAAATTTTTGAGATTATTTTTAGCTATTTAAGACTAAATGATTTTTAACGCTTTCTATACCGAAGAATAATATAATTATTTCACTACGATTTATATACCGGTACATTTGGGTGCAATCCGTTAACTACCCAAATGCGACACTTGTCAAATCTCCCATTTTTGGCAACTGCTCAACCTTACAAAAGGAAATTTAAAAAAAATTTCATCTAGCAAGATTGGGCAGTTGCCAAAAAATTGCAAATTTGACCAGTGACGCATTTGGATAGTTGACTCCATGTCAGCAGAGCTTCATTTTGCAGGCTTCTCACACATTTACTTAAACCTACTATTTACTACTTTTTTTACGTTATGCTACTATTTGGGTACTTTTTTTAGATTTCAGCCACAAAAAGCTACTATTTCTGTTTTTTTTTTTTTAGAATTTCCACTACTTTAAATTCGCTAATACTAGAAATCAAAAAACTATTCTCAAAAATTATAATCCAACAAATTCTTTAAAACGATTCAAATATTTTCAAAGAATATTCAAAATTCAATTTAGTGTCAGAAAATTTCCCAAAAGAATTCAATTGTTTAAAAAAAAATTGATAAAATCCATCTAAAATTCAATTATTTTCATAAATAATAAAATTTCCACAGGAATTCAATTAATTTAGAATATCATTTTCAAAAAAATTTCGAAAATATCAATTATTTAACAAAATTTTTATACAATTCTTCACAATAATTAAATTACTTTCACTAATAATAACATTTTTTAACGAAATTCAATTATTTAAAAAAACTTTTGAAAAAATTTTTCGCAATAATTCAATTATTTTCATAAATAATAAAATTCTTTCCATAACCATTAAATTATTTTCATAAATAATAAAATTCATCGTAGGATTTTAATTATTTTTACTACGATTTTACAGGAATTGCTCAAAAAATATAATTATTCTTAAAAATTTTAATAAAATCGTTCGCAAGAATTCAATTATTTTTATAAATATTAAAATGCTTTTTAAGAATTCAATTATTTTCAAAAAAATTTAATAAAATACCACGCACAGACATATTCGATTATTCTCAAAACTTTTAATAGAATTCTTTGTAAAATTCAATTATTTTTAAAAACTTTCCGTAATTTAATGATTTTCAATATCTACTATTTTCAGAAAAGTTCCAAACAGATTTCAATTATTTAAAAAAAATTTTGTAAAAATCTTCGTAAGAATTCAATTTATTCTTTTCATGAATAATAAAAATTTCTTAAGAATTCAATTATTTAAATTATAATTTGCATAAAATTAGTCGAAAGAAATCAATTATTTAAAAATTTGCATAAAATTCTTTGCAAGAATTAAATTATTTTTATAAATATTAAAAAATTTTAATTCTTTCGTGAATAATAGAATTCGTTGCAGGAATTGAATTTATTAGCAGGATAAGAAAGAAGTAAATATTTTTGTCAAAAATTAGGATATAGTCAGGAGAATTAGTCAATTTTGTGAAGTGTCTTAAACGAGTTTCTTTGGTCGTCAAGTTTAATTTTTCGATAGCTACTTTTTTTACTACTTTTATTAGTTTGAAAGCTACTTTTTGCTACTCTTTTAAAATTAATTATCGAGTTCGAAATCTGTACCTGTTTACATTTATTGTAGACGGTCCATTATACTCTTGATATTATTTCAAACCTAAAAAATTTCTCGTGCTTCGCATCCATTTGAAAGTGTTGACAATGAAATTCTGGGCCAACCTCTTTCATCGTTATTAATCAACTTTTTTATAAATATAATATGAAAGTGACACCATCTGCTCCTATCGAGAAACTTATAAGCCATGCTAGTAATGATTTTTCGCTCCAAGGGAATAAAGGTCCATGGGGGATGGAAATTTTGAAATACAAATTCTTCTCAAATAAAAAATGTTAAATAATGAATAATTTATACAATAATATTATATCGGAAGGATATCCATAGGATATTGTATATTAACATTTTTTGAATTCATTTTGCATTTTGTATTAACCTGCTTCATATACATATTTAAATTTTGTATTTCAAATAAAGAAGAGAAAATTACACTGGAAAAAGAAAATCTTAATTTAAAATCAGTCTTAAATTCAGCACTGTCTACATCAATGTTAAATCCTCCAAAACCCATTATGAGTAAATTCAGCATCGAGTGTCTTGAAAATGTTGCATCTTAATTTAAGACTGCCTTAAAATAAGACCATATTCTTACTGTGTTTTTTCATTTTAAATAGAATTTATAACATTTTTTTGCATTTTATATGTTAAATATTGTAAGTCCAGCGAGATGGTCAAAGTTTTTAAAGGATTGTAAAAATTATAGTTATACTGAGAGATGCCCAACGGGAAGTTGCCAATGTTAACGATTGGTTCAATAATAAGCCATGCTTGGTACCCAATGGTTTTTTCTTGGCAAAACAATTGGCAACCATCATTGGACCACCAATGGTTTAAACTTGGGATGATCACGCTACTGCCAATGATCGGTAGCCAAGCATCGGGCCAATATTAGTTGCCAAGGAATTGCCAAGGAAACAAAATCGATTTTCAAAAGCTTGATTTTTTATTGGCAGCCAACAAAAAACCAAGGTTTTGAAAATTGATTTTTTTAAATTATTAATTAAAATATATTTTTCAAAAATTTATTTAAAAAAAAAAAATATTTTTCAAAAATATATATTTTTTTTTAAATTGATAGAACATATTAATTTAATTTGTCACCTCTGGTAAAACAAAGATGAAAGACTGATAAATTCCCTCACTTTATATCTTACAGTGGAGGGATAACTGTGAATGTCTTTGCGAGAGAGGAGCAGGTACTTATAGAGTCAGTGAAACAGGTCACAAGCGAGAAGGAATCACTAGCATGCACTCTGGCGGCGCTTGTCGGAACTGTTTTCTGGCGCGCATGCATATCCTGACATTATCGACACAGCGCTTGGCAACCAACGTTGCGCCACTTCCGACAAGCGCCGCCAGAGTGCATGCTAGTGATTTCTTCTCGCTTGTGACCTTTCTCACTGGCTCTATATAAGTACCTGCTCCTCTCTCGCAAAGACATTCACAGTTATCCCTCCACTGTAAGATATAAAGTGAGGGAATTTATCAGTCTTTCATCTTTGTTTTACCAGAGGTGACAAATTAAATTAATATGTTCTATCAATTTAAAAAAAAATATATATTTTTGAAAAATATTTTTTTTTTTTAAATAAATTTTTGAAAAATATATTTTAATTAATAATTTAAAAAAATCAATTTTCAAAACCTTGGTTTTTTGTTGGCTGCCAATAAAAAATCAAGCTTTTAAAAATCGATTTTGTTTCCTTGGCAATTCCTTGGCAACTAATATTGGCCCGATGCTTGGCTACCGATCATTGGCAGTAGCGTGATCATCCCAAGTTTAAACCATTGGTGGTCCAATGATGGTTGCCATTAATGTTCTAATAATGGAACGGAGTTCGCCAAGCATGGCCCATTATTGAACCAATCGTTTACTTCCCATTGGGTGACCACATGTATGCTAAAGATGTGGTCAATATAATAATAATTTTTGGCTTTTAGCTTTAATTTCATTTTTAATCGTTAACTGTTACTTCCTCCGAATTAAAAGAGAAAAAGCGGTTTCTGCATAAAAATTGATGGTGTTGATTAATTTTACTACTCGTGAAATATATTATATAATTATCTCTTTGTAGCCATCTGTGAATTGAAAGAAAAAATTAAATTTTAATAACTCAAAATCTTTTATTTTATAGGCCATTTCGGAAAGACTTGAGCTAGCATCTGTCGGAGGAAGGTTCGAACCACAGGTGAGTCGAATACGTTATAATAAATGTATAAGCGTCTCAACAAGCAGGGCACTCTCGATTCTTTGCTTAATAATGTAAAAACCACTATCTAGATTTTGTTAAAAGTTTATAAATCTCACTCGTTTTTATGAAACTAAGTTAAGTCAACATCAATTATAACGATTTTTTATTTCCAAAGATTTATTTCACCACATGAAAATTGTCAAAATGTTGCTATCTTTGAACAAGTTTTTTTAAACAGTTATTTTAAACCTATTTTATTTCACCGCTTGTGAGAAAGATTCGAATTAATAAATTATTGTTCTTCAAAATAAATAATTATGTTTTTATTATTATAAAGGATGAAAACATGCAGAAATTGAATATACATTTTGAAAAATAATTTTCTTGAAGTGGTTTTGTCGATATTAGGAAAGAAATTTATCTGTGGGTTCTTTATGAAAATCATAATATTTACCGTGCTATGCAATGTAGATAATAACAAAATATTTTCCGTTCAGGTTGCTACTCTATGCGAGTCTGATGAGGTGTACATGGCTCAACACATGGGCGAACAGGGAAGATGGATTTCATCTAATGATCAAACAAGCTGCCTGAAGAGCAATTTAGAGATACTCAAATATTGCAAAAAGGTGAGTTTAACAAAATCAGAGTACCTAGCCGCAAAATTCCATATTTTAAATTTCCTCACTTTCATCTGACTAACAAATTTTTTAATCTCAAATCCATTAAAACCGAACAACTGACCTTTGCAGTCATACCATTGTTTTAAAATACAATTTTAATTTTGACTCAAGTAATTAATAATTCATGTCAAGCAAAAAAAATTATTTATTTTTTCAGCTTTTATAAAAGAAATGAGATCGAAACTCGACACAATTTGAATTTTAGTAAAATACTGACTTTTTATGGACTTTTCAACTTTACGAAATTTTAGGATGAGTTAGTTTCTTTTAATAACACTATTCTTGCTTGGTCCTGAAAAGTTCGGAGAAATGAAAATTCGGAAATGTAAAACATAGTTTGCGTCACAAGCTTTAAAGATTAATCATCTTTTAGTAATTCCGCAGTGGATTCGTGCCTCCCACTATGTGCTATCCTCTTTCAACTAAATTCGTCTATTCAAACACTTCCTTCCCCATTGCAGAATACTGCAAGGCAATATACTGTTTATATACAGACGCTCTTCGGGTGTTCCCACTAGGCACCTTAATAAAAGCACTGTTGACTGTTGTTTGAGTTGTTAATCGCAACTCACAGTCCGCGCTACCGTACAATAACGGACATCAATCGCTTATTGGTATTGTTTCCCCTTAGAAATTCTTATTAACTAAACATTAACTACTGCGTCTATAGACTGACTTGAAACTCAAGTAGGTACTCGCTTTTGTTAGTACTGGAACCAAAACAGCACGCGTTGCGTGCCCACTCCTAGTTTAATATAACTTTAATAAAATTTTATATTAGTTTTGTTGTAAGTTTTGAATTACAATAATACAAATAAAAACTTACCTTTTATCCTTATTACACACAAACAAACTTTTTTCACTTTTTTTCTATTTTATTTTATTCACCTCGTGTTTGTCACTTTTTCACTTTTAATATACTTCTGTACTTTTTGACACTCTTGAAATATGAACTCAGAAAGTTAACCAATAGCGACCGTCATCATCATATTTTTAACCAATGACAAGCGTTATCATGGTATTTCAATCAATCTCAACCGTCAACTTGCCGAATCTAGCCAAAAAAATTAACTGTTTTTTTATTAGGATTCTATTAGGAAATCACCGCCAGGAAAGAGAAAAACTGTAGAAAACTTCTGAGTACAACCTTGATGATCGCACCGTCAACCTTCTTTGATGATATTTATGTTTATTATTGTTTGTTTCAGGCTTATCCGAAGAGGGACATCACCAACATCGTAGAGTCGTCTCACTACATCAGAATAAGTGGATGGTGTAAACCTGGAAAATCCAAATGCAAATTATCTCGATGGATAAAACCTTATAGATGTCTAGGTAACTTAATGTATAAGACTACGGTAAACCCGCTCACTAGCGATTTGACGCTATGAACTCAACTCAATATTGGTACTGTGAATAGTACTTAAGATTCAACTTATATTAACGAACTTTCGTTTAGTTTCATGAATTCAACATAGAATCAGAGGCAATCAAATGTTTTTAGAGGTGTCAGAAAAAAACGTTTTTCGGATTTTTGAGTTTTTCGATCATTATTTTTGAGTCTTAATTTATTTGGCAAATTTTTTTTGTTGCTATTGGATGTCCTTTTTCGAAGTACATATATAGTTTTGTCTTATTTGAAAAAAAATTTTATTAAATTTATTCTGAAATGTGAGGAATACACTCGGGGTAAAGTCGCTCACGTGAAGTCGGGGTAAAGCCGCTCACTTTGTTTTAAATTTAGAATTTAGAATAAAATAATTTCACGTATTATATTTTAACAATAACACAATTTATGACTTATTAAAACCAAAATTGTAACTACATTTCACTTTCTCTTAATAAAATATAACATTATTTAAATCCATAGTTGTAATTCATGAAACCTATATTCATTATTTATTAAACCAATTTGTTGTTTATATAATTGTTTATAGAACTCATAGTTTATCAATAATAAATCATACTTAAGACGGGAATAAGAGAAATTTTAATATTAAAAAAATAAAAATGTTCCGTCTTGAAAAGATAAAGTGAGCGGGTTTACCCCAGTCTCCCCTACTTAAATAATTTATTCAAATTGTTACGATTTAATCTAATGTAAAACGTGGTGTCCTGATTAGAGATCTAATTATGGTCGAAACTCATCGAACAAAGTTAACCTATTAATCTTGTTGGGCAGTGATATATTATTGACAAAATGTTGTCAATATTGATGCAAATTTCGATGCTGCAATGTCTCTATTTAACGAAATTTGGTGTTGGATAAATCATTTTAAATGCGCGTCTCCACCTTCAGGTTTTATTTAACATAAAGGCGATGACCTATTTGCGACATTGGCCCTATACCAGATTAACTAAATATCGACGGTCATTGGGAGTCTTTTTTTTTAAACCCATTAACCCTCTGGGCTAAGAACCATGTTCGTTCCTAAATCGTTCTTGAAACGTTTTTCGAACGTTTTATGTCCGCCAAATAATGTTCATAGAATAATATTTAAACATCCATGATCTTAAACTGTGTTGTAACTTGTAACATTATTTGATCGAAATGAAACGGTTTTGGAACGAACATAGTTTTTTGCCCAGAGGGAAGATGGTCCTCTTCGATTTTCCCAGACTCTTTGCTTTAATTCTCACAAATTATGATCCTTTCGTTAAACACTTTTTTCTCGAGAAACCTCAGTTCGGAATACAATTTCGCTCCCTGAATACTAATCTAAAGTCTTTCTTTTCATTGAGTCATGATTTTTTTTATAATGTAGAAAAACATGTCGGATTTTTTGTGGTATACAAATTTTTTTTAAGTTGATGAATTTACACGAAACATTGTGGGTTTTTGGAGTGGCTAATTTACAAATCTAAAGTTAGATCCTTTAAACTTAAAATGGCGGATCCAATACAAGTTGGCTTTTAATCCCTCATAGTTCAGACATAAACCTTTATTAGTGTGGGATTTTCAGTAGATTTTGATGCATGACGTAAATCATAAATTCTTGAACTCATAATTGTAGGTTCTCATTTTGAGTTATGTATCAAAATGAGTTAACAGTAAACTTTAGGTTGTTCAAAATGAATCTGCATTTAGTCCTTAAGAAGGACTGTCAAAGTCAATGCGATTTTTCCAGTGAAGCTCAATGCAAAAATCCAATCGACTTTGACAGTTTCTTAAAGGCCTAAGTGGAATAGAAACTTAACCGAAACATTATTTGGCCGACATGAAACGTTCTAAGAACGTTTTATTTATTTATTTATTCAAAATCATTGTTCCTAAAGACTAATAAGTCTACCAAGAAACAAATACATGTTTCATTTTAGATAAAAAAAAAAAACGTGATCATGATCTAAGGAGAAAAAAAACAAAAGAGATTGCACCCAAAGCATCGCGAATTTGGAGTTAGTCCGTATGTTTGAGGGCACATTTGGTTATTTGGTAATAGGTATTAATTACAAATAAACAGTAAACCACGTTATCGACTCTATTGTCGACATTATGACATAAAATGGATGGGTTTTCCTATCGTAATCCCGAGAATTGAGCTGAGAGCAGGCGCATCTCTCTTAAAACTGGAATGGACATGTTGATAGAATCGTCGAATATGCTCTGTTTTATTTAGTTTCTTTGAAATTTATTTCTTATTTTGTAATTTCTCGTCATTTACACGTATTTAGTTTTTATAAATATGTAATTTAAAAGATGATATTGAGAATTTTATTTCTAGAAGGACCGTTCCAAAGTGATGCTCTACTTGTTCCGGAAGGATGTCTCTTTGATCACCTTCATAACCAAACAAAATGCTGGGAATCACACAGGTGAAGTTTAATTTAATATTCGCTTTTATTGACCACTGGGTTATAAGGGGAACTTAGTACAAAATTAATGGAGAATATTTTTGTGCACAAAGTCAAAAAACTGTTTTTTTGGTATTTTAGGTGGAATTCTACTGCAGCAGACACTTGCAATGAACGAAACATGAACCTAAGAAGTTTTGCTATGTTACTTCCATGTGGAATATCACTTTTCGCTGGAGTAGAGTTTGTGTGCTGTCCAAAACATCCTGACGGTAATATCATTTTTCTATTCCTGTCTACAAAATAGTGATTTTATTAGAAAATTAATTGATTGCCTCGTTTTTCAAGATACTAATTTTTTCTGAATCGGAAGTAAATTCTAAAACAGTTTCGAGTACCTTTGTATGTTTCTTATATTCATACTACAATCTAAGTTTGAATTTAGTCGAACTGTTTTTTTTAAATGTTCAATGAATAAAAATCAGTTATTTTTATTACTTGCAGAGAATCTAAAGTCTAAGAAGCACTATGAAGTGCCAATCTCTAGAAGTTTTGATGAAGATCTCACTGAAGACGACGATGACGATGATGATGACGACGAAGATGACATTGCTGAGCAAGATACATTGATTTCTAGTAATGATGACGACTCCGACTCTGGCACTGATGTCGATATAGGAATGGAAGACATACTTAGCGACCAGTCAGAAGATCCGAACAGTGAAGAATATTTGGAAGATTACGACACAGTAACAAGGTAAAAGACAAAAATTTATTTAATTATTAACGGGACAGGCCATTTCGTACATAGTACTCCTAAATCTAATAGTTACACTTGTAACAATACCAAAAATAAATTTAAACTAAATGTAAATAATTAAAAAACTATGTTCGTTTCAAATTTTTTGAATACTTATTTAGAATATCCGAAATTATAGATGGTAACTATTTTCGGTTGCAGGAAAATTTCAACTTCAGTATCATCAGTTGAAAAGCAGAATCACGAAACGACAGTTCTGCTTCCGGTCAGTACGAGTATTCCCACAACCACTCCAACACAAGGCACTCGAGATCCTTACATGACTAATTTTGATCCAAGATCAGAACACAAAAGTTACAAGCAGGCGCAAATGAGATTGGAAGAAGTGCACAAGGAGAAAGTAACCAAGGTAATAACACTACATTCTTTAGATAAAATATTTCAATTGTTTAAATAATATTCTCTCTTATCATAACGACTCCTCCCTTACTTATAATGCTTATTGAAAGGTGAATGTATACTGAGTTGCCACAAAAATTTAACTTTATTTTTCCCTGACTTTTTCCTGATTTTCAAACAAAATTTTTACTTTTTCCCTGACCCCAAAAGAATATTCTGATTCGCTCTCAAAATTATTAAAAACTCAAAACAATGTTCTATTACATTTATTTACGAATTTCTATAAATGTAAAATTATTAGATAACATCAATAAGTTCTTTTTTAAATAAATATTTAATCATTATTATTTTTTCATAGGAATTAAGATTTTCAAAAATTTCAAATTCAAACCTTTTTGAAATGTAAGAAATTATAAGAATATTATTATGAAACATGAAGATAACGATCACTCCGAGTCTTCGATTATCTTCATGTTTCATAATAATTAAAGATGACCGAGTGAATCATTATTTTATACTGTAAGAATATTGTTACTGTAACTTTTTCAAAATTATTTTTATCCTTTCAATTCAATTATTATCTTCTAGAATTTTTTGATAAAATTCTTCTATAATTATCTTCTAGAATTTTTAGCTAAAATTCTTCTATTAATCAATTATTTTTAATAATTTTTAAAAAGGTTTTTCAGAATTTTCAAAACCCATTTGTCTACAATTCGATTTTACGAAATTTCTATTATTCGCAAATTCTTCAATTAAATACACATTAGAAAATAAAAACTTTAAATGATTTCAAGAAAAATTCAATTAAAATTTTTCAAAAAATTAATTCTATAGAATTATAAGTTAAAAATATAACAAATTCAGATTTTCCAAGATTTTAATTTGAAACTTGAAAAATTCAATTAGTTCTAAAAATTCACGCTGTAATGCTTTTAATATTCAATTATTATCTGAAATTTGAACTGAAATTCATTTTTAAATCAATTTTTATTAGAAAATTCTTCGAGAATTTAATTATTTTAATAGGGAATATGGTTCGGTTGTGGGCATCCTTTTGTTTTTGACTCATAACTTGTGCCCAGGTGGATATTAAGCAAACATATGCATATGGATTTAAAGCTAAGGACCTTACCCAACGGGAAGTTGCCAATGTTAACGATTGGTTCAATAATGGGCCATGCTTGGTGCCCAATGGTTTTTTCTTGGCAAAACAATTGGCAACCATCATTGGACCACCAATGGTTTAAACTTGGGATGATCACGCTACTGCCAATGATCGGTAGCCAAGCATCGGGCCAATATTAGTTGCCAAGGAATTGCCAAGGAAACAAAATCGATTTTCAAAAGCTTGATTTTTTATTGGCAGCCAACAAAAAACCAAGGTTTTGAAAATTGATTTTTTTAAATTATTAATTAAAATATATTTTTCAAAAATTTATTAAAAAAAAAAAATATTTTTCAAAAATATATATTTTTTTTTAAATTGATAGAACATATTAATTTAATTTGTCACCTCTGGTAAAACAAAGATGAAAGACTGATAAATTCCCTCACTTTATATCTTACAGTGGAGGGATAACTGTGAATGTCTTTGCGAGAGAGGAGCAGGTACTTATATAGAGCCAGTGAAACAGGTCACAAGCGAGAAGAATTCACTAGCATGCACTCTGGCGGCGCTTGTCGGAACTGTTTTCTGGCGCGCATGCATATCCTGACGTTATCGACACAGCGCTTGGCAACCAACGTTGCGCCACTTCCGACAAGCGCCGCCAGAGTGCATGCTAGTGATTTCTTCTCGCTTGTGACCTTTCTCACTGGCTCTATATAAGTACCTGCTCCTCTCTCGCAAAGACATTCACAGTCATCCCTCCACTGTAAAATATAAAGTGAGGGAATTTATCAGTCTTTCATCTTTGTTTTACCAGAGGTGACAAATTAAATTAATATGTTCTATTAATTTAAAAAAATATATATTTTTAAAAAATATATTTTTTTAAAATAAATTTTTGAAAAATATATTTTTTAAAAATAAATTTTAATTAATAATTTAAAAAAATCAATTTTCAAAACCTTTGTTTTTTGTTGGCTGCCAATAAAAAATCAAGCTTTTGAAAATCGATTTTGTTTCCTTGGCAATTCCTTGGCAACTAATATTGGCCCGATGCTTGGCTACCGATCATTGGCAGTAGCGTGATCATCCCAAGTTTAAACCATTGGTGGTCCAATGATGGTTGCCATTAATGTTCCAATAATGGAACGGAGTTCGCCAAGCATGGCCCATTATTGAACCAATCGTTTACTTCCCATTGGGTAGCTAACTACTGGCGGAGATACTAAATTGATTCTATTCACTAGAAGAATTTTATTAAGAAATTAATAAATTTATCATTTTTCTCAAAAAGAAAATTTTATAGGAATTTCCGTGCTGTATCACGAAACTCTTAAAATTCATAGAACTCAATCAAATGTTGTAATAAATACTTATTCAGATTTTTAAATAATGAAATACTTTCGAAGAATTTTAATAACATTTTTAAGCAGGGTGGCCGCAAGTCAGGGAAAAACTGGAAATCAGGGAAAAGTCAGGGAATTTTTAAAAATTCTTTAAAAGTCAGGAAACTTTGATCGAAAGAAACCACAAATTAAAAAACTTTGATACATAAATGTCAATTCAGTTTTTTTATTTAGACGTTTTTGTAATATAGCTCATTATAATGGTACCGTCACATTTTCCATAAGTTTGGACATTTTTATGGACCTAATAAGATTTTGTTAACAAACAATTTTTAATTATCTTATTTTTTCCTTTCTAAATAAAATTGTTACTTAAAAAGCATTAAAAACATTTCAATCAGCAATGTAGAATATTAAAAAATTCAAAAATTTTTTAGTCAGTGAAAAGTCAGGGAATTTTGAAAATAAAATTTTGCGGCCACCCTGTTAAGAATAATTACATTTTTTTGAGAAATTTGATTAAAATTGTATAAAAAATAATTGAATTTTCTGCCATGAGTTTTATTATTTATGAAAATAATTGAATTCCTAAAAAGAATTTTATTATTTATGAAAATGATTGAATCCCTGTAAAAAATTTTATTATTTATGAAAATAATGGAATTATTACAAAATCCATTTTCCGCAGTCCGAATATTATATGATTTATAGATTTAAACTGAAAAACCAATTGAATTAAAAAAAAATGCTTTACTGTATAGAGCTGCATCCTCTTGTTAAAAATAACACTAAAATGTCCGTTCGGGAGATCGCAGCATTACCTGAGAGGTGTAAGTTTTGCTGTCTCAAAAAGAATAACAGTATCTACACGCTAATCAAAATGGAAAACAATCATAAACTTTTTTAAATAAAAAATAAATAATGTGTCTATCCTTCTCTAACTTATTCGTATGGATATGTTTGAGATTGCTATTACGGTTCTGAATCCATTTTGCTTTAGCCTTCACAGATTCGTCTTTCATTAACCATTATATAAACGGAGGGAGTCGATAAGTCATTTCAATTTTACTTACTATAAAAAAATATTATTAAATAATATGTGAAACTACATTGGAGCCAGAGTATACAATATGAATCGCGAGTAAATGAGTATAGAACTCTGTTTACAAAATAAAGAAAAAATAAGGAGAAATAGCAGAAAATTTTATAACCTGAAACACTTACTTTAATGTTAACATTGTATAAGTAAAAAATCTATGTAATTCATCTTACACGTTTAGAAGTGGCGTTTCTTCAACAAAACATTTTTTTAAGTAAATTTCCTGTTGAAAGTGTATCATATACACAGGTTCCTGTTTCAAAAAGAAACAGAAGAATAAGAAGAAGTTTCCTGATGTGTACAATCTTGTATAGATTTCTACGTAAATAATTTGTTAATTGCGCGTGTACCCCCTTATAACTAGTATGTATCAGAATCATCGAAATGGATGAATAAATAGAAATGTTGATAAATACTCATAAATTCAAGATCAGCCTTTCAGGGTTACTGCATACGAACTTAATGTGTCAATTTTTTAATATTCAGAATGGCGAATGCAACATGTCTGACAAATATTATCAAATTCATTAGATTCATTAGATTTACCTACATGAAAGTTGAAACACGTTACTTTTGGGGTTTCTTGAGGTAATTGATTGCATATTTTAGTCAAAAATAATCGCAGTATGAGCGCTAGTGCACGTATTTCTATTAAAGCTGAAAAGATTAAAATATTTTCGCCGGCCATACTGGATCCGCCATTTTGAATTTTTGAAAATAATACAAAGATAGTGAACTTTATAGATAACTTAATAACTCTTTATGGAAAATATCGATTCTGGCATTTATATTAACCCTATTTCGGTATTTTAATGATCATGCTAGTAAGTTAAATTAATTGAATAATAAAATCCTTCGATTTAATTACAAATAAGATGGTAAAATACAGCTTTTTGATTATCTTCTTCTAAGAAATTCCTTTATAATTATGCTGAAATTAGAGCACAACTTTACGTATAATATTCTCCTGGCCATTAAAAGTATCTTTAGTAACCCCTTGACTACTAGTTAAAACAGTAAAGTAAACTACATTTTCTCTTGTTTGCAATATTATTTAAGAGCAGCCCTTTCACCTTTCCATGCTCTGCTTCCAAGTCAATTCTAAATCATGTTTTCGATCCACTTAATATGGTTATAACGCAATTGTTGGTCGTTTGTATTGAGGTGCTCAAGAATGCATATTCTATTTTCAGACGAGATAGAAACAAGATAAATTATTCTTTAAGTCATTCTCTAACTCATTCTTTATCAGTTTTGTAGGGTCGCTTTTGTAAATCTAAAGTTTTTTTAAAATTCAAAATGGCGGATCCAATATGGCGGACAAAATTCAAATTCAATCAGATTCGATTAAAACTTGTTACTCGGGAGTTTTCAAGGTCGCTGATTACGAATCTGAAGTCACTTTTAAAAAATTCAAAAGGGTGGATCCAATATGGCGGAAAAAATTTTCAAATTTGACCTAATTTGCTTAAAGCTTGTAATCATAATAAATTGTTTACATTATAGTAACAAGTTTTAATCGAATCTGATCAAATTTGAATTTTGTCCGACATATTGGATCCGCCATTTTGAATTTAAAAAATAACTTTAGATTTATAATTAGCTACCCTAAAAATTTTTAAAGAATGTGTTACAGAATAATTTACATCATTTCTAGCTTTTAATTGATAAAAGTATTTTAAGATTTTTGGACTTTTTGACTTTTGACAGCTTATTGGCATCGAAAATGGAAATTTTAAAAAACGTCCATCGGCATCTTAAACTACAGGAATGTAGAAATCTTTTAAGCACTAGAACGTTTAAATCCATCAAAACTTGCAAAAAACTAAAAAAGTAAAAATATAGTACAAATTGTTGTATATATAAATATTAATTAACACCTCTGTTGTGTTAACTTCAGATTTAAGTTTTTGGAAAATAACATTATTTATATACTAAAAATATGTATAAATTGAGATGCACGCAGCAATTCACAACCTGGACCAACTTAAAAATCATTGAATTTTTTATGCAGAAACAATATCGAGCATAAAAGTAGATAAAAATTTGACTCACAACGTTTGGTAAAATATGACCATTTTGTAAATGCGCTTACAATATTGCTGGCAGGCGAGACAAAAATGCTCCACTATTCCTATTTTGTACTGTGGCTCAAGTTCCATTTTCATCCCTTGTATTTCATATGCATATGAAAAGAATTTAAAAGAATTTTCACAATCATTTACCAATTTAAGGTAATGAAAGATTGGAGTGACTTAGAAGAGAGATATCAGGATATTCGTGCTCGAGATCCAGTTAAAGCTGATGAATTCAAAAGATGGATGACGACTAAATTTCAGGAGACAGTTGCAGCCTTAGAAGCAAGTGGAACAGCTGAAAAGCACCAATTAAGTGCTTTGCATCAACAACGCGTTCAGGTATTTTTTTTATTAACTTTGTTTAGGAACTGTCTCTACAAAAATTTACAGTTTTGACTTGACACTGATTATAGTCCTTATAAACAAACAAATAGCCACGTGCTGACTATTTCTGTGTAAGTCAATCCTTGTTTTGACACTCCTGAGTTAAGTTTGCTTTTACGATATTTCTATAAAACCTTTATATGAAGTAAACTTGATTTCCGATCGTTTATTTTTTACAGTTAGTCATTCAGTTTCCGTAGGCATAAAAGTTGAGTTCTACTAATTTTTTATCTTTTTGAATTGCAATGAAAATAAAACCCGGGGGCGAAGCGACATTGTCTCTGAATAATTTTGTTGAAAGCATTACATCGATTGAAGTAAATAAAGAAAATGGATAAATTTAAGATGAAAATGAAAGTAATTGAAGAGTAGAGAAAAAAATTGTCATTTGTTTGGCTATGAACAGTTGAAGGGCGACAATTGGATTTCCCATTTGCAAAAGAGTTGAGTAGAAGAAAAAATTGGGAAGGAACGAAATAACAGGACCTGATTGGTTTTATTCTTCGATTTGAACAAAAAAAGTCACTAAAAATAACTTTTGAGCCACAAAACATTTGGAACATTGATGATGCGGGTTGGACAAGTTTTATAAACCTGGAGATGTAGTGAGACGCTGTGGTTGCAAACAAAATGGTCAAATAACATCGACCAAACGTGACACACTAGTTTCTATTTGCTTGACTATTATTGCACCCGAATGCGCCTTCAATGCATCCATTGAAGTACAATTCCAACCACTCTTTCCGATGATGGTTCCAAACCTTGTTAGAGTTGTGTACGAATACTTTTAGATTCACTAAGCCTGATTCCTTTCTTAAAAATAAAATCCATTTATTTACGCATCATCTTTTCACATAACTGCAACAACGGAATGAATCATTTGTTGTGTTTGTTTTTGGTCCAAATTAATAATAATGCTTAGTTTGGAAGATAGGGAATCCTGTACGTGAGATGAAAATTCACGATTTTCTACTTGTTGAAAATGGATAAACATTAATACTTGGGCGACAGAAATTAATATCATGTCGTGTTTTAGAACACCTGGAATTTAGCCACTGAATCGTCAAATATTTCAAGACATTGATTATACACCAAATCAGCCAGACATTGAAAATTTTATTGGCAACGTAGAATTTGATTCAGCATCAGTTGAAATGATTTATGAGGCAAAAAACAGATACTGAGGAATGGAAGACAATCGCTGCTATAAAACATGTTAACGTGTCGCTTCGCCCCTAATTTATTTGCAACGCAAAAAAATTTTAACTGTAGTGTAACAAAGCTTTTGATTTTTACTACAACTGTATTATAATGTTTGCATGATTATATAATTTTTTACTTTTCATTAAATTCGAGTCTTGCAGATATATGAGACTTAACGGGAGTGTCACAGCAAAGTATTTTAAAATCTTTCTATCTTCGCATTGAAAATTTAGATTTTTTATAAGCCTTCCTGCAAAAATGTTACCGTTTAATAATACTAAACAGAGGAAAGAACCTTCTTAGTATCTTATAATTAAAATTTTAGTGAAGGAATTGTTTAAACATTATGTCATCACAAACGTTAAAGTTGACATATAAATGCTAAAGTTTTGAGTTATTGTACTTTGATAACTTGTCGTTATTAGATCATATAGCAAATGGTTTGTCAACTAGGACTATAATTCAGCTACTGCATTGTCGTTGCCGTCGTGACGGCAAGGATCACAATATAATAACACCATCTAAATACACACTTTAATTAATATTATCATTCCCTTCAAATAAATTTTAATGCACTAAACTAATAAATCAAGATTCGCGGTAGAGAATCGCCGCCAAGTAAAACCGCGAATATAATATCGACTATTTAATGTAAAAAATTGAATAGCTCAAGTAAATCCGAACCAATTTTATTCAATTTTTAAACAAATCAAAATTAGTTTTAGTAATATAAATAATATTTCAATGTGTAATTTAAAATTAAGGATACTGCAACAATGAGCAAAAAAACGTTTCTAATTGTAAATGCATTTTTAAACTTTAGTATATTTTTTTATAAATAGTAAATGAAAGAACAAATTTTTCAAATGCAAAGTATATTAAAAGCATTTTGAAAGTATAAATTGTCTCGATGAAAAGCATAATGTTCCTATCTCTAATTAATAAATTATAGCTGTTTTCAACAGAACGATTTTAAGAATAATTATTAACAATTTTCTTTACACTCCTTATAAGTTATAATTACACTATAAAACTATCTTGTTTGTAATACAAAAACTTTTCTGTTTATTTTATAGGAGTCAGTCAGACAGAGAAATGAAGAAGCTATGTCTTGCTACACGGCATCCTTAAATGAAATTCCACCAAACGTAAGTACACCATGTGTTTCATTTCATTAATTATAAGATGTGGTTTTTTAATAGTCAGTAAGGTCGATATTGAAAGAGACAAAGCTACATTTACAATAAATAATTTTTCTAGATGCATCGAATTCAAAAATGTCTGCAAAAGTTGCTTCGTGCACTTCATAAGGATAGGCACCACACAATTGCTCATTACAAACATCTTCTGGACAGCAGCATTGAACAGGCGCAGCGGGAGAAGACGGCTACTCTAGAGCACTTGGCGGAAATTAACAGAATAGCCAATCAAAGCATCTTGATGTTGGAACGGTACGCTTTTCCAACTTGATGTTTTTCAAACATAGAAACATTATTTAGTACTTGTTAATCTAATGCTTTTGTTAATAGGTACCCAGAACTAAGTGCGAAAATAGGACAGCTGATGGATAATTATGTACTGGCACTTCGAAGTAAGGATGAAACTCCTGGACTGTTCTTAGCTATGCCCATGGAAGCCGAAGCAGCAATTTTAGATAAATATCAAGCGGAAGTTACTAGTAAACAGCAAGGTAAATTCGGCTAGACTATAATTGATGATTTATTTTTTGTCTCTTTTGATCCAATACATTTTGTAAGATCATGGCCTTATAATTATATAACTCGATTTACGTTCGGACGCAAATTACAACATTCAACTAAAGTTTTTAAGTTATGAAAAAGTCAAGGCACTCTTAAGCATCTAAATTTCTTTGAATTTAAATGCGTTAACTTCTATAATTAATAAATATAGTTTATAGTACACAAAATTATGTCCAGACCTATAGCATTCTGCTTCCCATATGAATATTTTATTTTTCAACTTTTTAATCCCACTAGAAAAAGAACATCAGAAGCAACTGGAACGAGAAAGAAAAGAACAGCGCAAAGCAGAACGGGGAGTCCAACGGTCTGATAAAGAGAAACATGATACAATAGAACCGGAAGTTAAGGAAGAAGCGTCAGGACAACCCAATGAAGAATCATCGCAAGTGGCTGCTGTGCACAATGAAGGAGTTGTTCGAGCATCTCATAGCATGCTGCATGACATCTCCCATTCTGAATCTGTAAGTTTTTTTTCAATTACAGTCATGCCTTTTCAACTTGTAAATTGTTTGTTCTTCTAATCAATTATGCGGTAGGTTTGCAATGTAAAATAATATTTGACAAATTTGTTTCTTTTCAGAGCTACTCCGTAAGGCGTGAAATTTTCCATAACGAAAGCAGATCTCTCTACTTTACTCTGGCTTTTGCTGGAATCGCATTAACAGCTGCAGTTATCGTTGGGGTTGCAGTTTTCAAAAGACGCAGCGCCAGAAACCCTCATCGACAAGTGAGTCATTTTTTTAATTTTAATTGATTTATTAATTATTCGTTTTAATTAATTTTTAATGATTCTACAGAAAAAGGACACTTTTATTTCCCCATTTAATAACTAAATCAGTTAGATATTCTTTAACGTCCGAGATTTTTTATAAATCAAGGTAAATAAAACGAAAACATTCGGACAATGATTAAAACATATTTACTCCAACGTTTCGAAATCTAAATGATTTATTCTTCAGAGAGTCTATCAAAAAATATACAAAATTAAAAACAAATTGTCTTTATTTATTTAATTATTTTTTAATTTTGTATATTTTTTGATAGATTTCCTGAAGAGGAAACAATTTAGATTATAATATTAATTTAACATTCTAAAATATAAAAGTAGTTACTTATAAATTATTGAAGAAAAATGAATTGATATTAATACAAAGTACAATTTTTCAAAAATTTGTTTTCTAGGAAAAACTTTATGTAAAAATTTTATGTATTTTAACCCTTTCGTGCCCCCAGGAAACCCAGCCAATGGATTTTATTGAAACTTGTTCAGATATTCAAAATTCAAAATGGCGGATCCAATATGGCAAACCTTTTTTTTGTGAAAAATTTGATTAAAATTTTTGAAAATTCTAATTAAATTCTTTTTGAAGAATTTCTTTGAACTTTTTTTTAAATAATGGAGTTTTTTTTAATAATTTTAATTAAAAATTTTGAAAATAATTGAATTTTATGAACGATTTCTTTCAAGTTTTTAAAACAATCGTGTTTGTTAATAATTGAAATTGAACATTTAATTATTGAATTTTATAAAAATTTAAAAAAATAATTGAATTCTTTTGAAAAATTTTATAATGAATTAAGAAAAAAATTTAATTCTTTCGTGAAATGTTCTTAAAAATACATAATTGAATTTTTGCAAAAAAAAAAATTCCCGGTCAAGAAACAAATTTCCTGGCATTTCCCGATCCAAAAAAATCTGCTGTTACTTCTCGGTTTTTCAGTTCTGCGGTCACCCTGGTAACACAAATTTTCCGTTTTATATGAATTTTTGTCTGTTAACTAACAAAGAATTTAGTAATGACAATTAGTGCCTTCTATTGTCATGTAATCGAACAATGTTTAAAAACAATTAACAAATTAAAATAATCCATTTTTAAGACTTTGTTCATTAAAAACCTCGCGTCCACAAAATGGCTCCTGTTGACGTTTGTTAATATTCGAAAATCGTACACTGCGTATTGATGAAAAAAATTTGTCCAATATTATCAAGATTGCTAATAAATAGCAGTTTGGTTATTTCCAGAAAGCGTATTATTTTTGACTTTTTAAGCAACTACGTAACATGTATTTTCATTATTCAGTTAATCATCATTTAAATCAATTTTGATTTTTGAATAAAATTTTTTTTCAATTACAGGGATTCATTGAAGTCGATCAAGCTGCAACACCTGAAGAAAGACATGTTGCAAACATGCAGATCAACGGTTACGAGAATCCCACTTATAAATATTTTGAAGTTAAAGAATAATATTTTCTAATCTTCAGTTGTTAAAACATTGTTCTCCTTAAGTTTATCTTTAATTAATTAGAATATATGCCATTCGAAGATTCTTTACATCATTAGGCATATATTTGCGGCGAAAAGAGTACATATCTCTAAAAAAACAACAGTGGTTTTGAATGTAATCATTTATTGAATTTAATACCCTTTGAGAACGAAATTCAATCAAACATTTAATAAATCAGAATTGTTTTATTAATGCCCAAGTTTGACTCTTAAATGGAGAAATGGCAATATTTTTTAACAAATTTCTTCTCTTTAAACAAAGCCATCTGCCCATATGCTTATTTTCAAAGACATTTTTTATCCGCCTCATCAAACTTTTATTTCCAAATGTTTAAGTTTTATTAACGATATTCAAAGACCTAAATCTTAATTAATTAATTCTTGAATAATTATTATTGAATTATAATAAATAGTTGCGATTTCTCAATTCGCTTTAATTTAAGTGAAATATTTTCAGCGTATTTACTTAGTGACACATAAATAAAAGTACAAACATTTAAGAATTTTAAAACAAGCTTTGAAAATAATCGTATAGGTGAATATGATTGAAAGTCCGATTCTAAGCTCGACTAACGAACTTGTTGAAAAAACTTGTTGAAAATTCTGTCACCCCTTCGGCACATTTACAATTTAACTGCAAATTTTTTTTAATAATGGTTTTTAATTGTTATAAATAACGCGTAAAATAGAAATGGTGTTAAAAATTACTGTAGTCATTCCAAGTAGTGAAACTGAAAATAACTTTGTGTACTTTCGTTTTGAAGTTTGTAAAATGTTAATATTTGTTATTGGCAACATTTTATGTAAAACTGAATTTGTGCAATATTAATTTACAGCTGCATACTTTAGTCTATGTGTAATACTGTGTAATGTATAGAAGCATTACACAAGTTTTGTACTTATAATTATTTTATGTTTGCAAATAAAGTTTCGTATAAATTTTTACATTACATTTAAAGTTCTATAATCTTTGTCTTTATAAGATTTAGACACTTTTTCTGTTAGTACTCCATTTCATTCAGTATAAACTTTTGTAATTAAAAGTATTTTAATTTGAAGTCTTCCAGTGAGGGGAAATTAACTTGGAAAATGATACAAGAATTTTCAGCTTTTAAAAATTCCTACCTATTTTATATCGAAATGTGCTGAATTTGGAATAAAAGTGCAAAATTATAAAAAATGTTTTTGCATTTCGACATTAATACAATTCCAGCAAAAGTGATACGACGACTATGATGGATGATATTTAAAAACTTATTCACCCAGTAAAAAGTTAATATTTTTGGTTCTTTTTAATATTTTATGCATAAATTGACTTCTTTTTTATTTTATAAATTGTAAAGTACAGTAAACTAAAGTTTATTGTACCACAAAAACAAGTATGATTTAAAAATATTAAAAATATCTAACTTTAATTGTAGGAACGACCCCGGTTGGCATATTTTGCAAGACTTCTTTGGTGTTTATTACCAGACTTATTGATGAAAGTTTGCCGCAAGTTTAAGATGTCAAATTAAATTTTTTCCTTTTTTAAAAATTTTTTTTAGACTTTTATTCAAACTATTTTCTTTTTATATATAGTTTTTCTAAGGATATCAAATTCAGACAAAAATTGTACGTTGCTTAGCTACAATTTTGATACTTTCTTTTTGTCTCAATTTGCTATCCTTGGAAAATCTGTGATATAAATGTTTTAATAAATATAATGTTTGTGATTAAAGCAACTTCCAGTAAGACAATTTATTTCTTAAAGCGTCAGATTAGTTTTCTTTTAATTACCCGAAAAGAATCGACGTCAATAACAAATATTAAATTTTGCAACAAATTTTCTTATTCTTTATGCGACAAAGATATAATTATAAAATTTATTTTACCATGTGTACTCGTGCAAAAGAAATGAAAGATATTTCAGAAGCGGACTCACAATCTTTTGATAGCTTTAATACGTTTTTATTTTTTTGAAAATAAAAAAATTAATATTCAGAAAGTCGAATTCACTTTCTTGAGAGGTTTGTAAAAATTTTGTATTTTAAATTCAATGAAAAAACCAGCACTGAATTTTAATTTATGTATTGCACATAAATCTAAGTTGTTAATAAGTCAGGCTACTCAAGTCGATACTTTCAGCAAAAAAAAAAAAAATCTTTAAAAAATTTATAATTGTTTGTTAATTTTAATGGCGGACAAAGAAAATTGATGTTTTGAGCTATTGATCAGACGATGACTATTTTATGTTTTTGGGGTCACAGAAGCCGAATCTGAAGTTTATTTAACCCCATCACTTCACGGTTCTGAGATATCCTAAAAGAAACCAAAATTTTAAAATAAAAAATAATTCTGACCATTTAAGTTTTACCATGACTGCTTTATGTTTTTTGGGGTCGCTGAAGCTGAATCGTAAGTTCATTTAACCCCATTATGTCAGGGTTTTGAGATAACCTAAGAAAACTCAAAATTTGACCCCAAATTTCTTAATCAAGGAAATTTCTTACGTCTAAGTCTTATCATGACTGCTTTATATTTTTGGGATCACTGAAGTCGAATCTGAAGTCTATTTTATTTGACCCCATCACTTCAGGGTTTTGAGATAACCTCAAAAATACCCAAAAAAAATTTGAAATAATAAAAAATTCTAATCTTAAAGTCTTACCATGACTGCTTTATGTTTTTAGGATCGCTGAACATGTCATGGTAAGACTTAAAGATTATAATTTTTCATGATTTCAAAATTTTTGGGTATTTTTGAAATTATATCAAAACCCTAAAGTGACGGGGTTAATTAAACTTTAGATTTTACTTCAGCGACCCCAAAAACACAAAAAAGTCATAATAAGACTTACGTATAAGAATTTTCCTCATTTTTAAAATTTTGGGGTCAAATTCAGGGTTTTATAAGTTATCTAAAAACCCTATCGTGGTGGGGTTAATTAGACTTTAGATTCAGCTTCAGGGACCCAAAAAATATAAAACAGTCATGGTAAGACTTGAAAATTCAGAATTATTTTTTGTTTTAAAATTAAAAAAAAAATTTTAAATACATAAAGCAGTCATAGCAAGACTTACATATAAGAATTTCTCTTTATTTAAAATTTTGGGGTCAAATTTAGAGTTTTTTTATGTTATCTCAAAACCCTGGTGTGGTGAGGTTAAGTAAACTTCAGATTCGGCTTCAGCGACCCCAAAAACATAAAGTAGTAATGGTCTGCTCAAAAGCTAATAACATGAATTTTTTTATGAGCCAATGTTTTTATTAGATATGACTATTATTTGAATTAAGGCAAATACGTCCAAGAGATATAAAAATAGAATAGAGCCATAATGTTTGCGAAGCTAAGAAGCAGTATTACTTATCTTTAAACGATCTTTTTTCCTTTTCTCTCAAATGAATCCTGCCACGCTCTTCTGTTGTTGTATCTTTTTGATGTTTACTGTCACTTTCTTTTTTTCTTTCTTTATATAATAAAAACACAAACAACACTAAAGAATTGTCACACTGCAAAGCATCTTCTAAGGAAACGTAAACATTTGTCTTTTGCTAAATTAAACAATGGATTCCAAGTTTGTTATTTCCGTTAGTAATATGTACATAACGTTTCACTTCAACATTGAAAGACGTACACCAAAGATAAAAGCTTCAATGTTCTTATTGCTTGGAAATTTCAAGTTTATTAAAAGAATTTATTTACCAACCAGATAAAAATATGGGCACATGCTTCAATATTTTTGCAATGCATTACTTAAAAAAATAGTTTGCAAATACTCACTAAAAAGTTGAAAAAAATATAGTGTTAAACCAGACGACTAATGTCAAAACTAACCGTCTAAAGGTTATAATTATTGTTTTATGGGCTGAAAAGTATTAAAATATATACGATAATAATAGATATTAATACATTTTTATTGTTTATGTGTAATTTGTTATAGTAGGCACAGCTTTAAATGAAGAGCAATTTAATTTTAGCTTAATTCTATGAATTTCTTCCTGTGTCTTTTAAACATTTGAGTCGTAGTCGTAAATAGGAAATAAAATAGTATTAAGAAGTTTATCTGACACAGTGCAAGTTTCTAGTCAGCCTTTTAGTCACAATGTTATATCATTTATCTCATTTTTTCTATCATTAAGCCTAATAATCATTTTCAGCCATTGTATGTGTATAAGACAAGTTTTTTATAAGCAAAATTGAAAAAGAAATTATTCCTAATATATTTTTCCAATTATCGCCAAGAAAAAAAAAAAAGATGAGATCTGCTTTATAAACAGAAATTCTGTAGCAATAAAAAATGTTTTTAGGAATTCTTTCAAAAAGAAAAACAATAAATTATACGATTATACGTTTTTGGATTTTCAATGATAATAATAAAGAGGATTTGTAATTTAAAGATTGATTTTAAGAAATAAAAAACTATTTGGTACTTGATCACCCAATAACTTTTTAAGAGGTATTAAAAGACAAGGATAATAATGGAAAATATTCGATGGCTTTATTCGACTATGCCAATAGTTTCCCTTTTCAAAGATGTATATGTGAGCAGAAATACTGAATTAGTCATGTTGAAGTCGACGAATAAGAGGAACAGTTACTAAGCGGTGGTGTAATTTTGAGTGGTACAATACCTCTAAAGATGCTATAGATATATATAAATATATATGTATATGTGCGCATGTGTACATGTATAAATATATATAGAATATTTGTTAAAAAAACAAAACAATACTGTTAATACACTAAATATCTTAGAATATTATTATACCTATATATAATGTCGATGATAATGTAATACACAAGACCGCTCAAATGACGGCCCTGAAAAATTGTATTTAAATAAATTCTTTTCTTCTGGTATGAAAAGGATTTTTCCTAAAATTCTAACGACATCTTTCATTATTTTCAACAAAATTACTTCACATTGTAAAACTGTAAAAGCAATTAATTTATTAAATGTTATTTACATCCTGAACCTTATTTCATACATAACTTTAATTTAATAATATTTTTATATCAATAGATTATGTAATATATAAGCCGCTAATAAAATCTCTTTATTTTCTTTTCATTAAGAAGATACGTTTTTACTATACAAAAAAACACTTATTGCATTTTGTATAATTTGAGAAAAAATTTTCATTTTCATGCAATTCAAATACAATAAATTTTAAAATCAAATCATTTTTTTTCAATTTCTTCATACAATTGACGATTGTTTCTAATAAAAGCGGATTCCACTAAATTGCAAAATTGTGGAATTTTAAATTGAAAGAATGAAATTGATATTCAAATTTGTCTGTCCTATTCTCTTTCTCATTCTTACGATTTAATATTTTTAAAAATTAATAATTAATTATTTAAATACACGGAGATAATTTATTCGGTTGGACTGGGTTGAAAGGCAGGGCTCGAACTTATTTTTAATACAATTTTAATCAAATTTCTCGAAAAATGTAATTCTTCTTAAATATTTTATTAAAGTTCGTCAAAAGAATTCAGTTATATAAAAATTTATAGATAAAATTCTTTATGACAATTCAATTTTAAGAAACATTCAATTATTCAATAAATTGTTATTTTTGTATTTAAATAATTGAATTCTAGTAGAATTTTTTCATAAACATTGATTTAAAAATGAATTTTAGTTAAAATTTTAGATAATAATTGAATATTAAAAGCAATATAGCGTGAATTTTTAAAAATAATCAAAAATTCAAAAAACCGAATTTCTTAAAATTCAACAGTTTTGCTTTTCTTCTAAGGCATTTAGCTTAATTATTTTTGGGCTTTTCAAAAATATTTTACTTATATAATAGTCTCCACCCTTTGGTAAAAAATTTAAAATAATTAAAAATCATCAAAAATTTGAAAAACCGAATTTCTTAAAATTCAACATTTTTTCTTTTCTTTTGTGACATTTAGCTTCACTATTTTTGTGCTTTTAAAAAACACTTTACTTATTTAATAGTCTTATCATTTTGGTAAAAAATCTAAAATTATCAAAATTTATCAAAAATTCAAAAAACCGAATTTCTTAAAATTCAACATTTTTTCTTTTCTTTTGTGACATTTAGCTTCACTATTTTTGTGCTTTTCAAAAACACTTTACTTATTTAATAGTCTCAACCCTTTAGTTAAAAATTTTAAATTTTCAAAAATTATGAAAAATTCGAAAAACTGAATTTCTGAAAATTCAACTTTTTTTCTTTTCTTTTGTGACATTTATCTTCACTATTTTTGTGCTCTTCAAAAATACTTTACTTATTAAATAATCTCAACCTTTGGTTAAAAATTTTAAATTTTCAAAAATTATGAAAAATTCGAAAAACCGAATTTCTGAAAATTCAACTTTTTTTCTTTTCTTTTATGGCATTTAGCTTCAATATTTTTGTGCTCTTGAAAAATACTTTACTTATTTAATAGTCTCCACTTTTTGGTAAAAAATCTAAAATTGTCAAAAATTATCAAAAATTCGAAAAACCGAATTTCTTAAAATTCAACATTTTTTTTCTCTTTTATGGCATTTAGCTTCACTATTTTTGTGCTTTTCAAAAACACTTTACTTATTTAATAGTCTCAACCCTTTAGTTAAAAATTTTAAATTTTCAAAAATTATGAAAAATTCGAAAAACCGAATTTCTTAAAATTCAACATTTTTTCTTCTCTTTTATGGCATTTAGCTTCAATATTTTTGGGCTCTTGAAAAATACTTTACTTATTTAATAGTCTTTATCTTTTGGTATAAAATTTAAAATAATTAAAAATTATCAAAAATTCGAAAAACCGATTTTTTTAAAATTCAACAATCAGGGTTCTTACAGAAATCCGAATTAAATATTCCATACCTTTTCCATGATTTTCAGGTCAAATTTTTAGAAAATTCCAGTGGAATTTTAAATTTAATTTCCACGTCGTATAATATATATTATATCTTAAAATTTCTAATTGAATATCTATTCAAGAGCAGAAATAGAAAACAGGAAAAGTTTAGAAACTTTTAAAAATTTCAGGCCATTTCCATGATTTTCCTGATTTCCAGAAGACTTTTAAAAATCCCATACCATTTCCATGATTTCCAGATTCTGTAGGAACCCTGATTAATAATGATTTTATCACTCGATCATCTTTAATTATTATAAAACATGAAGAAATCGATCACATGAAGTTATCGATATCTTTATATTTTATAGTTATGAAAAATTTAATTTATAGTTTTAAGTAAAATGTTTTCTTAATTGACTGGGACTGGTTATATTTTTTGTCAGTAATTAGTCCGTAATTTTAAATACTTTAACTAGTTCGAGCCCTGTTGAAAGAACAATACAATTTTCCTACTTTAATCATTACTTATAACCCTTTGCAATTTTATACAAACAAATATTTAAAAATTTTTAAAAGAATTGAATTTCGGAGAAGAATTTTATTATTTATAAAGATAATTGAAATTTTGACGAGAATTTAAAAAAAAAATTTGAACATAATTGAATTTTGTATATAACTTCTCAAAAATTTATTTTTATTTTTATAAGAAATTGTTATATTCACCTTCAGTGTATCCTCTTATTTTGATGAAATTTTCCCCCTCCGGAGATTGGCTTCCTTTCCTGAAGTCGCCCGATCAGATGGACAAATCGCTGCTAGATGTACATAGCTTCGCGTCCGAAAACTGCAATATGACACGTCGCTATCGTTGGAACTCTGAAAAAAATATTTTTATAATTATCCAATAAATTGTAAGTACTATAAAATACTACCTTTTCAAACAATGTTGCAGAGCTGCAATAATTGTTGACGAGAAACACGTGTTTCAAAAATTCAACAAATAATTAAATGAACATTCGATGGTCTCTGAAATATGTAGGTTATGTGCGACTTACAGTTATCGCCCAAGAAAAAAGGCACTGCCTGTTTGAAATGACGTGAAATTAGTAAACAACCGTTTTCCAACTAGTTTTTCTCTGCACACAGGCACTTTTTACAATATCTGACAATGTACATTTGTCACAAATGTTTTTAATTGTCTGAATTCAAAAGATTTTGTTAATCCATGCAGAAACGCGGTTTCAGGATTGGAATTACAAAAGCAATGTAATGGCAGACGTCAAGACGTATGTTACAGCCATTTTGCCAGTAGAGGGCAGAAGCATGCAGGGAGCGCAAAGGCTCAGCTGTCAAAATGATTCGCATTACATTGCTACGGTAATTATTCCAATGCTGCAAAAAAACAAAATCTTTTGAATTCAGGCAATTAAAAACATTTGTGACGATTGTACGTTGTCATATTTTGTAAAAAGTGCCTGTGAGCAGAGGGAAATTTGTTAGAAAATGAATGTTTACCAATTTCACGTCATTTAAACCGATTAGTGCCGTATTTAAAAGTGATGACTGTTAGTCGCACATTATCGAGAAATTTAAACGACCATCGAACACCGTTAATTATTTCTTAATATTTTTGTATATAATATAAAATAACGAAATACTTACGGTAGAAGATTTGTGGCTCATTTTCGCCAAAGCTGAATTTTGAGATGAACTTAAATAATTCGGGATTCGTTAGAAACGCTGGGGATTCCACGATGCTCAATGTAAACCATGTGAACGAGAAAAAAAGAAGCAATAGCTGAGCGTCGTCAGAACTACCAACTGGCCAACTACTATCAACGATAGAATTCGCGCATGCGCGTATTCAATTTGAAAGTATTTCCTGTAGTTGGTAAAAACGCGCTTAATTTAAAAGCTTTAGCAATGAAAAACATAATTTAAAACAAGACAAATTTTTTCTAAATATTAAAGCAAAGGTTATACGTTTCGTATGCTAAATTCAGTTAAAAATCGAATTTATATTTTATATTTTTCTTTGAATCAACTAAAAGGCAGAAAATAATCTTTGAATTGTTAAAACTAGAAAATCCAATCTTTCTTCTGAGACAACTTTTAACAAAATTGAAGATGATAGGTATAAAATTTTTAAATGCAAATCAAAGCAAGAAATAATTTTTTTTAGAAAAAAGCTTTCTACTTATCTTATAGCTTCTGAAACTCTCTATTAAGAGCATTATTTATAATTTCTATTTAAAATTTTTAAATAAAATAAATTATATATGAAATAAAAGTGCTTTACCATAAACTACATTAACAATTTTACATTCTTTTTAGACCATTGCGTTAAATGGATTTTTATAGATTTTTGAACCCCCCTAAATTGATCAAGTAGTTTATGGATGGTCCCTAATAAAGGAATTTTCAGTATAGGAAAAGATTGGTAATAAACTTTTACGATACAAAAATTTTAACAGACGATAATGTTGATGATATTTTATTCATACATCGAATTAATTTATTCTGTAAAAGTTTTTTTTATCCATTTATCTTTAAGCGACGTCAATTTCCAATAAAATTACCATTTTCAAATATGATTATAATAAAAAATAAAGTTGAAACTTTTTGATATGATTGGAATTAATCTACGAAAAATAATCACGGACAAATGTTATATGTTTTCTCACGAGCTTATAAATTTTTCTTGGAAATTAACGAACTTCTGATGTTGATAAAAATTATATGTACAATACCATACGTTCTAACTACGTAATTATGCGCTTTTCAATAAAAATGAAATATTTAAAAATATTTACAAATATTCATTCGAGTCTAGAACACGCCTGCTCAACACTGTAATCGTCCACTTTTGAAAAAGAAAATTAACGTTTAATTAATTCACGGAGCTGACATTACAAAAAAACATTCTTTTTTTATTTTAAAACTCGACAATGATTTTCTTTTTTTTTTTTTTTTTGAAGTTGTGTTTAGAAAAGTCGCAAAAATGGACAATTTTGTGAATATATTGTATAAATATAATACTGTTAAGTATTTTACTGCTTTGCAGATTATAAATAATAAATTATAGTTTTTAACCACTAATCGCAACTGAACAAAATTAACTGTAAATTTAAACTCATGATTAAATAATTAAAAATCAATTTATTTTACAATTTATACCTACTAATGAAATTTTATTACAATTTTTGGAAAATTTGTAGTTTTCTACTTTGATACATGTAATGAAATTGTTTGACATTAAGTTAATTTCATTTTTTCAAAACAAATAAGTCACTCCGCTTAAAATGATTTTCGCAAAATATTCAATTTATTCTACAACAGGTAATGTAATTGAAAAATATTTCTAAAAAATTATTATTACTATTATTATTTTAGAGTATTTAATTTTAACTTGTTTCCAGGAAGAACATATAATCATGCTGATAATTTATTTATTTGACAAATCATCGTAAGAGTTATTCTAATGAAATTTTAAATTTTTGAGTACATTTAAAAATAATACTGGCGTTTCTTAACAAAACACTGAGTTATTTTACTTGTTCGCAGAGAGAATTTGCCAACTTAATTGCGCAATGAGTTTTAACAAAGGAAGTTAATAATCAGCCAACGCTAACAATAAGTTTTAGTACAAAACAAAAGAGCTTCGAATATTTTTAAAAGTCTTTTGTCCAGTTTCACATCACAGACATAACCATACCCTACATAAATATCATCGAATATCATTCAGATACTTTGAAACAATCGAGTTTGTAACAAAGCGTGACAACACATACACACTCGTCCGCGCGCGGAAGTTCATCGGGAACTAACATAATTCTTCTGTAGGTGAAAGAGAGGGTTTATTTAAGTAATTGAAAAACTTTTTCAATTTCAATAACGACGAAACATGTAGGTAATTTGAATCCAAACGCAAAACATTGTTAAACTTACTAAAATGTAACCAGAATTATAAATGTTATTTACATTAGAATGTTATTTATGTCACTAAACTGTTACGCTTAAAATATTAGTAATATTACCAAAAGAGTTTGATTTAAAATGTTACCAACGAACGTTACAAAAATGTGTTATTACGTATGTTATATTTGAAAAAGTTACAAATATCTGTAAGTTATACTTTTTAAGGAAAAGTAAGGAAACGTTTGTATAAAGCGATAACGATAATTTAACACAACAAAATAAGATTTACTGATGTAAAATCAACATAATCGTACATTTTATTTCTCATTAAATAAACATGACATTATTTCCATAAAAGATTTGTGCAAACAATAGTGCAGAGCTTGCTGCAATATTGTCATCTAGTTAAAATAATAAAAATACTTGCAAATAGAGACACAAGTTTGAGGTATCAACTATAAATGACAACTGCAATTTATAAAAATCGTAGATGATTTCAATGTACACGCTTACGCTTGTGTCTTAATGATTCAAGTACTAACTTTAAACAGTTAAAATGGTAACTTGTTAACAAGAGCTGATAACATTACTTTTAATATTCATTTATAGTTAATCATATATTTGGTGAGTAAGTTTACTTTACTACAAAATCTTATAGTAGACTTTTTTTAAATCAATTAGTCGATGATTAATCTTGAAGAACGTGTACAAAACTTATAGGAAACATTCCACTCCTATCTGGTGCTCGTTCTAAAACTCCCTCCATCCAGTTGTCATCGTCGGTTTGTTCATTTATTATTATAATTACATCACCTTCGCGAAATGATAGCTCGTCTTCATTGTCTGCTTCGCAATCGTATAATGCACGACAACGTCTCAAGCTACCTAAATTCGACACCATTACAGGCTGCAAAATTAAAACCAATCATTATTCACTTTATAATAAACTCTAGTTTATTATAACATTATTTTTTTCCATTAAAAAATTCATAAAAATCATTTTTAATGATATGACCTTCAGAGAGTCACTTCTCCTTAAGGATGACGAATTACAACTTTTAAGAAACTTTCGGTGCTGTGTGGGTACGCTGACCCGAGTTATAGATTATTTTAGTTTAGAAGACATGGATCTTAAATAAGTTCGCTAATACATTCTTACAAAGAAATGTAAATGAAACAATTACCTTTCGTGTTTGAGGATTATTTAATCCGTGATCCGAACACAAAGAAATTAAGGATTCATTACTGCGACTGTTACTAAACCTTGTAGAGGTCGTCAAAGTTGGAGCTGGAGGAGGAGGATTTTTTGGCCTTTGAAGCGTTGACATATTTAATTTCTCCATACCTTGAAAAACATACCAGATCGTGCAGATAAATGTTAAATAAAATCAAGAACTTAATGAGACATTCCAGATGAAGTAATTACATTGATTATTATTAAATTGACTTTCTGGAGGATCAAGTTTAAATTTGGCATAAACTTTAGTCCTATTCGATACAATTTCAAATACCAAAAATTATTACTCTATCTCATTCTAATCTCAAATTTACGATGTTGTTTCTCTGTCATTCACTTTTATATATTTTTCCTTCTCTTTGTTTACTTTTTAACTTCATTGACCGCTATTCCGTTTCACACTATGTCTTTTATTGTTATCTCCTTCAGTCTGTTTCTAAGTCTTTTAGAATGTGCTCGTGCCGTGCGTTTCAAATATTTTGACAAATATCAATTTGACATAAAATTTTATTACACGGTAAAACTTTTTTTTAAAACAAATTATGAATTTTTCTTGTTTGTACATATCGTAATTTTACAATAAATTGCAGTTCTGAAGAGGGAGGAGGTGCCGCCGCAACGTTCAAAAATGTGTTACTAGTTTTACCGGATGTAGAAGAAGATATAGATAATATCCCAAGTGCGAAATACCAAGACTGCAAAAACGGCCCATCATTGGTGCAGTAATGTCTGCCGAGAATTGGCAGTAGTTACTGGGCCATTATTGGTGTCCAAAACGTCCCATTACTGGGCCAATGATGGCGCTGATGGTCACAATTTCAAATTTTTTAAGACTGGGCCAGCTCTCGGCCCAATAATAGCACATTCATGGCAAAGTTTATCAATGTTTAATGGCAAAAGACAATTGCCAGTGATGCGCCGACCATCGGCCCAGTAATGGCTCATTATTGGCACTTTAATGGCAAAAAATTTGTATCGTTCATGGCAAATTATAATTACCAGTATTGGGGAGTAGCTTGGCTCAATAACGGCACAATATTGGCAAAGTTGATCAATCTTTAATGGCAAAATTCAATTGCCAGTGATGTCACGAAGATCGGACCATTAATGGCACATTAGTGGCACTTTAATGGCAAACATTTTGTATCTTTGATGGCAAATTATAATTGCCAGTATTGGGGCGTAGCTTGGCCCAATAACGGCACATTCACGGCAAAGTTGATCAATCTTTAATGGCAAAAGACAATTGACAGTAATGTGACGAAGATCGGCCCATTAAAGGTACATTAATGGCATTTTAATTTGGTAAAATTTTTTATAAGAATTTAATTTTAAGAAACATTAAGTTATTCAATAAATTATTTATTTTGTATTTAAATAATTGAATAAGCTTGAAAAGGATTCAAATTAAAATATTTGAAACTTTGAATTTTCTATATTTTTAACTGTCAATTTTAAAGAATTAATTTTTTTGAAAAAGTTTAATTAAGTATTAATTTAAAAAAGAAGTTATTAATGTTTTCAAATAATTTTACAATTAAAGAAATTCGTAAATAAATGTAACAGAAACCTTTTTTTGAGTAAAATTTTTCCTTTATTATCTAAAAATTAAGAAATTTTCAATTTCACTTTCAATTAATATTTGCAATTGACAAATAGAATTTATAAACATTTTTTTCCTTTATTTTTTAAAAATCTTTGAATTTTTCTTAAAGCAATTGTAATTAAGAAATAAAAATGATGCAAATTATTTCCTTAAGAAAATTTATTGAATAAATGAATGTTTTTTAAAATTTAATTCTCATAATTCAATTTTAAGAAACATTTAGTTATTCAATAAATTATTTATTTTTGCATTTAAATAATTAAATTCTTGTAGAATTTTCTAGTAAAAATTGATTTCAAAATGGATTCTAGTCAAATTTTTAGATAATAATTAAATATTAAAAATATGCCATGAATTTTGATATTAAAATTTTTTGAAATTCAATTGCCAATGATGTGACGAAGATTGGCCCATTAAAGGCACATTAATGGCACTTTAATGGCAAAAAATTTGTATCGTTCATGGCAAATTATAATTACCAGTATTGGGGAGTAGCTTGGCTCAATAACGGCACAATATTGGCAAAGTTGATCAATCTTTAATGGCAAAATTTAATTGCCAGTGATGTCACAAAGATCGGACATTATAGCACATTATTGGCACTTTAATGGCAAAAAATTTGTATCTTTCATGGCAAATTATAATTGCCAGTATTGGGGTGTAGCTTGGCCCAGGAATAGCACATTAATGTCTATCATTTTGTATCTATGATGGCAAATTATAATTGCCAAAATTGGGACGTAGCTCGGCCCAATAATGGCACAGTATCGGCCAGTGTAGTGTAGCTTATAAGAACCCTTTTGCTTCCTCGACTTCAAGTCAGAGTAGCAGAGTGGTCAGAGTGTTAGGCTGTGGTGCGTCAGGTTCAGGTATCGATCCCCGCAAGAGGTAAGAATTTTTCAAATATTTGTAAGTTTGCGTTTAATTTAGGGAAATAAGCCGTATAAATGTTATAAATTAATTAGTTAATTAAATAAAAAAAAATTTATTTTTATTTTTTTCTAATTTTGTCTACACTGGGGGAGTAATGGCAGCCAATACTGGGCCATTAATGTCTGCTGAGATCTAGCTGCCAATAATGGGCCATTAATGTCTGCCGAGATCTGGCTGCCAATATTGGGCCATTAATGTCTGCCGAGATCTGGCTGCCGACGTCCAACCGCGGTTAACACCACAAGAGTCGGCGCCAAGTCGGGCCAATATTGTCTGCCAAGTCTCGATGCCAGCTTTGCCAATACTGGGCCAGTGTTGGGCCGCGTTGGTTTTCGCACTTGGGATTTTATGTCCTAGATTATTCTTGTCCCAGATTTAACGACCTCCTAAAAACCTCATCAAGGTTCTCTCCAGAGAACTAAAATGTCCACCACCATATTGCAGCCCGCAATTTTTGTGTAATTCCGCAAGAAGAATACAATGAAAAATTATTCAAGGCGCATATTCCAACTGGACACGGAAGGAGGGACAATATGCTGTATTACATTAAGAATACATGGAAACTGTCGTGGCGGTGATTATAAATGAATAATGAATTACCAAGATCACGCTACAAAATTTCTACATTTGCGACCATTAAAATCAAAACACGCAGCTAATGTGGCGGAGGAATTGTCGAAAATATTTTTTACATGGGGTGCGCCACAAATATTATAAATAGGGTTCGATCTTCAAATCGAGAATGTAGTAGAAATCCTTAAAATCGCTGATAAAGTTAATTCAATTAGCCTAATCGATAATTGCCACACTTTTATTACAAATAATTTCAAGGAAGTTGTTCATTCTGAAGAATTTAAAATCTCAGGGTTCGAGTATGGATGCTGGGCAGTAGATCAACAAATTGGAATCGCGGAATTTATGAAGTACATGTGATTGATTATATAATAATAATATTAATTATTTTAAAAATAATTATAATTATGATTATAATAATAATGGTAATAATTATTTATATTCATTTCAGTGGCAGAAGAACACATCAAAACACAGAATTATAAACGGGACACCTTACGAAGCTGAGCTAAGACCGATTAAGGCGGGTCTGAAAAGCACAGATTTACCAGACGAAGTTTTAAATAAACTTACTTCAGAAGAACACTTTAAAAAAAAAAGGTTTTAAATTAGAGCTGATTTCGGTATTTGTAGTAATGCATTAAAACTAGAGGAAGCAATTAACTGTGGGCGGTGTATTTTACAAGTTCACATACATTGCACTGATCTCAACTTGTCCACTGCAGACAAATTGATCTGTTTACTGTGTATTAGAGGACAACTAATTGTTATGTCTTGATGTTATGTTTGGTAAGTTCTTAATAGTTTTAATCTTTGATAGACAATTGACGACTTAAAAATCTGAATATGGAAAAATTATTTGAAGAATGATGTTTCATTCAATTGTATTGAATAGAAGTAAAGTTTATGTCCACTTTAAACTGATGTTTCAATTTTTACGTAGTTAATTTCCTGGAATACCTGGAATGCCTCATACATAGTTATGTGTACGTACGCATGAAAAAATTGCGATTATTTCTTAACAAGAAACAGACAAAATGGGCCAGTTTCATGCGGATGTGCACATATGTTTAAAAATATCTGTTTTTTAATAGTTTTAGGAAAAATAAAAACTACGACAACTATTAACAAAAGAAATAGTAAAAATTTATGTACACACGAATATGCTTGCTGGATAGAAGCAGGCTAATTCAATAACAAAAAATTTTAAATCTTGTCGACTATAGAGCCAAACAGTTCTCAAGCAATGCATAATTTATATATTAATTTATACTAATTCACTTTTAGAAGCAGGGAATTATTTTTTTATGGTGTGTCCCACACTTAAGGAAAAAATCTCAATCCAATAATCAGAGTTATAGGTTGACCGTTCAGTATAAAGTATGTCCAACACGTTGGTCTCATAGAACTTGAAATTGATAAAATTTTTTAATCAATCGAAATAATTTTTCGCTTACAAATTACCACCATAATTTTTACGGGATTCTCATTGATCTTAGCAGTTCTAAGACGTAAAAATTAAATTTTATTTAAAAATTCAATATTCTCTCAGGTACACATTTTGAAAAATTATTTTTGTTGGCAAGACAGCAAGGTAAGTGGTATAATTTTCATAAATAATTGCGTAAAGTATTAACTCAGATATTGTCAAGATACGGTGATAAATTTAAAATCGATCTTACCATGCTCAGAAGAAGAATCTCCACTTGGCGATCTCTTATGTTTATAGTTAAAAGCATTCAAGCAATGAGGAAGAGTATACACGGAATGACCAGCCAAAATAGGTTCACTAGTTGTTCGATTATGTGATGTACCTGATAAAGTTGCAGAGGATGGAAGAGTTCCATAGTGAGACGGAGTTACTGGTGTCCCCGTTGGTGGAGGTGGAGGCGCTACTCGCTTTTTCAGAGAACCGTGTAAGTTTATTGAAACATCCGGTGGGATTGGAGTCGTTACTGTGAACAATTATTTCATTCACACAGACAATTAGCGCCCAGTTACCGAGCAATGTTTCAAAAATCGGCGAAAGACATTTCAATATCAACATTTTATTGAATAAATACCTCGCGTGCACGAACGACGGTATTTTTGTAATTCATATGAAATGTACTAATGGGGACCCTGATTTCGAAAATCGAAAATAAAATATTTGAAAGAAAAATGATGTATTTTAAAAACTCACCAATAACGGGTTTCTTGACTTGAGGTGGAGGTGGTGGTGGCATTTGCTGTTTGCTTGCACAGGAATTTGGCGACGAACCACTTTGCAGACTGTCGCATGTACTACTTCGACTTCGTAAAGTAATTGGAGAGTCTGCAGTGGCCGTGGTCCCTCCACCTGCATACGATGGCGGTCGACTTCTGGTTTTCTTTTCCGGTGTCAGACTGCCATTCGGAGGTCTATATAGCTAGAAATTTATATTTGCCTTTTTACAAAAATAATTTGTAAAGATATTCATCGTGGTGCAGTTTAGGTATTAACGTTATTTCTATTACTTACTCTGTCCTCAATTATTGTTTCATCATCAGAAAAGTCAGTGGATCCTTCGTCGTGTAAGAGATTCCAATCAATATTCACATTATCAAATAAAGCCTTCTGCCGTTGGACAGCATGACTTAACTAAAGAAAAACAAAAGTATATGTTTAAGAGTTTTCCTTTCAAGTTTTGCCAAGGCGTAAAAAAGTACTTACTAATTCTTTGCATGTGTGGTGACCCATGTCTTGCGCTATATCTATAGAAGTCTTGTCCATGTTGTTTCGAAGCGTAGAATCTGCACCTGCCCTGAGAAGTAATTTCATGGCTTCGGCTTTATCATGGCGAGCGGATAAATGTAAAGCAGTGTCGCCGTCGATAGTTGTTTTATCAATTCCGCCGGCTGGCATGTTTTGGATGAGGAAGTCTACTACGTAAAGACTGTTTCCTAATTCACGAAGAACGGCTAGGTGCAGTGCAGTTTCATTTGTATCCTAAGAGAAATTTTAAATGATGAAAATGAAATGATTCATAAATAAAAACTACACGCACCTAATAGTTATAACTGTTAGCACAGGAAAAATTATAATACTTACCGATGTTGGCAGTGGTGCTGAAAGGTCAACATTTTCAGCAAAAACTTGCAACAGTTGTTGTAGATCACAATTATTAACCGCGTGTTCTAAATCTGATAAAAGATCCCTCTCATCAGCACAAGTATTAGTTACATACTTTTTGTCTACGTATTTTGATCTGATAAACTCGTATCGTTCCTCCCTAAAAAATATTACAATAACAATTGTTAAATAATTTCAATACAGTAGCATAATTATAATTATATTATGTCTATCAAAGCAAGTATCATACGAGGCATATTTTGAGATCTGGTTTTCTCTGTGCTATATGTGATAGGTAATATTTGTTATCTTGTGTTAAATTTTAATTTCTTTCTTATTGTTGCAAATGTGCCTATTTGAAAGACACTGTTTAAAAAGATTTAATGTTTGTCAAAATAAATATCTAGAGAATAAGAAATAAAAAAACTTTCTTTTAGAATAATTATTATAAAATTCAAATTACAGTGAAATATTAAAAAAACAAAATTAAATAAACATAATCATTTTAACTTTTCTTTCCTTTTAAATGATACCTTTTTAGAAGATGTGATTCAACTCAAAATAATTATCTGAAACAAAAAAAAGAAAAAAAAATGTATTTTTTTAAAAAAAGATTTTTCCAAAAAATATTAAAAAATTGTCAATTTACTATAAGATCTGGAACGTAAAATCAATGCTTGATTTTTTATTCTAAATGTGTACTTTTGAAATGTAAGAGAGTTTATTTTGAGTAGAGTGTCATGCTAAAGCTTATTAAGATGTCAGAAAATGTAAATGAACCAAATCAATCGGATACATCTGAAAATGATAACTTAGCGGTTTTTAAAAACACTAATGACGAATATAAAATATAAAATAATTTTTTGAAAATTAGTTTGGCTGGTAAATTAAAAAAGGCGAGAGATAAATGGCTGATTTCTGCTTGACGGGACGTAATCGATGACTGCCCTTCATTCCACCCATCGCCACTGAAGCACACTTACCAACCAAAGTCTCATCTTCATTATCAACTCCAAGTTAACTAATAAAATTATAAACTATGCATACTACTTACATAGTCGACCTAGGTGTGGGTTTCATGTTAGGATGCAGAGTTGCTTCCATAATTTCATTAAACGCATGATTAGTCATGTATCTCGATAACAGTAATTGAGCAGTACCAACATTGTCTAGAGTTAGCGATTGTATTCTTGATATATGAACACCAAGATCTCTATGGATTCCACTACATTCAATGCACACGATGATGCCAAAGTTTGTCGACAGCCACGTTGCATCTGTGCCACAAAAAGACTTTTCTCACTCAACATTCTAATTATAATTATAATCCGCTTTCTTAATAGTGAGTAGTTTTTACAAACCATTTTGAGACGAACAGTCGCAACATTGATCGTTACCAGGTAGCCGTGTGACGCAACGAATTATTGCTTGTTGTAATTCAACTAAACTAGGATTTCCATGACCACTTTCTGCTCGACCACTAGCGTCGAAAGCCCGCATTAAAGCTCTCTCCTTACAGTTGACTAGAACGGACATCCAAGCTCGTTGATCTAATTCATCTTCCGCTTGGAAATGGTATGTTCGGTTATCTGCAAAATTTTAAATAAATCCTCAATTTTCAACGGCACACAATTCTAAAATACCCTAAAAATATTAAGATTACGACATTGAAACTAATATTGTGAAATGTTCTCTTACAACTTATGAGGTCAAACCCCTTTTTGTCATCAGGCACCATTTTAATTTGGCATGTTAATAAATTTACTCTAGTAGGAGGTTTATTTTCGTCCGCATGACATATGTCTAAGAATCCCTCTGCTTGAATGGCACATCTTCTCTTCTGCCAAACTCGTCTCATTTTCCCTTCACTTTTCTTTAAGAGATGTCCTGAGCGAGTAACTCCATGCTGTTTATCACCTTGCAATTGATGTAAAGAATATCCAAGATTTGCATTAGCATTCAGCTGAAAGTAATAGAAATAACAAGTAGCAGTCGAAATCAAAATTTATTTACATACTGTTTAAAAAATATGAAAGTTGATATTTGTTCATCAAGAAAATACTTTTAACTCCTTGGCAATTGATGATGTGTACACACGTTATGACAAACAAGTTTTTACCTCAATTAACAGACAGATTTTTCTGGAACTTATTGGGTTTTTAGGGTAGCTTCTTACAAATCTAAAGGCAAATTTTAAAAAACAAAAATTGTGGAATTCTGTAATATTAGTCGACCATGTTGAATCATTCATATTTTATACATTTTTAAAATTTGGATCCACTCTTTTGTCATTTTATAAATCTGACATTTATTGTTTTCTTTATAGTGTCTTTTATGTTCATTTTAATTATTGTTTTATTTTTTGTTAATTTTTAATTTTTTAATTTTTGTTTTATATATTATTTTAGTTTTATTTATTTATGTTGTGTTAAATTATCATTTTAAGTCTTCGTGTATTTCCTTTCTGTTCTTTTATTTAATGTTTATAAATTATTATTTAATGTCTTCGTATTTTCATTTTATTTTTTTGTTTTTTGTATTATTTTGTAGACTCCCTGATGAGGAAATCGTATTGATTTCGAAACGTTGGAGCATTTTTTATATTAAAAAACCACTTGTCCGAATGTATTCGTGTAAAAAGTTATTTTACCTATTAATTTAATAAAATAAACTCGGACGTAAAAGTTATTTCAATAAATCTGACATTAATTTTAGCTTCAATGACTCCAAAAAACCCCCCTAAGTAATAAGTTTCAAGCAAATCAGGTTAGTTTTCTGAAAAAAGGGGAATAGGGGAGAAAATATTTGAATTTAGGGGATTTTTTTTACTTAAGGGGAAAAATACATAAATGTATTTCTAATATTTTGAAATACATTTAGAAATTCTGTGTCTAAAAAGATATCTTTAAATTTTAGGGTTTAAAAATACTTGAAACATTTACCTCTTTATCGCATCCTGAACTCTTCAGTAAATTTTTTAATTCTATAAGTTTCTTTCTTTCTTCATCTTGAGTTTGCCTAATTTTCTGTAATTTTGAACTAAGATCTGTGATATACGAACCGAAATGCTCTATAGTTTTGAGCCCATCCTGAAAGTAACTGAAATTATAAAAAATAGATTTATGAATAAGTTACAACTGTAAGAGACTAATTTTAATTTCTGGTTGATTTTTGTTACTTTCTCATGTTAATTGACAAACAAAAATAATGTATAACGTCAAATTTTATATGAAACTTTATGTCTTTAATAATTCTTTAGCTTAGTAAACCACATTATTTTTTTATGCGTAACAAAAATATCAAACTGAAGTAAATACTCACTTTGTTTGTGCGTGGTAGTACTCAACCAAATGCTGCAATAACTCGATACCCTTTTTGGTTTTAATTTCGTTATTTTTTATTAAATACTGCAAAAAACGAGAATAATGTTACAATTTTTGTCTTTAACAAAACTTTCTCATTTTTTTTTATTTCTAATGTTATACATACATAAATACATTCTTGAAGAGCATAAAATAATTTATTGCGTACCTCACACATTTGCAATTGAAAAAGTCGTCTTTCTTTCTCCATTTCATCAGCAACTTCAGCAGACGTAACTTCAGATCTGATAAGACCAGCTTCTTTAGCATGCTGTTTCTTTTCTTTTTCAATTTTTGCATATTTAACTTCATAGTCCTTCCACGATTTCTCAAAAGGCCGTTTAAGATCCCCTTTAACACCTTTTAAGTCTCCCTTTAAGATCGTATCCAATGGAAACATTACAATATTATTAATGTTTTGCATCTGTAAAACAATTAAGTTACATATTAAAGTGAACTCTGTATTGACTTAACTTTTTTATTTATACACTCGTCTTATAGCTTTTCCAGAAAATTCCAGTAAAATTTTGAATGTAATTTTCACCCAAGTCATTTAAATTAATTTTAACTTTAAAATGCAGTAGTGCCTCGCACATGCATTATGAGTTTATGCACAAAAATTTTTAAAACTGCACTAAAAAGTTTAAAATATTCAAAAAAGGTGAATCTGAAAAATTTCTAACTTATCAAAGATGAGAAAAGGATATAAACTTTTAAAAACTCTAGGCCTTTTCCATTATTTCCAGATTCTGCACAAACCTTGCGAAAGAATTGGGTGAGGGAACTTTTCGGAATTATGTCCATAAATTTTCCAAGTTTACGAGAATTTTAAGAGCGCCTATCTTACTTGAGATTCGTTTTTATAGCATCAAAATACGTACGTCAGAAAAACAGATTCTTGAAAACATTTCAAAATTTTGTGGTATTGTATTATGATTTTAAAAGTTATTTGCATACCAAAGTTTTCATCAATGCGCTGAGTTCCTTAGTTACAACAGCAAACTTCAGAAAAGCTGCACCAATATCAGGTTCTTGTTCTTTTAATGCGGCGTCACCTAACCTTTCTAGTGCACGTCCCAAGTAAACTTCATTATCAACGTGTGCTGAAAAATAATATTTTACTGTATGCTGCACTAAACCAATAAACCCACAATAATCATCTCATTGTCAGAGAGCACTCGAAAGTTAATTTTATTTAATTCATATTAAACGTTCAGTTTGAATTGTTTTCGAAATTTCAGCTTGTAAGAAATAAAGATACATTAAATTTTAAACATTATTAGGTATTAAAGAAATAATTTAAATATTATTAAAAATTACGATTATGCCACTATATTCCAACTATAGAAAAATTTGGTAAAATGTAAGGAACAAATTTTCTCCGTGTATAATAATAATAATAATGTTTAAATTTTTTTTAATATTAAACAACTCACCATTTCCAGAGTTGTGAATAGCTTTGATAGCTTTTTTCAGTTTATTCAATCCGTCTCTGTCGTAGTCCAAAGACTGTAAAAATAGATAAATTCGATAAAAATTCAAAAAGTGGCGCAAACGAAGTAACTTCGTTTGCATTTACAATTATACGTTTGCTCTTGGCAATGTAGTTACGAAAATTATTTTTTTCATTCTTTTTAATATTTGTCACATTGTAGCAGGAACATTATTATGTTTTGAATGTTACACAATTTATCCTTGTCGACTATTAATTAGAAGGTCCGGGTAAATTTTGTAATGGTATTGTCCTAAATGTTGTCATGGGATTTAGCGCGTGCGTAAAATTAGCACCATGTAAATTCATATTTTCCTGTAAAACCTAATTGACTAATGGAATCTCATCCTTGCGACTAACCAACGCTATCGTTGGTTAAGGCCTGATTCAGGAAAAGCATCACGTGCCCAATGTCTTTTGCAGTCTTTTGTGTAATGTTGAATTTATTGTGGTTAGCAAAAAGCCACAAACAAAAGAAGAAGAATTTACTCCGAATATTTCGGTGATCAACAAACACGAAGTAAAAGTAACTAACTTTTTTTCACTAACTTTTTTTATAAAAATGATATTTTATTTAAGAAAAATCGTTTTTAGATTGTTTTTAAAGAAAAAGAAATTTATTTTTGCGATAATAACGAAGTAGACACAGTCAATGACCTTATTTACTTATAATAAATGAATTGGACAAAGTACTACCTTGCATGAAATGTACACAATCGAGGTTAGTAAAATATCCTTTTTATATGCAAATAAAATAGTTTTTTCGTTACTTAAGTCATGATTAACCCTCCTACGGCTTTATCATTTTTCAATTTTGCAGGAAATAAATTTATAATTTTGTTAAAATTAATTTTGACTATTTCATATTTATTTTGATATTAAATACAACTATTTAGCTTCAAGTTACACTAAGAGTTTTATTTATATGACTCTCGAATTTAATTTTTTTTAAATAAATAAATAAAAGATATACCCCGAGTATACTCGGGGTTAACCGTAGGGAGGTTAATTTATACAGAGCTCAAGCGGGCATTCGTTTTTTGAGGATAAAAGCAGAAGATACTTCAGTCCCACAAGCAAAATATTGCAAAGAATACAAACAATTATGGAATCAAAATCACAGTAAGAAAAATGTGAATGGAATAAATTCAGATTTAAAATCAAAAAGTGATACATTGAAAAAAAATTTGAAAATTAAAACAGTTACTAATAAGCGTTTTGCCAAGAAAGTAAATTTAAAAAGAATATACATATTAAACTAAAATAATTATATGAAAAATTGTAAATAGTTTTATTTTTGGCAAACAAAAATTTATTTTCAGAGTAAGAAACTGAAGGATCGTCCTAAGCTTCTAAAAGAAAAATGTGCAAATGTCATAGAGGATAGGTTGGAGAAGGGAAATGAAAAATTATTATCGAAGGAACAACTGGCTGTACACGGAAAGAAAAAGTCCGTCAATCATTAATAGACTAGTATATTACTTTGAGACGGGACACAAAATCATTCAATGGATAACATACTTTGAGTCACAATCAGTGACGAGTTGCTTGCTAAAATTTAGAAAACTGTCATCAATATATAAAACTCGTTCACTAAAATTTAGAAAACTGTCTATTAAATTTTCTATGACTATCAAAAGCATTCAAAAAATTCAACTTCTTTCAGAATTATCCCTAATTTTAGACACTATTTGGTTCAGAATGAACACATTTTTTTCGTTGCACAGTTCCGATATTTTATTTACACTCTTAGACGCTTTAGACCAACACATTTTCCAACACATTTTCGCACTTATAATAACTACACGTAGAAACGCACACTTATAACACTTTAAGTTTAGAAGCAAACTGTTCTTATATACCAAATAACAAAATTTTTCACAACTTGTGAGAAATGATTTTGCACTAATAACTACTTTTTAATTAGCGAGAAATATAAAAGAAAATATATTTTCATCGAGGTCAATTTCTAGACGCAATTCAACTGCAAATTGTTAGTTAAGTTAAATATTCACATTACACATAATAGTATATAGGGATATGTATAGCAGACAGCAAAAACACATGGACTATAGAGAAACCGGAAGAAATGCGCATCGGTACACTGCGCAACAATGCGCTAGTGAAGAGCGCCGATTTAGAATACGAGTCAACTAACGTTTCACAAACTTTCACTAATGATTCGTAAACATTCAAACAGCCATTGATAACAATTCAGCATTAAATCTAAAACAATTGGTCACATACTGGCATTCTAATCAATCCATGACTCGTTTTCAATCGTTAAGTAAAGTTAAGTAACCATCAACGGAAAAAGTGTCCCGTCTCAAAGTAATATACTAAGGTAAAGGTCCCAATTATGGGACAATTTACAATTTTGTCCCTATTATGAGACAGTATTACAAAAAATAAAATAAATGCAATTAAAATTGGTCATAAGAAATTTCTACTTATTTCAAAAAATTTTACACGTTAAAAGAATAATTATTTGTGTATAGCATTTAATTTAATAAGAAATGTTTATTTGCATTTTAGCTTTTAAATTAAGGTAAGCCAAGTTTTTCGTCAGACTACCGTCCCACATTAGGTGCACTTATTATTTGCTATCCCTATTATGAGACACACAGGAAATATACAGCAAACATAACCTCAAATATTTTCAGTTGTTTCGCATTAATTTTCTACCAGAAAAATTAGTTTTATAATTATTTTTTAAACCAGAATTTGTTTATTGTATTTTATTCTTTATAATTAATATTCAAATTATTAGGATAAGTCAATAGAATTCTAATTACTTATTGAATTAAATAAATGTCTCATAATAGGAACATTCATTATGGGACACCCGTACATACAGAAATCATAGTCCCATAATTAGTGCAGTGCAGAGTTTCATAATTTAATTAATATTATTTTTATTTCATGAAAAATAACCATTTTAGGGTCTAAATATTATTCATAACATATCAATCTTTCAATCTATACCCTAATTATTCATATTAACACTCCCGATTCCAAGAAATTTATCATAGAAATTTAGTTTAGCTTAAACAGCGTCCCATAATTGGTACTTTTACCTTAATCCATTAATGGTTGACGGACTTTTTCTTTCCGTGTAAAAGCATGCGTAAATACCTCGAAAGTTAAGGCATCCAGGGGTATGCGATATAATCGTCAGTGGGTGTATGAATGCATCTTACTTAGAATTAAAAGCAAGAAGGCATACCGACACCTTAGAAAGCATAAGATGATTGCAATACCTTCATTCCAATCTCTCGATAGGTGTATGAGAAGAATGAAAGACGCGTATGATTTCAAGAAAATATTTTTGAAGCGTTAAAATTGAAAACATCGGCAATGAATCCAAAAGAAAGACTTGGTAAATTGGACATTTAAATTACCGTTTATTTTTATTGAAAATATTTATGAAATCTAATTTTTATATTTTGAAAAGTTTTATGATTACTTAATTATTATTTACTTCTCCCAACATTAAATTATTATTATTATTATAGGAGCTATTCTCATTGATGAAATGAAGCTTCCGACATCGTTGACATATAATCCCGTAAACCTTAATTTTGAAGGCTTTACAAATTTAGAGGAACAGAAAAAGTCCCAACTTGCAGATCATGCTCTCGTTTTTATGTTCCAGTATTTTATGACTAAACAAATTCAAACGTTAGGGTGTTTTTTTAGCAAGGGAAGTGCTATAGTACAGTTTTGCATAAATTGTTAATTGACTGCATTCATTTATGCATTTTGACTGAATTTTTTATCCAAAAATTCTGGTTTGTTGATTAATGTCATTACTTCCGATGGGGCAACATGGATTCGCAGTATGTGGGATTTAGTCAGAACAGTAAGATTATAGGTCACCGCAAGAGTCAGTCTGCCAGACAAGAATAATAACGGCAAGTATTGTTGTATATTTTATTACTTCTCTTTCGTTTTATCTTTTGACCTTTACATAGTTGTCACACCATCATTCCTGTTCTCATCCATAATTTCAATCGGGATCCCCCTCCCTTGTGCACTTTTGAGTTCATAGGTGGAGCCTTTTTCAAGAGTACTATAAGATCAGAACAGTCAGTATACTTTTAGATTTTGCGCCTCCCCTCTACCTGAGGATTATCAGTGAGAACACTCTCGTTTTTTTTGGTGAGCTTTTTCTTACCTTCTCAGCCTTTGTTTAACGTAATTTTGTGATACTGATATTTGCTTTTGTGTATTTTCACAGATATTATACTGATTGTACTTCATTGGCACAATTATCAGACAAAAATCATCTTCCAATTAATGTTCCAATTTCATTATTTACTGTACGAGTTACTTCCTCTGTACCAGATAATCTGCGTGTACTTTAATGGTGCAATCGAGTGCAGCGCAACAGGAAATTATTGTTGGTATGAAAGCTACAAAATTCATCCTTGACGACTGTCAATTAAAAGATCAGGGTGAATTTTGTAATGGTATTGTCCTGAATATTGTCATGAGTTTTGGTGCTTGAGTAAAATTAGCACCCGCACGCGTCAAAGATTACCGATATTCTTGAGTCGACCGTTGAGTAGATCACTTTAGATTGAAATAATATTATGTCGTCTATATAGTGAAAAATGTGTGGAGGTACCTCAGCGAGAGATAATTTGGATCGTCGACTGTAATCATCTCAATTGTAAGTCTTGACTGTTCATGACAAAGGAGAAACCAATCTAAAAATTCTGCACATCAATGGGATTCCGAAAATCGTCACTACACCTTCAACTCCAACTACACTCATGAACACTCTTTAAATATTGTTTACCAAAACGTCCGCGGTTTAAATTCAAAATTTTCTACGCTTACTTCTTTTCAAGATTTTAATTTTTACAATTTATTTGCTCTCTCAGAGACATGGTTCAACAATGATATCAATACAGAACCAATTTTCCCTGCTCACTTATTTAATGTTTATCGTGATGAAAGGAATGATCGTCGTGGTGGGGATGTACTATTAGCAATTATTAGAATAGTTTTGTAATAATTTTTTAAGATTCAAAATTTACTTTTTGGACTTATTAAAATTTTTCAGAAATCATGTTCCTGTTTATAATTAAAATTCTTCAAAAATTTGACCATTTTTATTTATACTTTTTAGAAATTCAATTATTTTTAAAAGATTTTACTAAATTTTAATTGGTTCAGAGATGAAATTTAGTTGAAAATTGTAGAAAATAATTAACTTCAGGAAAGGTTATAATTACTTATTTTCCGTAAACCAGGATTCCTGCAGAAATCCGAATTTAAAATTCCAAACCTTTTCCATGATTTCCAGGTCAAATTTTTACGAAATTCCAGTGAAATTTTAAATCTAATTTCATTATTTTTGGGCTCTTGAAAAATACTTCACTTATTTAATAGTCTCCACTCTTTGGTAAAAAATCTAAAATTATCAAAAATTCGAAAAACCGAATTTCTTAAAATTCAACATTTTTTCCTCTCTTATGAAATTTAGCTTTATTATTTTTGGGCTCTTGGGAAATACTTTACTTATTTAATAGTCTCGACTGTTTGGTAAAAAATCTAAAATTATCGAAAATTATCAAAAATTAAAAAATCCGAATTTCTTAAAATTCAACATTTTTTCCTCTCTTATGAAATTTAGCTTTATTATTTTTGGGCTCTTGGGAAATACTTTACTTATTTAATAGTCTCGACTGTTTGGTAAAAAATCTAAAATTATCGAAAATTATCAAAAATTAAAAAATCCGAATTTCTTAAAATTCAACATTTTTTCCTCTCTTATGAAATTTAGCTTTATTATTTTTGGGCTCTTGGGAAATACTTTACTTATTTAATAGTCTCGACTGTTTGGTAAAAAATCTAAAATTATCGAAAATTATCAAAAATTAAAAAATCCGAATTTCTTAAAATTCAACATTTTTTCTTCTCTTTTATGCCATTTAGCTTCATTATTATTTGAATTTCTATTCAAGAGAAAAAATGGAAAACAGGAAAAATTTAGAAACTTTTAAAAATTCCAGGTCTTTTCCATGATTTTCCTGATTTCCAGAAGCCTTTTAAAAATTCCATACCATTTCCAGGATTTCCAGATTCTGTAGGAACCCTGAGTAAATATTTATATTTTCCTACTGTAAAAAGAATTTCGTTAGGGAAAATAATTTTAATGTCAGTAAATTGTCAGGGAAATTGAAACTTGTGACCACCCTGAGTAATAAAGGAGCGCGAATTTCAATCACACGGGTTTACAACAAAAACTAAAAAAATTCCATGATCCGATTAGAAATTACATGAAATTTCCATGATTCTATGAATAAAAATGAAATCCCATGACAATTCCATGATTTCTAGGTTTTCCATGACTTGTAGAAACTCTGCTTGGAATTTTTTTTATTTGCTTCTGACATTAAAATAAATAATTATCAAAAGAAAAAAATTGCTTCCGAGGCGAGGAAACAATAATTTAGTTGAAATTTCATGATTTTTGGAAAATCCGTGAGAAAAAAATATGAACTATACTACTGTTTTCCCACATTTTTTTATTTTAGGGCTTGGAGGGTTTACTTGAGTTAATAACATATTAAATAATCAAATTTTATTAAGAAAAATTTGTATTTGCATTTTGTCGTTGAATCAACGTTGGTAACTTCAGTTTCATGAACAATTCTTGTAAGTGAAGAGAATTTTTTTTTCTAAATATTATCATTCTATTTATTTTCTTTTACTGGCGAACAGGCGAAATAAAGTATTTACCTTATGTCACCAGATAGTTACTGAAGATTTAATTCACGAGGATTATTTCGCCAGACATCTGGCGAAATAGACACTCCGATAATAAAATGATAGCAAACTTTTCGTAATTGTCATTTGATTAGCAACGCTTTTTGTGTTTTACTATTTAAAAAACAAGACTAAGTAAAAAAAATATGACAATTTTTTCTTAGTAAGCACAAGAATAATTCATCTAAAGCTTAAAAAGATTCTCAGTATTGAAGATGAATAAAAAAAGAAATGAAATTGAAATAAAAGTAATGTTTATACAAATTTATCGAGATTGTAAATAAAAGGTACAAACCTCTTCGAGTGCAGTAATAGTTTGTCTACATTGTGGCATTCGTGACACAAATGTTGATGTTGTAGGAGAGTTGTAATCCTCCCTGGACTCTTCAACGAAATCGCTCACTGTAATTAATCCTGGCATTTTGCACACTATTCTCACTTACAGTCCATTTGAAATTTTACTGTAAACAAATTAAAAATAATTTATCATCCAGGAAGAATGTAAAAATAAATAAAATTTAAATGTGCCAAAAAAAAGTGTAGAGTTTATTTCAAAAAGACAAGAACCCACAAAAAGAATAATAATTCACCTAGACAATGATGTTTTTTTAATTTAATGTGAGGAATTTGTCATTATGTTTTTCTTCTTTATCTCCAATATATATCCCACTTGTGTTATGGAAATCAATTGGAAACTGTATTTATATCCATACTTGATTACTTGCTCACACGAAGTATAGATTAACATTAGCACTCGATTAATAATGACAATGAATTTCACCCGACTGATATAACATGTTTCTCATTTAGAAATTTTGCGCATTGTTATAATCGGATATTGTTGAATTTATTTGAGAATTTAGCAGACATTCTCCGGTAGGCCCTGTCAGCCAACCACTGAACTAGACATGAATTACATGATCCAACTAGTTGGCAGTTAGAGGTCTCGCCAAAGTCGATCCGAATTAGGGTGTCTTCACACCGTCAAATGTAACACACTTCGCCGTATACATTGGATCCATTGGATTATGATTCAGATCACAAAGTGGTGCTCACTTTAATTTTTAAATAGAGTTTCTGTTATTATTTGAATAATAAATTGTAATTAGTTACTTAGGTAAGCTCTTAACTTTCATTTGTTCAAAAATTGGGAATTATGACAATTTATGAAATATACTTTAGGTTCTAGAAAAATATTGTCAAAACCTAACCTTTCGAATTCCCCATAAAAAAGTTATCAGATATAAACCAGAGAGCAATCTGCAATCTAAAGCCCAAAGCAAAATAAAACAGTAACGTGAACGTAATCATGTGATAGAAAAGGACAAACATATCTTTCTGTCTTTTTTTATCTCATGCTTGCGTCCTGTTCCCGCCTTTATTCTGCTTACGCCTATAGATGTAAATGCACCTTCATGCCATTAAGTGTAGAATGAGCATTATATAAATAATTTAAGGCTGCGTCTACAACAGAAAAAATAACATTTTTTGTTATTTTTTATAATTTTGTTTACCAACAAACAACACATTTTTCTTCTACATAATTTTTTCTATTGTAGACGCCGCAGTCTGAATGTTCTGCCCAAGAAGAAGTTGTTGGTTCTTTCACAACTTTGTAAAGATGCGCGAAACACCAAAACATTACTACTGCGCAGTGACATGCACTCTGGATTAACCACCTTTATGAGACTGCTTTTGCATCACCACCACCACTTATGTTATCGCCGTCCTGCCCTGTCTAGTCTAGTTTGTCTAGTTTTCTTGTTCTTCTACAGAACAACACAAGTTTGAGAAAAAAATTATTTACTAATTTGTAAATAACATCTTTAGAAGATGAATTGTGTAATTTAATGACTTCACATTAGTAGAATATATTTACTAATAAAAAAGTTTTGTATGTAAATTTTTCAGCATAATAATATAATAGAAAGTGTACAAATAGTATACACTAAAATTTTAATCGACTGATTGGAAAGGTTTGTATTGAATTGTTTTAATCACCTACACATTAGTTAAAATTAGTTATATATTACACATTGTAAACATTATAACAAATTTGTAACTTAAAGTGACAAATTTATATAACAATTTCGAAAATGTGCGTAAGGTTATGTTACGTGTTTACATATAATTATGTGAGTGAGACAATTAAGTGCAAATTGGAAATGTATTTATACATTTTAAATGTTGTGAATTGGATTTTTATTATCAGTCATTTCCACAGAGTATTTATTTCTTTGACAGATACGAATTAAAGGACAGTCCAAATTTTCAGTCACACACCTCCTCTAAACTAATGTGCTAATTCTAGTAAACCTACAATTTTATAACCCAGTTTATTTAATTAACAGGGATCACAGTTGTCCCCAATTCACATAATCCCCTTTTTTCTCCCCTTAAATTAAAATCCCCTAAAACACCATAGCTCATACATTTGTCCCCTTTTCCTCTTATTTTTAAGAAAAACTTATAAAAATTATCATTTTTTTGTAAGGTGGAAAAATTATTGCTTTTGCTTCAAGAAAAAAATTTTTACTTTTCACAAACTTTGGAAAAATTTTTGTTTTTTGAAACTTAAAAAATGTAAAATTAACTTTTACTTCTGTGCACAATTCAAATTGTTTGGAATTTTTGACAAATTGCATTTTTTCCGGAATAAATTTTAGTAAATTTAAAGTATATTTTACTAATTTTTCAATAAAATTTACTGAGAATATTATAAAATTAACTTTGGCAATAATGATTTTTAACTGTCGCCAAGACGAATTTATTGTTTTCATTTCTTGAACACTTTGCTTCCTCATGAAGATTTTTTTCGATCAATTTATTTTTTTATTCTTACAAAAATTTTATTACATTAAACACTTCTGCTTTTATAAAATTCTGATCGAATTAGGTTCAAAAATAGATCAATCGAAGCATTTTTTAATGCTCTAAGTAGGTTATGTGACTTTTTAAATTACTTAATAAAATTTTAAAAAAAGTCTTGTTTTCCAAAATTTTAGATTTTTAAAAGTTTATCTTCCTTCTTGGAACTTGTTTTTGTTTCTTTGAAATGACATATATAGCATATTAATTACTTATATTACATACAATCTTCCATTATATCGATTTCTCATAATTTGGGCGAAACGTTAACATCAAAATCCATTGTACATTGTTTAAGAAGATTTAAATTTCTCAAAACTGAATATGCCACAAATAGATTCAAATTATAGTTGAAATGAACGATAATTATGACAAATGACTTTGATAGATTAAAGCTTAAAAGAAATTAGATTTCAGAAACACGACTATTATTAGAAAAGTTGATAAGATAAGCTGAAAAGAATTATTTGAAAAGTATTTAGTTGGATAAAATATTTTGTATTTATGTCTAAAAAAATACATGTGCCAGTTTAGCGGAAAATGAAATGTTTTCGGTGCATCCTCGCCGAATTGCTTCAAACTTGGTAATATTACATTTATTCGTATAAAGTTTCAGAAGGTAATTTTTTTTAGTTAAGGAAAACAAATCTTGAACTATTCACAATAAATGTAATATTTGCTTTCAGTCAATTTGAACTGAGTGGGCATTTGTAATTTTTGAAATATATAAAACAGATCTTAACGAAAACTTTAGTTTTTGAATTTGATTTTACGCTGTAGATTTGTTTGATGAATTACAGAAGCATGTCATAAGAAGATACTAAGTGATTGGCATGGAACGAAGTATTCACGAAATGTTGAAAGACGCGCCGTCTCTTAATGAAAGTGCCAGTGCAATTCACAGTGGCACTCCTCCACCACATATTCAGAAAAATCGCTTGAGTGATGTGCAACAGCGACCGGCGACAATGAATTTAACACTTGGGAGTCCAACTTCCAAGTCCCGTAAGTGATGCACAGTACGAACATTATAATTATGCTGTGATAAAATTATCGTTCTAATTTGTCCATTTCTTCCTAATTTTAGTGCCTTTATCGCCAAGTTCTCCCCTTCAAAATGGAGACACGCAAACTATGCGGTCAGCTCATAGTAAAATTGAAAGTATTAGAAACTGGAGTATTTCAACGTATAAGTGTACTAAACAGCTTATGTATGAAAAACTTGGAAAGACGTCTCGCACAGTGGATTCAGGTAAATATTTATATTTATGAATTCCTTTAACTCTTTGCCGCTTATGTCATTGTGAGTCACGATGGATAGCCAAGTGTCCTTTCTGGGGAACCATCCTTGTCCAGCAAGGATTGAAAAAAACATTTCCTGACTTTTTAATAACCTTATTTCCGCTTTTTTAGGACAAAAATATTGTTACTAACATATTTAATAACAAATTAATGTCAAACAAGAGCAACAAATAATAATAAAAACCATTTTCATCTTGTTAGATTGCAAAACTTTTTAATTCACAAACAATTATAATAACAGGGTTGTCACGCTTTTGCTCTTTTCAAATTCACTGACTTTTCCAGGTTCTCCAGGTTAAGAACGGAATATTTCCAGGTTTTTAAAATACATTTACATTTTACCAAATTATCACCTAGAGAAATGATTTATTTGAATTAAATAAAATTTATTTCAAACAAATAAAAAAGGATATTTGTCACAGAACCAACTAAACTTTTATTTAGCTCAAATAATATTTTTTATTTGAATTAATATATTTCGTTTAAATATCCATTTTTATTTAAATGAAAAAAATTTTATATTTTCTTTAAATATATTTTATATTTAGAACAAATAAAAAACACTTTTCATTTTAATAAATCCTGTAAGCATTCTAAAATATTAAAATTCACTTATAACCTTCAAATAAATTTAACAATCACAATCACTAATGGAACTTTTAATATTCATTAAAATAAATGTTTATTTTTATAAGAATATTTGTTAAATAAAGTCAGGTTTTTTTATTGTTAGTCATTTTACTTTACTTTTTCACTTCATATGTAAAAGTCCACTGTCACATTTTTCTCACAAAATCTCAAATAAGACACTAAAATGTAAATGAAATCACATACAAATCTGTTACTTTGTACGCTTTGTACTAATTAAAATTTTCACTTAAAAAGAAAAATTCTGTACTTAAATCAATTAAATTTGTTAACTATTCATGATGAATAAACCTCTTATAATTGTACGCGTTAAACTGTTAAAAGCAAAACATCTTATTGTTTTACTATAGCAATGCAATATGCGCAGGCGTCTACTTATAAGTCAAACAAACATTTATTTGAATCAAATATATTTTTTATTTGCTACAAATATACTATTTCATAAATTGCAAATATATTTCTTTATTTTAGATTAATTAGTGCATTTATTTGAAATAAATATTAGTTTATTTATTTTAAATAAAATATTTATTTGCAACAAATAAATTTTTCTTAAATATACACTTTTAGTTAAAATAAATAACTTTTTTCTCTGGGTGTAAATAACTCCCTGATTTCCAGACAAAACAAAACTAAATATTTAATCATTATTATTTTTTCATAGAAATTAAGATTTTCAAAAGTTTTAAACTTTTAAAGTTCTATATTCAATAACACATAAGAATATTATTATAAAACATGAACATCGCTTTCTTCATGTTTTATAATAATTGAAAATTGCTACTTTGTTACTGTAATTTCTTCAAAAATTATTTTTATTATTTCGACTATTCATTTTTAAAATTTTCAACTAAAATTCTTCTTTAAGTCAATTTTTTAAAAATAATTTTTGAAAAAGTTCTTTGTTAATTTTCAAATCCTTTTGTTTACAATTTAATTTTACAAAATTTCGATTATTCTGACATTCTTCAATTAAATATATTAGAAATTAAAAACTTCAAATAATTTAATTAAAAAATTCCATTAAACTTTTTGAAAAAAAATTAATTCAACAGAATTCTTAATTAAAAGTATGAAAGTTTAAATTTTCAAAGACTTCAATTTGAAACCTTTTGAAAATGTAATTATTTTTAAAAATCCACGCTATAATTATTTAAATTTAAAAATAAATATTTTATTAAATAATTCAATGTTTCTTAATATTGAATTTTCATAAAGAATTTTATCAAAAAATTTTAATAAAATTTTTAAGAATAATTTCATTTTTCGAGAAATTTAATGAAAATTGTATTACAAATAATTAAATTAAATTAAAAATTTTTGAAAATAATTTCATTTTGGAGAAAAATTTTATTATTTATAAAGATAATTAAAATTTGACGAGAATTTTTGAAAAAATTTTGAACATAATTAAATTTCTGCGAAAAATTATATTAATTTTGAAAATAATTGAATTCTTGAAACGAATTTTATTAAAATTTCTTTTTGAATAATTCAATTCTTTTGTGAAATTTGTTGAAATAGTAGACATTGAAAATAATTGAATTTTGACAAATTTTTTAAATTAATTAAATTTATACGAAGAATTGTATTAAAATTATTTTGAAAGAAATTGAATTTTTTGAAAATAATTTAATTCTTTGAATAAATTCAATTAAAAATGTATTGAAAATATATGTAAAGGTTTTTAAATAATTGAATTCCTGGGAAATTTTGATTATTTATGAAAATAATGAAATGTTTGCGTAGAATTTTGTTAAAATATTTTTTAACTAATTGAATTTTTTTGTGCATTTTTATTAAAGTAGTAGAAATTAAAAATCATTGAATTGAGGAAAGTTTTTGAAAATAATTGAATTTCTGAGAAGAATTTTACAATTTTTTAAAATAATTGAATTTTTGCAATCATTTGTAATTGCTTCAAAATTCAATTTGTTTTAGTGTTTTTAATTAAAATTCTTCTATAAATCCATTATTTTTAATAATCAACTAAATATATATATTAACAAATTTAACTCATTTCAGAAAAATTTTCGTTTTTAAAATTTTTTAAAAATCTAGGTTTCTTAAAATTTATAATTAAATTCATTTAAAATTGAAATTTTACAAAATTTGAAATTAAAACCTTTTGAAGTTCATCTACTTATGAAAATTGTAAACGCAACTCTTTTAAAATTGAATTAATTTTGAAATATTCAAGTAAAATTAGATTTCAAGAATAAACACAATAATTTTAGAAAACATTTTTTTTTAAGTATCTAATAATTTTGAGAGTGAATCAGAATATTCTTTAGGGTCAGGAAAAAAGTCAAAATTTTGCCTGGAAAGTAGGGAAAAGCAAAATTAAATTTTTGTGACAACCTTGTATAAAATTGTGGTTCCTCTTTGAAAAAAAATGCTCACCCTTCGACAAAAATCGATTTTTTCAGAATTGGAATCTCAAATAGACTTACTGCGAGAAACTCAACGTAAATATTGTAATATTTTACGATTATCACGAGCCTTGTCATCTCATTTCTATCACGTTGTTCAAACGCAGCACGCACTAGGAGAAGCATTCTCAGATCTAGCTCAGAAATCGCCAGAGTTGCAAGAAGAATTTTTATACAATTCTGAGACACAGAGAAATTTAACTAAAAATGGTGAAACTCTTCTCGGTGCCTTAACTTTTTTTATTTCATCGGTAAACACTTTGTGCAATAAAACAATTGAAGATACGTTACTGACTGTGAAACAGTACGAAACGGCAAGGTAGGCACTCTATAATTATTATGCTTAATAATGATTTATTTATTTATTTAAGTAATTTTCTATTTTAGAGTAGAGTATGATGCGTACAGAACCGATCTTGAACTATTGACTCAAGCTGCGAAAGTAGATGGCAGCAACGTTATAAGATTGGAGGAAGCCCAAGCGAATTATGAGCAGCATAAACAGCATTTTGAGAAACTGCGCTCAGATGTCTCAATTAAATTGAAATTTTTAGATGAAAATAGAGTAAGTATTTGAGTTTAGGCCTCGAATGTTATGACTTTTTTTTTACTTGTTTTCAAAAATTGTGACTCAATAGTAATATTTAAAAAGAAGTGTAACAAGAGTAATAATAGTTTAATTAATCATATTGCAGAAGAAATGTAACTAATTTTATTTTTTCAGATTAAAGTGATGCACAAGCAATTACTTTTATTCCACAATGCAGTTTCGGCCTACTTTTCAGGAAATCAATCTGCATTGGAAGCGACTCTGAAACAATTTAATATAAAAGTAAAATCACCAAATTCATCGTTTCCATCCTGGTTGGAACAATAGTCTCAGAAGTGAAATGTTTTATAATAATTTATTATACTTTTTAAAGCTGATTTTCATATAATAGAGATTAAATGTTTTATTTAAGTGACAAGCACCTCATATTAGTGTTGAAGTTGTACTTAAAACAAATGTATATGTTTTACGCGATTCGACATTAATTTCATTTATACGCGTGAGTGGATACAAACACTGAAAACTTTTCTTTAGCTTGAAGATAGTAGAAAAACATATTTTAAAGTATCTTTCCTCAAAGATTAAAAAAAATTGCAACGCCATTTTTTTTTTATAAGCCCAACAGTAAGCTGTTATATGGTGAAGAAAAGTCTAAAATTTAAAGTATTAGCCAACAAAAAAAAACTACGAAATTGCTAAAATCTTGACAAAATGACGTATATATAAATATTAGTAAGAAAAAAGTGCGTATACCAAAATGTAAGTTATCAGCAGTAAGCTAATATACAAATGAGTCCTAAATCAGTAAATATGTCGAACAATACTCCGAAACAGAAAGTTCAAAGTTGTCCATGTTTTTAATGCCATTCAGAATTACAGTATAAACTGATCCTTTTTCATTAAAGAAACATCAGTTTTTACAAAACAGTTTGTTAACTTTTAAACGAACAGTTTATTCGTATTAAATTTGTAACCCACATTTCAAATCAGGCAAGCTGACTTTCTCTAAATGCTAACGTAACTCATAAATCTATCATTTGTCAAGTTATTTGTAAGAATACGTCTTTTTTTATTTATTGTAATTTTTATCGAATCTACACACATTTCTGAAACGTTTATAAATGTTCTGTAACATTTACGTCGCGTCGTCCATTGCTAACGTTTCTACGCATATTAATATATACCTATTGTTATTGATGTTTTATTTAATTAGAAAATATAGAGTTTAATATATTATACACAATTTATGGGGAAATATAAAGACAAATATGTGAATACAAATGTAAATATTAATATGAAATTATATAATTTCTTATTCTTAACGAATACTATAAACTAAAAGCACCGATTATCTCTATTTTCTGAAATTTTAGACAGAAACGATTACCTAAGTTAACTTGAAATGATTATGAAAATTAAAAAAAAAAGTTATTTTAAATTAAATTTATATACTTTTTTTCTATTTAAATCCAGTGAAACTGTTTATTTTAAAATAAATGAATGTATTTTCGTATCATTTCATGTAATGTACATCATTTTCTAACGCTATGTATAATTTGAGAAAATAGAACACAATTTGGTCGGTGCTGCGAGAATATTCACAGTTTTACAAAGTTTTCCTAAAGGTGAGTCCAACAATGAGATAAAAAAAGGACGAAACAATCTCCGTCCTTCTCTATCTCATTGTCTTAGTCGAATTGAACTCACCTTTAGGATTGCCAACCATAAGTAAACCGCAAAACTTAATTTAGAAATTAAAATACTATTTATTTGTGTTCTTGGCTACCTGCTTTGCAAAAGCCAATATTGGGCTATATAACCAACAAAAAAAATAAAAAATACTATTTATTAATACTGTAAAGCTTCGCATATTTATCTCTCTAATTTATTGATTTATATTTATTATCAAGAATGATAATAGCATTCATATCAGATAATGATTTTCACATCATTGTCGACTTTTATCATTTGTTGAAACTGTTGAAACTAAAAATCATCAAAAAATCGTAAAGCGGTTCAATTGACATAACTTTAAATTAAAAAACTGTTTTTAAGAATTCTCACTGCGATGGTGATAAAAGTTTTTATAAAATACTAATTACTAAAATTTTGCGTTTTTTCCATAAACTTAGTTAAAAATTGTTTGCTGTGACTGTAGAGAAACTATCCTTTCAAAATTTAGCAAAATTAATTAAATTCCCAGTAAATGAAAACTAATTGAAACGAATTAAGATTTTTTAATAGAAATTATTATTTTTTTTTTATTCAGTCAAGCTCTTTGTATATTCGATTGAATTTCACTCAATTTGTGCAAAAGAATTCGCATTCGAAAGAAATGACCAAGGCGTCAAAAATATTGATTTTCTGTTATTTATCACACAAAATCGGGACGAGAAAAAACTAGTAAAAACTTAGTGAAACGTTAAATACAAATTATACATTAAATGGCAAAGCATTAAATACAATATTTAAACTTTCAAATAAAACTGTATTTCAATATTTATCAATAAATTAATTCTAAATTTTAAAATATTCTCAACTTTTCTTGATGTATCCTTTCTAAAAAATAATGTTAACGATTAAAAAAATTTCACAACAATGTCATTTTAATATGATTTCAATAAAAAAAAAACACATAGTTTGCAGTGGAAATGAATTGCAAACTTTTTGATTAATATTACACTGATGATTCCTTGCACAGTTTGCGTAGATTGTTAGTTTGCTTGATTTGAAATAATTATTGACTTAGAATGTTCTACTGTTTTGAATTTAAGAACGAAAAAGAATTTAACATTCCAACAAGTATAAATATAAACAATAGGTTTTGTTACGTTATAAGGCAATTTCTTAAATTAATTTTCATTTATAAGTTTGTGAAGAATAGTTGTTTAAATGAATTTTAACTGAAATAATTGTATTTCGATATGAAGATCAATTTTTCAGATTTTATTTATGTGTATGTGTGAGTATGCTGTGTACGAGACATCGCTTTTTGTGAATAAATTACTTGAAGGTTTCAACAAATTATAATCAAATTTATATTTATATATCTATCGAGCATAATAATTTTCGGAAACTTGCCTCTGATTTCAAATTCAAACCTTTTTAAATTTAAACAACTTATAAAAAATTGTTATAAAACATGAAGTAATCGATCACTCCGAGTCTTCGACTCGGAGCAATCGATGTCTTCATGTTTTATAATAAATATATTATTTAAAAATGACCGAGTGATAAAATCATTATTTTATATTATAAGACTATAAAAAAATTGTAATTATTTTTTATGAAAATAATTTAATTATTGGGAAGAAATTTATAAAACATTAATAAGTAATTGAATTTTGCAAAAGAATTTTGATATTTACAAAGATAATTGAAATTTTGAGAAGAATTTAAAAAAAAACTTTTTATAATAATTGAATTTCTGCGAAGAATTTTCTTACTTTTGAAGATAATTGAATTTTGCAAAGAATTTTATCAGAACTTTTGAAAATTAAATAATTAAATTTCCAGGATGAATTTTATTATTCATGAAGATAAATAAACTTTTGACGAGAAATTTAAAAAAAAATTTGAAAATAATAGAATTTCTAGGATGAATTTTATTATTTATAAAGATAATTGAAATTTTGACAAGAATTTTACTAAAATTTTGAACAGATATTTTTAAAAATGTTTAAAAGTAATTGAATTTTGCAGAAGAATTTTGATATTTAAAAAAATAATTGAAATTGTGAGGACAATTTTAAAAAAATTTTTGAAAATAATTGAATTTCTGCGAAGAATTTTCTTACTTTTGAAGATAATTGAATTTTGCAAAGAATTTTATCAGAACATTTGAAAATAATTAAATTTTCAGGATGAATTTTATTATTCATGAAGATAAATAAAATTTTGACGAGGAATTTAAAAAAAATTTTGAAAATAATAGAATTTCTAGGATGATTTTTTTTATTTATAAAGATAATTGAATTTTTGACAAGAATTTTATTAAAATTTTTACAATTAATTAAATTTCAGAGAAGAATTTTATTATTTATAAAGATAATTGAAATTTTGAACAGATTTTTCTAAAAAAATGTTTAAAAGTAATTGAATTTTGCAGAAGAATTTTGATATTTATAAAGATAATTGAAATTTTGAGAAGAATTTTAAAAAAAAATTTTGAAAATAATTGAATTTCTGCAAAGAATTTTCTTACTTTTGAAGATAATTGAATTTTGCAAAGAATTTTATTAGAACTTTTGAAAATAATTAAATTTCCATGATGAATTTTATTATTTATAAAATTTTGACTAGAAATTTAAAAAAAATTTTGAATATAATTGAATTTCTGAGAAGAATTTTATTACTTTTGGAAATAATTTAATTTTAGAGAAGAATTTTATTATTTATAAAGATAATTAAAATTTTGACAAGAATTTTATTAAAATTTTTTTTATTGAATTTCGGAGAAGAATTTTATTATTTATAAAAATAATTTACATTTTAAAGAGAATTTAAAAAAAAAAATGTTAAAAATACCTAATTAAAATTTTGCTATGAATTTTATTAACTCTCGGAGAACACACCTTTTTTTCTTTTTTAGACCATTTTTCAAAGCTCAACCAATTTTAAACTGCTCATCTAATCAAACTAAATAATTTTTTTAAATATAGTTTGAACTCTGTAGAATAAGTCTGTATACTTGAAAATCGTTATTAAAAATATTTTTAAAAAAATAAAAAGCTTTTCGTACAAAAGCGTGGGGTAAAAAAGATCCCCATGTGTTCTCCGAAGGTTAAATATTATTCCGAATTGTTTGATATTAAAGTATGTGTTGTCGAGAAATGTGATTTTTTTAAATTTTGACAATTTCGTGTTTTCTTTTTGTTGTTTTTTCTAAATTTTCATGCGACTCTTTTCCGACTTTTTCGGAAATTTTATGCGTCTTTTCGTGACTTTTGTTGTGAATTTATGCGACTAAAGGGACTTTTTTTTTAGTTTTAAAGACGATCCGAGCCCTGAATGTTTTAAAACTATTTACTATAGCAAACTGCGTGGTAAAATTATATTTTTTCCAATCTTATTTTAAAAAATCCTGTTTTATTTACTGAGCGAAAGGCACCGAATTAAGGGAATATGCAAAGAAAATCAATGACCAAAACATAGGTCAAGAATTCTTTTATAGTTTATTTGTCACACTTTCTTCTTGGAGATTTGTATAGGTTTTCTCTCCTAAATTGAAATAAATTTTACGGAGATATTACACAGAAATAAATAATGAACAAATATCTTACCTGTATAATTTAAATTGAATGCGTGTCAAAAGTAGATTGTTTTCACCAAAATGACTTTAGAGGTCCGTAGAACTGGAAAATAGGTCCAAATATTTTAAAGGCAGAACTTCCTTCAACTAGGCCGTGCAGAAATCTTGTAGATGAAGATGCAGAACGCGTTTAAAGAACTTTTATTGAATTTTGTGTTGAAAAATTTTGTTGTGACACATACACTAAAATACATTGAATTTTAAAAATCGGACTCTTAGGAAATTACCATATTTTTTATAGAGAGAACTGTAATTTTGTTTTCATTATTTTGATTTCTTCTTCAAAAAGAAGGCTTCTTTTATTATTAAAGCTAATGCATGATTTACAAAAAGGAATGATTGTATTTATAACTAATGGTTTATTTATGTTAAAAGGAATTTATATTATTAACATTTTATTTATAATTTTTTAGTTCTTAAGAACTAGTAGCCAACTTTATAAGTTGGACTTGGGTGTTTTAAATAAAAACAAATATTGTCCGAAAGTGTAACTTTAAATATAATTTCGTGAAAATACTAAATGTTTCTTTTATAAAGAGGAGACATCAGCCTGGTTGAACTGTCGAAAAAGATGTGTGTATACGATAAATATGGATATACAGAATTAATTTTCAAAAATTGTTTATTTTTCCGAAAGAGAATAAAATTTCTAGTCGTAAAGTTTAACGACAAAATATATTAGTTGTGCTCAACTCTAAAATAAAAGCATAAGCCAAAGTGGAAACATGAGTTGAAACCGTTCATGAAACTATGCATTTGATTTTGGTTTTATAATAAAGTAGCACATGGTGCGATGTTAAGTAATGAACGTCAAATAAAAATAAAAGTATTCTTTTAACGGTTACTTCTTATATAGTAATGTATTTAAAACTTTAATAGCGATAAAAAAATAACGTTTAATTATTCATACGATTATCTTGAAAGATATATTAAAATTATAATTCTTCAGAGTGGCTCCACAAATGTTGTCTAAAAGCTGGTTAAAATAAATTTTACGTGGCCCACATTTCCAATTCCTTTAAGTCAGGATCCTCTTCGACTGGTTTTGGTTCTGTAATAAAGAATAGGGAGATCAGAAACAATAGTATGATACGATTTGAAGAGGGAATAAAATGATGGTCATACTTGAGCGCACTTTAGCTGGCACTGCGGGCGCAGTTGCCGGCACCGCTGGCAGTTCGTCCGTATTTTCAATGCCAAGCAATTCTTTGTCAAGTTGTTCTTGTTCTAATTCTTCTAATTCCTTTTCTAACTCGTCTTCGTCTATATCCTGACCGAATGCAACAGGATTTGAGATTGCGTCTGAAATTTCACGAGCAACGTCCTGTTGTTCTGCTATGTCATCCATCATGTCATGGACTTTGTCGACATCCCTGGAAGCAAAGTTTTCTTTAAGTAAACAACTTACTCATTTGAAATATTATTTGGAAAATTATTCTTCTAAAAAATATTACATGTGTTGATGTGCAGCTTTAAGAGCATCTGCAGCACTTTTCATTGTTGTCAGTACTGCAGTATTTGTATTAGCACTTTCCAATGCTTCCCGCTGCATCTCGATTGTTGACAACGTTCCATCTATTTGTTGCAGTTGCTTCTCATAGCGCTTTTTTCTTTTCAACGCTTGAATAGCCGCTGAGGAAAATTTAATACTTGAGTAGAATTGCATTTTTTATTCAGATGTGACTTTTTTTGTGTAAAATCTTCAGAATGAATAACTTTGTTAAATAAATATTTAAATGCTTCTTATTTGTTTTTTCACGGGAAATAAAATTTTTTAAAATTTCAATTTAAAACCTTCTGAAATTTAATAATTTCTAAAAATTACAACTATAACCCTTAAAAAATCCAATTATTTTCTTCAATTTTTCACAAAACTTCATCTCTAAGTCAATTATTTAAATACAAAAATTCAAATTATTATAATAATTATAACTGTAACTGTCCATATTTTAAAAGTTATGTTATAATAATTTGTAATGTAATTTTTCGACAATAATATTTTTTCTTAAAACAATTTTTGTATTTAATTTTAAAAAAATTAATTACTTTTTTGAAAAATTCTAATTAAAAATTTTGAACATGATTGTTTTTTCCAAAACTTTAAAAATAATTAAATATAAAAATCGAAATAATTTGCATTTTAAATAAAAAATGAGGTATTTTGTTGCAATATTTGTGTGAGAGTCGCAATTTTTGAAAATAGTTGAAAAAAATCAAAGTCATAATATCCGAGGCCTGATAATAGTTAAAAAAATTAATGAATAAGGAACAAAAATGAAAAAGCGTATTTTCAATATAATTATTAATTATAATAATTAATAATAATAATGAAATCAGTAATTTTAACATTAGTACTGTTAATCATGTAATATAAGAAGCACTATTGCTAATTCTATGCTATTAAATTTTATAATAGAATTAATTGAACATAAAACTTGCCTAATGAATCAAAAATTTATTTATTACTACTTAATATTATTTATTTGAAGAATAAGTTTTTTCAACATTAATAACCAAAAATTCACAAAGTATTTATCCCCCTCCAAGCATTTATTAAATGTTTACAGAAAATTAATAAAAATAATGAATTTATTTAATGAGAAATTCCATGAGAGTCATGAATCAAAATGAAATCCCATGACAATTTTATGACTTGTAGAAATGTTTCATCGTGAATTGTTTTCGATAAAAAATTTATCTTTTTGAAAATCTTCAGGGTGGTCACAAGTTTCAGTTCATCAATTTCCATGACAATTTACTGACATTAAAATTACTTTCACTAACAAAATTCTTCTTACAGGAAAATATAAATGTTTACAGAAAATTAATAAAAATAATGAATTTTAACAATTTCTAAAAATTACAATTATAACCCTTCCTGAATTCAATTATTTTCTACAATTTTCAACTAAACTCCATCTCTGAATCAATTAATTTTAAATAATTTTCCAAAAGTTCTTCTAGAATTCAATTAAATTTTAAAATAATGTTTGAAAGATAATCGTTTTTTAATTTTGAAAAAATTTCCAAACACTTGATTAAAATTTGGTTAAATCTTTTAAAAATAATTAAATTTTTGGAAAATATAAATAAAAATAAATAAAAATGTTCAAATTTTTGAAGAATTTTTATTATAAACAGGACCATGATTTCTCAAAAATTTTAATAAGTCCAAAAAGTAAATTTTCATAAATTTTTATTTACATTGTTCGAAGAATTATTTATTTATTTTACAAATCTACGGACAGTGCCCTTTCGTACAGAAGATAATTGAATCTTAAAAAATTATTATAAAACAATTCTAATAATTAGTTTTTAAAAATATTTTAATGTAATTTTTCGAAAATAATTGAATATTTCTTGAAAGAATTTTTGTTTAATTTAAAAAAAACTAATTAATTTTTTGATGAATTTTAATTTACAATTTTGAAGATGATTGTTTTCTCCAAATTGTTAAAAATAATTCTAAAATGCTATTATTTTTTTATGTATTTGAATTTTTGGAAATATGTAATTGAAAATATTGAATATATTGAATTTTAAAAAATTAGAAGCTAATTTTCATTAATTTTAATTTTTTAATTTTATAACAGTGCGTAAATAAATTACTTTACACATTGTGATTGTTTTTAATGAAAAACAAAAAGGGGGATGCAAAGGACAACAAACTTCAGAATCATTCACATATAACGTGATGCATGTTTGATGATTCATATCCCCCCTCACAGCGTTCCTCGTTTTTGTACTTCAAATTGCAATAATACAAATTTAACTGCTTTAGTGTTGCAAAATATTTCCTGACAATCGTGTATATAGTTCAAAAAAATACCACGTATAGACAGAAATTAATTTTACGAGAAAATGATTAAGAACATTCAATTGTTTGATACTTGAAATTTAAAACTTTCCATAATTGTTTGAATAAAATAAAATAAACTTCCAAATTTTATCTAATATAAAAATCAATAGAAAAATTTGATTTTCCATTATTACAGTTGTATTAAGCAATTTTGATTAAGACGACAAAGTTTGATCTTGTATTGTTGCTTTTTATTTAACCCTAAATTGTCAAAAAACAAATTAAACTCAAAATTGAAGCAGGTGCCAAAATTGAGGGTTAATTTGAATAATAAATGTAAATACCTCGTTTGTTCTTTGTGCCATGTTTTCTGGCTGTTTGAATTTCAAGTACTATCTTTCCTTCGAGGAAATCTTGTTTTTTAATTAACATTTCTTCCGTTTCTCGCAATTTTTGTATTGCCTCAGCTGTTGTCGGAGCTCCAGCTTCTTTTTTACCACCGAATATTTTAAAGAAACTCATTTTTAACGAGCACTGGGTTTTTTTTACTTGTCAAGGGAAATGTAAATACTCGAAATATAAAGAGAATCTTCGACTATGTTACATGTCAGTACATTACTAGTAGTAATCTAAATTTCTATTATACTCGTTATAATTATATCTTATAAAGTGAACTCAGCAAATGACGTAAGTTGTCCATGTAAACGAATCTTCACATGACGATGACACTAGCAGGCCAACAGATGTGAGCCGAACACAAAATATTGTATTTTCTAAACTCGTTCACAATCATGAAACATGAGGTGCAGTTCACAATGGAATCATTCGATGCATACATCGAATGATTCCATTGTGAACTGCACCTCATGTTGCGAAATGCGTACGGATTACGGAACGGATGCTAAAGTTGTGTGCACAATAGCACCTTGAGTCCTTGAACGGAACGTAAAAAATGCAGGCATGTGAACACAGCCTAAGTAAACGCAACTTTTGTAATAAACGTAACATGCTACTTACTAGCGAACCCTGAGAATACCTACTTATTCCTGACTTCATTACACATGTGTTTGTTTTGGAAAACTTGAGTCAATTTATCTGAGAGAATTCCGGCCTACCAGCTTCCTTGACTGAAGTGTTGAAATCTGTATATATAGAATCGTGAAAAGTGATAAGTCAAAATTTTGTGAATTTAAAAACTCGATTAAAGGAGGGATACATTTTTTATGAACGTTGTGAAAAATCAAAACAGTCAAAATGTGTGCGAAAATGGCATTTCAACACCAAGCTGGCACAGCCATGCAGTGTCTAAGTGTAAGTACAATATGTATGCCTTAAATTACAGATGTAGTAACAAACAAATTGTTACTATAATATTTTTTTCCCCATATAAATATGTATCGAAATTTTACAAATAGATTCGCTGAAAGAATATCTTGCATTCTGAATATATTTTACATTTTGTAAAAAAAATTGATCCGATTTTCTGTTTCTTTACAAAAAGTGTACATATATTAAAAGTATATTATCAACTAATTACTTACAGGAGACTAATTGAAAGATAATTAACTTAAATTTGAAAAGAAATTCTTTCGAAAAATACTTCTAATATAGTTTGTATTTAATATAATCATGTGTAAATGTAAATTTTTTATGTAGATTGAAGGTTACTAATCAAAGTTTCTTAGTGTTTCGCATTGTATTAATTGTCTAATCTAAAAATTTATTTTTTCTCAAATTTATCTGGTGTATAATCAAGTACGTTACTAGATGTACACTTATCAAAAATAAATATTTTTTCAATCTGACTTAATTTTCAAAGGATACATTTTATGGAATTGTTAATAATTGATACTAATTTATAGAATTGTTAATTTTGAAAACTTTAAACTATTTATAATATAAATGCATTCCCAATGAAGTTGTCAACTAGAAGACAAATTATTTTCTATCGTAAGAAATATGTATGTTGTAATAAAATTTACATTATAGAGGCACTCTGTATGTCAACCCACCTACTCAAGTCAATGGCTTTTTAATAAAAACTCATTATTATTCGTAAGAAATTAAAAACGCGTAATTTAGAAAAACAAACAGTAAATATGCTTATTTCAAATGACAGTTTTTTGAAAGAAATGATTTTTCTAAAGTTTTCAACATTTACATGAAAAAAAATTTTTTTACATTTTTTTTAAATTACTGTACAAATAAAAAATGATTAATAATTAAAGTTAAACATTTACTTATTCAAGCATTAAGTTTTAATATATCAAATATTTTTTTAATAAGAAAATAAAAATTAAAATAAGTATAAGGGTATAAAAATTATTATTATTCAAAAACTATTAAATATTAGCTGTTGGTACTTAACAAAAATATAAATCTTTCGTTTCTGCACGCACTAACGTCGAAAATAAACTAAAAATTTTATTATTTGTGGACGAAAGTCGAAAAGTGACTTTAAAAATTTGTTTCTTAAAAAAAATTACACATTTTTTTTACTTACAACTTTTTTCTCGGACCTTAAAAAAATTTCAGGTTTTGCAAATATTTTTTTAAGAATATAATCTATCTTCTATTAAAATTTGACAAAGGTGCTTTTCTTCGTTTTGGAAATAATTATAAAAATTTCTATTCCAAAAGATTAATAATAAGACTTGAAGCTGATATTGACACTAATAATAACAATGCTCGATGTTAATTTCAATTCTTGTAATTAACCTTCTTGAATAAAAAATTTTTAAATTATTATTTCGAAAACGAAGAAAAATACCTTCATCAAATTTCAATAGAAGATAAATTATGTTGTTGGAAAAATATTTGCAAACCCCCAAATGTTTTGGAGGTTCGACAAAAAAGTTGTAAGTGAAAGAAAATGTGTAATTTAAAAAAAAAAAAATATTTCTAAAATCACTTTTCGTCCACAAATAATAAAATTTTTAATTTATTTTCGTCGTTAGTACATGCAGAATAGAAAGATTTAAAACTAGATTTTTTTAAAATATGGTCTCAACTACTTTCAAACGAAACTGAATAGACTGACCCAGTACAAGTTTCCATTTAGATAAAGATGGGGGATTTTTATTACATGAACATGGATGAAGCAATAACATTTATCATTCTTTGGAGATTTTTTTACAAATCGATAATAATTAAATACTCAAAAATTTTAATGAAAATTCTTCAAGTGTAAATTTAAAAATGAAAATTAATGAAAATTAGCTTTTAAAAATTAATAATAAAATATTTTTGAAAAAAAGAAATTTTTAGAATTTTTTCATTCTAATTTAAAAAAATTAAATTATTTTCAATATAATAATATTAATAATAATTTATATATGCAATAATTGTTTACAATAATTTATTTATTGTACTTACAAATTTTTAATTAAAATTCTTCAAAACATTAATTAGTTTTTTTTAAATTATACAAAAATTCTAGATTCCTGAAGTTGCTACCGATGCCCAGCATCGAAAAATAGTTTTCTCACGAAACCGGAAAAAATAACTCAATTTTTCGCAAGGTTTAAGATTAAAAAGGTACTCTTACAAAATTGTTTACTTCCTAGGTGAATAAAAAGAATGAAATTTTTTAAAATGTTATTACTAAAAATAAAAATTTTTTTCGATGCAGAGCATCGATGCCATCTTCAGGAACCTAAAATTCTTTCAAGAAATTCAATTATTCAATTATCTTCGTTTGTAGAATAGCAAATTTTGCTTATCCACTCTACACGATCTATTTCTCATTACTTTGGATTTTTTAATGATGAGAGCGTGGCTAACTCTATAACTATAACATATTTGACTTGGAAGATTGATCATTTTCTTGGATATTTTATATCTATAACTAACAATCAAATGATTCCAATCCTGCAAGACAAGAAACAGCATTTCGTCTATGGACGAAAATTCAAATTTATTGTTTCAAAACTTATAATGTACATTGCGGTTCGACGGAAAATATCATCAAAGTAAATCGATTTTTCTTGACATTGATGTAACAAAAATGGAAATTCATTGGTGTCTTTATTCGGTTGTCTACCATGGATATGTGCGAATTTTAGATAGCTCTTTTATGAAAACTCTATTTCCATATTAGGAAGTTTTACAAAATGTTCAATTGAGAATGTCAAATGCTTCATACGCTATTGCCCATGGACAAAATCAGTAAACATCAGTTTGATAAAAACAGCAGATAATGAAATAAAACTGGAAACGAAGTTAAAACAAGATATTTAAGTTCTTTGGTTTTAAGACATACCACTGTTTATTGTCTATGGAGTATATAGAGCTGGACGAAATAGAATTTTGAATGTTTACTTAGGCGAAGAATTCCCTTTAAAATTCTGCGACGTTTCATGGTTATAGAACATTCTGCTGATCTAGAAAAAGCAGAAAAAGTTTTACCAACCAACCGTCCAAATTCCAAAAGTACATTTTTCTTTGTAGTTTGGGTTTTATTCTAACTTTAATTACCTATTTTTAATCTTATATGGATAGCAGAAATTGTATTTAAGTAAAGAAAAATATTTTCTTTTAGTTAAAAATCGTTTTACTATTCCTCTTGGAACATCATGTAATAATATATAATTATGTCAGTAACATCAATTATAACGATAAGAAATTGTCAATAAATCCCTACATTACCTTTTTCACTAGTTTCTACACTTGTTTTCAGCATCAAAGATTTATAGAGTAATAATAAAAATAAATATTAGATTATATCACATTCATTGAAATATTAATAATTTATAGTCGTTTAAGTAAATATAAAGACATAAGAAGAAAACGAGAAAATAAATATACACTTTCTTTCACCTTTCTTTTATAATTTGTTTACAAAATTAAAAAAATATTTTTTCGTTCTACTTCACAGATGGAATTTCCTTACTTAGGATGGATATCAATTGCCACAGCTATGTATCTTCTGTGTTCAAATTACTATTATTGACAATAGTTTTAATAGTAATTTTCAATCTATAAATTCGCTACCGTCTAATAACGAGAAATCTTCAGAAAACCAGAAAGAATTAGGTGTATATTGAGTACCCAACAAATAAAATTCATGTTAGAATTTGTCAGGAACGATAAAAGCTTTGCGGGAGGACAGCAGAAAATTTTCAAATTAAACCTTCAATAGGTATGTTAAAAACTTATTTCACACAAAATTTTCAAATTAATCGACAATATGACCGATGCAAAAGAAGTGGTCAACGGGCACTGAACATTAAAGGGATAACTAGTAATAATTAATTTAAGAAACATATTTACATTAATATAAACATAAATTGAGATTTCAGAGTCTTATAATAATTGGTACTTTTATCTTTTTGAATTTCCGTCACTAAAAAATACAAAAGAATTAGGTACACAGAAGTAAGAAAAAATTGACAATTTTTCAGGCAAAATATGAATATATTTACATGATTTACACAAGGAAATTGCAATTCGCTCTTAGTGATATCATTTACCACCAGCTTAAAGAAATTCAAAACAGATTTTACTGTTGAATACAAAAATTCACTGCAACAAATTTCACATTTAAATATTTCTTTAAATTTTTTGAGACTTGACCAGTAACGAAATACATTAAGCAGTCGATGACATATGGTAGATAATAATCATGATCTATTGCATTAGTGAAATCACTAAAGTCGCCATCGTTTACATTAATTCCAATGTTTAATTTTTTTTTAAATGCTTGATAGCGATTTCAAAAACAAAGACAAGTAGTGAACAAGAATATCCAAAAACTAGTGTTGCAATCATCATTATACTGACTTTAGACGTCAGTGAGGATTCTTGAGGGAAAAGATCAACAAGATTCTGTTGGTAAGTTGACTTCGGCATATACATTGCATCCCATTGGCTACTAAGACCAGACTGAATAAAGACAGATATAATTCGATCAAATCGATTCTTGTAAGGTGAACCTTCCTCAAAATACATTCCACTTGATAACACTCCGTTAATTTCGTTTATAACGTTAACTTTCGCTTGTTTATCGGTGACTTTTCTTGTTTGCAAACTCAGCAAGGCTCTGTCTTCTTTAGAAGTTATAAAAATATTTTTATTAACAGACATATAGTCTATCCAATTTTCAATAGTATCATTGGATATATTTGCATGTCTTCTTATCATTTGGGCTTTTTTGGGTTCAGGGGCATTCACTGGTCCAATGAATGTCAAATTAGCATCAAGCAAGTCTTTAAATGTTTCCATTTTGCGGAAAGACTTTTTTTGTAATTGAATTTCTGATAGAGCAGTAAAGATGTAGGATGATTGAAAAAAATAGAAGAATAATATCGACATCATTATTATTCGTTCTATAGTTTTTTCGGGCATTCTAGGAGAAGGTAATCCTAGTGTCATTTGAACAGCATACATAACCTTCCAGTAAAGTGGGTTAAAATTATAGTACTTAGCTAGGAGCACAGGTATTAAAAACAGAGATAAAATGATTATAACGTTAATTAGTTTCCACGTGTTTGTGAAAACTGAGACTTGGTCCGGAAATACTGGTGCTAAAATCACATATCTTGACACTCTTGTACCTTTAGAAATAGCAACAAAATTCCTTAAGCATGTTAAAAAAATTGAAGATTGAACAGCAATGAATTGTATTTCATTGTGAATTGTTTTATTCGTAATGCCTACATTTTTATGTTTGTCACAACTTACTGCATCCCAGTTGGAGGCCTTAGAAATAACCATCTGCAAGGAGAAGTTGAGATACTTTGACATTGCCTCCACTAAATGGTAGTCTGATCCTTTTATATTTGTAACATCTCCAGTTGAGTTGCGATTCACGTAAATATAAGGTGGGTAGTGAAATATTCCGGCTTTCAGCAGATATCCATTTAGGTCACGCAGTTTGTTAGGAAACAGAACACTGGTTTTTGAAAATGTCCTTTCAACAGATATTTGAGTGAATGGGTTGTAGTGATGTATTTTAATAACATCGTGTTTATCTGTAATTTCAAGGATCGTGATATCCAAGAAATGTTTAGACCACATTTGTCGAAAGAATTTGTCATATGTAGCACGTCTTACAGTTTCTGTAATAAGTAATACTTTTGAACGTGGATTTGGTGTTGACATCGCTGCAACTGTGCTCATGACATTGTGAATCTTTAAAAAATGTTGATTAGAATTTTTGTGACAGACAATTAGTATCAATGTTGTATAGGATGGAGACAATTGTGTCAAGAACCGATGGTTGGTTTTATTCATAATGATCTGGAAATCTGCAACTTGTGTTGGTATTATTCGCGAAATATTTTGCACAATTCCATGAATTCTAATGTTGTTAAAATCATTTTCATACAATAGCAATATCTCTTTTATTTGCGAATCGTGTTTTAGGATTGTTGCTAAATTATTTGGCCAAGTATGATGAGTCACTATAAGGTTTCCGTAGACGAAATAGAGAGCGCAAAGTGATGGAATTAAAATTTTTGTAATGAGCTTCATATTCTGTAACGATCACCACAAAGGTCCGATTTCTAAACTAAATTATAAAACTTTAGGTGACTTCACTAATTTAGTAGTGCTTTATGTTTCACCAGTACTGAATGGTTAACTTGTCTGGTACTTTCGGAACAGCGTATTTCAAGTTTAAGGCTAAAGGTCAGCTAAAAAGCAATCGCTGTCAATTACCATATTACTTTTCTTTATAAATTTGAGTAAGTGAAATTCCCTTTATCAAGTGTAGATATTTCTATATTTCAAATGTCAAAATGTGATTGAAAAATGCAATTGAATTCTACTTTAATAGAATAAATAAATGAATTTACTTATAAAGAATGACTTGGATTTTAAAAGAAATATAAAACTTTTTGTTTAACAATTGTTATCTTTGACCTTTTAAATCTACTGTTTATCTTTATGTATCCAGTAATATATTTTGCAGGATTAATATTTTGATAAAATCCCTTTTTACAATAGATGAGAGTGTTTTCAACCTTTTTGAACATGATGCTGTAGAACAGTTTCGACGAGCGCTGCTTTGTTTCTTGCGAGCCTTCCGCTAGTAGATTTACTGGCGAGGCGAGGGAAAGACAGGTCTTGCAGCTCAATAAACATTAAGCTACCTGGCAAGAACAACAGGGTAGAAATCTCCTCAAAGCGGTTATCCGCAAAGAGGCGAGATGTAGACTCGTTGAAAGATGGCAAGAGATGATCACCATCAGAGATGATCCCCATCCTTTAGGATGGGGATCCTAAAGGAAGATGGTCATATTGCCCGATCCCCAACCTCGCCACTTGGTTCGAAAGAAAGCACGGAGAAGTTGGTTACAACCTTACCCGCAGGTGTTGTCAGGTCACGGATGTTTCCGACAGTACCTTCACAGGTTCAAGATTAGAAGAGAAGCAAAATGTGTCTACTGTGATGCTGCAGTAATTGACGCGAAGCATACTCTCTTTAATTGCGGGCGAAAGAACCATGATAGAATGGTCATATTTACAGCAGCTGGCTTTGAAATCAACATCGATAACATTGTGTCTACCATGGTTCAAAATGTGAACTCCTGGAGGCATATTGAATCCTTCATTATTAAAATAATGAGGAAAAATGATAAAGACGGAAGACGGGGTTGACTGGAGGAAATCCAGAGCCGGATTTTTCATTTTCCGCATTTAGAACTTTAGACTGTCGCGGAAAGTTTAGAACACTTTTTCTAAATTTTCTTCAATAATTGATGAAAAAATTCAGATCAGAAAAAGGCACATGCAGCATTGATTTTTAATGGTAAAAGTGCCCTTTTAAGATCCAGAGCCTCAATTGTAGTCTATTTCTTGAATAACTGTTAATGTAATTTTTAAAACACTTTGCACTAAATCTGAGAGTCTTCTATAAAGTCGAGGAAAATTTCAGCGACTAATTTTTTCCCTTTACCTTCACTTTATAGAAGATCTTTTTTTACAAGAAGATAATTACATTGATGAGTCAGTGTCGATTTAACAACATTCCATAATAATGTTTTGATATTTGATCTGATCAAATTGCAAAAGTTGAAATATTTTACTACTATCTTTACAATATAACTGTTAACCAGGAACCTTTTTAATTACAGATTCCAATTACATTGCATAAGGAAACTGAAATAATTGCCAATGGGGAAGAAGTAATGAAGTGTGGCTTTAAAATAGGCGGAGGAATCGATCAAGATTACAGAAAAAGTCCTCAAGGATACACAGATAATGTACAGATATATTTTTATTAAATAATTCTTTATAGTGGTACGATTTTATTATATTAAAAAATAGTAGGAAATAATAAAACTCTCTGATAAGGCAGTAATTTAGATTTCAAAATGATTGGTATAATTAGATGAAATAAACATTCGAGCTTGTAGAATCTTAAGCTGCTACTTATTCGACCTTGTTAATTCTGATATAATGCTTATTCGCCCCTTTAGATTTTTGTAAAAATCCGCATGCACTTTAACTGAATTTTTGAGAACAACAACGAGGAAAATGTAATTTATCACTATTATGCCATTTCAGGGAATATATGTTACGGAAGTTCACGAAGGTTCCCCAGCTGCAAAAAGTGGTTTAAGAATGCACGATAAAATTTTGCAATGCAATGGTTACGATTTCACTATGGTTACTCATAAAAAAGCAGTAGGACAAATTAGAAAGCATCCAGTTCTAAACTTACTAGTAGCTCGGAAAGGAGTTACTAGTACTTAAAATGTATTATAATGTAATTTATCTGTTTATTATATAAGTTATTTATATTTAAGTGACGCTAAAATTGTTTGTTGGCAGTATACAACCTCAAAAATATATTGTAACTTGTGCTAGATACATGTGAATTATATGTTGAATATTAAATTTTTTACTTTTAACGCAATAAAATTTTTTAAACACTAATCTTGCAATTCAGAATTTTCATACATATTTTTATATAATTTGAAAAGAAATTTTCTTTTATTGTTCCCATATGTCTGCGGACAAATAAGACGTCCTGTAGACATTCCTGGCCCACTTGGTAACTTTGCGAATAAATTTACTTAAAAATTCAAAAAATCATTGGATTTTATAAAAGTTGTGGGCTTTTAATTTTTATATATGAGGCACTTTTTTTTAAATAATTAAATTAGAGAAGAACTTTAGTTGAAATTTCTAGAAGATAATTAAATTGAAATAAAAAATATTTAAAATAATTAAATTACAGAAGTTTAGTTAAAATTTCTAGAAAATAATTGAATTGGAATCTTGAAAATAATTTTTAGGAGTTTACCGGGAAAAAAATTCAAGACTAGGAATTTTTTTTATGAAAAAAGCGGTCATCCTGAATTTTGAAATGACATGAAGAAATATCATTGATTTCTAAAATCGAAAGAAATTTTACAAAATTTTGCAGTAGTTTAACAGCCAATAAAAACGTGTATAATATTGAGTCACATTTTTACGTATAGCTTATCCTGCATAGTAAATGTGACATCTTACAAGAGTTATTAAAGTTGAATTTAAATATTTTATTAGATAAAGCTCAAGCATAAAATCGAAGTATATTAATAAATTTAATAAAGCTACTAATGCGTCAATGTCAAACTTTGTGGTATCGTAAATCATTTCATATGAATAATTGTTCACATCTTAAAAAGGTAACATTCTTTTTTTCAAGTTTCATCTTTCCTTTTTTTAATTCTGAAACTAATTTGAATATTTCATAATACACATGATTCAAACAGTCAATTTCTATATTTTTCGTCAACTAAATAGACAATATTGCCAGCTTCTATTCACAATTTAAAAAATTGTTTAATTATTCAAATAAAATAAGAATTTATTACACAGTGTCCGAAGATTCAGAAGGAACATTCAAAAAATTGAATCCAAACGTAGAAAAAGAAAATTAGTGATTCACCCAGTAATATAAGAAGAATCTTACGGTAAGTTATTTTTTCTTTTGAATTTTATTGTAATTCCTTATAATTATTTATAATTTTTAAGTTGTCTAATTGTGTATCACGAAAATAAGATATCAGTTTGTTAATTCAGTTTCGAGTAGGCACGAAACTAAGTTGAAAGTAAATTATTTTCAATAATTACTTACAAAATACAAACTCATTGAGGCAAACTAAATTTTTTTTGTTGGTTTCTTGTCTACTATAGAATCACTTCTGAAAGTTGACAGACCCCACTAAATTAAAATATATTTGGTAAATTAATAAATAATTGATCTTGAATGTTTCATAGGCGATGGAAACTTATCCTCATATCATTAGACATAATTCCAACAGCAGTTCTTCTTTTGGATTTGAAGTACTATCTGAATATGAATTGCCAAAGTCTGCATCGGAAGTATTTACAAATTACTTTGCTACAACATTGGGACCACAGGTTGCAAGACAGTTTATGCGTTTTAACAATCAAACAGTTGTTGACAAAGCAACCGAAGACATGCTGCACTTAGTTGATCCATTCTGGTACATTTCATTTATTTCACATACCGAAATATTTTAATCCCTCAGCAGTCGATGGCGTATGCAATAAAATTTTTAGCTCAATTATCCGACGGATTTTTATGAAACTTGTTACTCGGGGGTTTTTGGGGTCGCTGAATCCGAACTTAGTGTAAGCTTTAGAAAATTCAAAATGTCGACCAAGATTTTTAAATTAAATAAAAATTTAATTAAATCTTTTAAATGGTTTCTTCTGGGTTTTTAAAGTCGCTAAATTCGAATACCACATTTAATTTAAAATCCAAAATGGTGGATCCAATATGTCGACCAAATTTTTTTTAAATATTTACCAGATTTGCTTAAAACTTACGGGCAGTTTATAAACTACGCCAAATTCGTAATCAGCGACCTCAAAAACTGTAAGGTAACATATTTTAATTGGTAACTCCAATGAACTTTCGAAAATTTTTTAAAATAGTCGCCATATGCTTCAGATTCGCTTTTTATCCATGCACTAATGTAATTATTTTTCTCACAGGTATCAATTTCCACCTCTAAATCCTTTATGGTATTTATGCTTAGGCCTTGTGATTTTGGTATTAGGAATTATAGGAGTGTGTGGAAATTTCGTCGTTGTGTACATCTTTCTACTGACTCCATCTATGAGGACGCCGAGTAACCTCCTCGTTATTAATTTAGCCTTCTCTGATTGTGTGATGATGTTTATTAATTGTCCTCCAATGGTGATCAGTTCTTACTATCAAACTTGGGTTTTAGGTAAGCATATTTACATTTTATTTTGTATTGAATGTAGAAAACAAAATTGTTAGATTAGCTTGTTCAGGCGATCCTATAGAGATAATAAATACATCGTTTAGAGTTAAGAGACTAACGTGGATAAACGATTTATTATATTAAAAATATGTCACTATTTTAATATTACTAATTTTACATTTTAGGTCCTTTGTTCTGTGAAATATATGCGATGTTTGGATCGTTATGCGGTTGTGCTTCGATTTGGACAATGACAGCTATTGCTTACGATCGCTATAACGTAATTGTTAAGGTGAGTGATTTCTATTTTAAAAAAACTAAAGATTACGTTTTTTTCTGTTTTATATTATGTAGAATTTTTTCTATTGTTAAGTTGAGACTACAATATGCATGTCCAAATTAAAAATCAAACAACTGCATTGTTGAAATTGTATAAATGTTAAATATCCATTTTAACAATTTTATATATTTTGTTAAGATACTTAGAGTTGTGAATGAAACTTAAAGGTGTAAAATGGTGTAGATAAATAAAATTTTCAAAAAATTAATTAAAAGGGCATGTCCGGCACACCGCTTACAATAGCAAGAGCGTTAATTCAAATTGTCATCATATGGCTGTTTGGACTTCTTTGGGCTATATTACCCATGGTGGGATGGAACAGGTATGATATTCTTGAAGATATATACCATTATAGCAAACAGTCCTACTCAAAATTCCTTCGAGGGTATAAAATAAGGTTTTTTAACATAGGATAGACAAAACTTACAATCAAATTGTGCGTGATTCTTTATTACTAAAGAACTAAACAAAACTATTTTAATCCCAGGTACGTTCCTGAAGGTAATTTAACAGCATGTGGAACGGATTATTTGGCTAACGATTGGGGTTCGAGATCATATATTTTAGTGTACTCGTTTTTTGTGTACTACATGCCACTATTCACCATCATTTACAGTTACTATTTCATTGTGTCTGTAAGTTTATTCTACATGTTGAAAAATTTATGAATTAGTAACATCATTCAGAAAATTGAGAAACATATCTTCATTTTATTTGTCCAATAATTGAGTCTCAACACTGTAAAAAAATCTGGGACAAAATCTAAATAAGATGCAATTTTTTTATCTTGTGTCCCACTGACAAAGACGTCTTTTTTGCGGTGTAGTAAAATCAAATATAAAATAGAAATGCAAATTTTGTTTACTGAATGATGTTACTTCTACTTTTAAGAATTGTTTGTTGAATATTTATTGTTCTACAGACAGTAGCAGCTCACGAACAAGCAATGAGAGAACAAGCTAAGAAGATGAACGTTGCTTCTTTGCGATCTGGAGAACAATCTGGTGAAAGTGCAGAAATAAAACTAGCAAAGGTAGCTCAACAGTACCTAATTGTGCAATTTTGAACCCGAATTTTATAAAACTTTACCGTAGATACTACGGGCAGAATTCCATGCGAATTTTCGTGTGGAATAATTTTTCTATCAATTCTGAATCCATTTTTCTTAATAAAATCATACGAATTACTATCAAATTATGAACGAATTCTGTTTCAAAACGCCACACGAATTCCTATAGGAATTTAACCTGAATTTCGTGCTATTTTTGGTGAATTATTTTCACCGGTTAATTTTTTTTAGTTAATATTACAGTACTCTTACTTTTTCTATACAGGTTGCTCTAACAACAATTGGTTTATGGTTTATGGCCTGGACACCATATTTAGTAATTAATTATATTGGAATATTCAACAAGGGTCTTCTCACACCATTATTTACAATTTGGGGTTCTCTATTCGCTAAAGCTAATGCTATTTACAATCCGATTGTCTACGGTATAAGGTAGGTATTAAAACATTTACCGTATTTCTTTTATAGAATATTTTAATAAAATTTGTTTAGTTTATATCCAATTAATCTAGAAGCCGGTACAAACATTGTACTGGAACAGCTTTCTAAAATATCCCCACAACTCCACTGTATGTAAGCTTGCCGCAAACCTGCTCAGTAAGTTTGTAATGCAAGCTGACTTACTACAATGGAGATAAGGACATTTTGCTACTTGCAGCAAGCTTGCCATGCAAGTTTATAAATTTTGTCTTAAAATTTCAATAACACTTGAAATTTCTATTTATTTTCTAGTCATCCGAAATACAGAGCTGCTCTCAAAGAAAGACTACCTTTCTTCGTTTGTGGAGAAACAGGCGACGGAGCACCAGCTGCAAAAGCTCCTGCTGCTGACACTGTCTCAACGAACAGCAAAGCATAGAAATAAAATATCAAACCTTAGTAACCTATTTTAATATTCAATGGAAAAGAAAGTATTCATCAAAGTGGTTTCGTATATTGGGAGTTTGCGAACACTCCCAATACGATTTCGCCAATGCTTTTTGTTCGCGTTGAATTCTATCTTCTTTCTGTCCTGGTGGCAAGTGAACTAACTAAAAAATACCATTAGTAAGAAAAAGATGGTCATATCTCTCTCTCCTTTTCTTGCTAATGGCATTTTTAGTTTGTCCACTTGCCACCAGAATTATCTTAGACAGAAAATAATATGGACCGAGTAGACGATATTGAGGAAAACCACCTAATACGGTTCGGAAAAAAATTAAATTAGGAGTTCGTTTACCCCCAATACGAAACGGCTCTGCCAAATACTTTCTTTTTTACTGGGAACATTTGGTTACATTTGTTTACAAGTTAAAAAGAATTAATTACTATTCAATTAATTTAAATGAAACTCCCAACTATTGCTAAATAGGGTAAGTGCATCTGTTACGGCGAGTTTTTAATAATTCGATTATTAATTAATTATTCATTATTTATTTTAGTTTTAATTGTTGTTTTATTATTTAAATAACATTAGTTTTTAGTTTAATAAAGACGTAAATTGACTTCTTTCATTATAAATATTGAATTTTCTATTTCAAAAGTATCAATATAGTTCTGAACCGCGCCGTAACTAAGTGTACATTTACCCTACGTGTAAAATAATATAAATTACTCTAATTTTGTATTCACTGAAATCATAGCTCATAAACGCTAAAATCATTTTTACAAGTTAGCAGTTTGTATTACATATATATATATAAGAACGTGTAAAAAGTAATCTTTAAAAGATTTGTCAAATTGATTGAGGGAAAAGTTTTTACATTGTCGATATTACTGGATTAATTAAATTAATCACCTCATATATACATTAGATATTTATTTAAATCAATGCATTCTAAAATATTTAGTATTTATTAATTTATATCCCAAATTATTATCTATAATATAAATAATAATTCCAATATACATGCAAGCTTACTTTTATGTTTTTCTGTCTATATTTCTTAATAAATTTTTAACTCCAACTTCGATAATTGTTAAGAAAAATTTATATTCCTTACAAATTTTTCTCTCAGACTATAGAGTTTAGAATTTGTCATAAACTACGGCATTCCTTATGTTATAGAGGGGGGTGAAATTATTAGCTCAAGATCCATTCTTTTATGAATAATATATGTATTTAAAATTTTTTCAAATATATGTAATATTTATTTTTCTCTAATTATATAATAATAAATACTTCCAAAGCAATTTAATAAATTAATAAAAATAATATCAATATTTTGAATTTTCCATTAATATTTGAATTTTAGGAACTTTTTCTCTCCAGATGGCACCGAACACCCAAATTTTCTTGCAACTTGTGTATAACAGAATCTGAAGGATCTTCTGTCCACCATTAACCCTTTTTTACGAAAAGCTTATTTTTATCTATTTTTTAATATTCTTAATAAGGATTTTCAAGTATACAGACTTATTTTACAGAGTTTAAACTATATTTTAAAAAATTCTTTAGTTTGGTCAGATGAAAAGTTCAAAATTGATTGAGCATTGAAAAATGATCTAAAAAAAAGGTGTGTTCTCCGAGGGTTAAAAGAAATAACTATGACTCACGCATAACATATATATGAATTTATATTTTTATATATTATTTAAAACAAACTAACATATTTTACAAAGTTCGTAGAGACAGTTATTGCACTTGAACACTTCATTAAGCCCATATGAAAACCAGTTTGTAATCAAGTTGAAAATATATATATATATATATATATATATATATATATATTGATTTGAGCGATAAAAGTTTTTCAGTTTTTAAACCAGTTTTCAGTTTTAAAAATAGTGTCAGTACTTAAGAAGGTTGACCTGACTTGAACCTCATTTCAAATCAGTAACTTCCTTTTCTATTATGACTGATATTTGAAATCATTGGTACAGTTTACTACTAGTGAATATTTAAATTTAGTGATCTAAAATACGAAGATTGCCAGAGACAATTTTATTTTCTAAAATTGTGCCAGACGGAAGATCTATACGATCTCCATGATTCGCTATGATGATGACAGTTCCCCTCAGAGAAACATCTTTGCCAAATGTCACATCACCTGACACTGTTAAATGATCCAATTCTAAAATATCAGGAACTGTCGCAAATCTAGTGAGAAATTGTTGAACCTGCGAAACAAGACTTTGATTAAGTCGCAGTAAACAATTACTTTAAAAATGGAATTTTCTTACGGAAATTCATTATATTTTTATTCAAATGGCTGAAGGATGTGCATAAAAATTAAAAATGTTTTTTATTTTTCCATCACTCACCTTAGAAAAATGATTATCGCCCAATTTAATAAACGGTGTAGTAGGAAACATTCGTTTAGCGCTCATTACTAAGGAACCACTGCTTAATGTATATAAGTTACTCATAACTAAAAACAGATCTGAAGTTTTCTTTACTGGCAAAAATCTGCTTCGTGGAACACGTATACCTAAAAAAAACAATGACAATGTTTATATTCGGTCACTGTATTGGATCCGACATTTTCAATTTTGTAAATCTGACCTCAAATTCATAATCAGCGACCTCAAAAACCCCCGAGTAACAAGTTTCAAGCGATTTCAAGTAAATTTAAAAATTTTTTTTAAAAATCTGACATCAGATTTTAAAAATTTTAAATGGCGGATAAAAATTAAAAACTGTTTGGATTTGCTTGAAACTTGTTACTCGGGAGTTTTCAGGGTCGCTGATTTCGAATTTGACATCAGATTTTAAAAATTCAAAATGGCGGTTCCAACATGGCCGAATTATTTTTTCAAAAAATCGGTCGAAATTACTTTTTTTTAAATTTATTCAACATATCAAGTCAGACATTTTTAATTTTGTAAATCTGATGCTATTTTTGTAATCAGCGAACACGAAAACCCCGAAGTAAGAAATTTCAAGCGATTTTGATTAATACTTGAAAAATAGTCGGCCATGTTAGATCCGCCATTATGAATTTTAAAAATCTGATTATATATTATAATTAGTTTTTGATAAATGAATATTCATTAATAAAACTTTGTTTAAAAGATGAACATACCAAGACTTCCTCCAAAGGATTTCATAGCCGCTCCTACAGCCGTTTCTAATTGAATAAAATTTAAGCCAGTTTCGGAAGTCTTCTCATTGACAATTATTTCCAAGTTCATTTCAGTAGATTTTAGAATTCTATCGATTGCTGAAACATGAATTAAAAATTATCAAATTAAGCAAAAAATAAAACAGGCTATGATATAAGAATGAATTAATGAATGAATATAATAATCTTAATTAGGCTTGACTTTAACGACTTCATGATGAGTTAAATAGATTTCAAAAGAGGTTATTATGACATAATTATTGTTAATGCGAATATATTCTGATGAAATAAACGACAATGGTTCATTTGTTAGACGACATACCTAAATGTCGAAAAATGGAAACTTATTACATACCTGTAAGTTTCACCCACAGATTGTTTGTATTAAAATATTTAAACTTTTTTATCGATTTAAATTCATCAACGTGATTCTTAGGTACTTGAGCTATTTCCAAAAGTCGCAATTTATTTTCATACGAAATGAGAGTTCCACCCTAAAATACAAACAGTATTCTGTTCAGGCGCAAAGTAAATACTTTCTGATCACGAAACTGTCAGAATATTTTTTAAATCCAATAAAAGTACAATGAAACATACTATAAATTTGTATTTTAATTATTTTACATAATTAAAGATAAAATTTAAAGAATCAAAAAAAAGGAATAAGTAAAAGAGTATTTCAAAGAATTTTATAAAAAAACACAAATTCTTAAGAGTTAAATTTCGAAAATTTGATGTCAGGTTCAAAATCTCTTAATTAGCGATCTTAGAAACATACATTATTTATTTACACTAAACTTAACATAATAAAAGTTACATTACCTTGACATCAGCTCGTGTTTTGTCAGTTACTTCCATAAGGAATTCGATATTTTGAGATCTATCTTCTTTTATGAAAAAATTTAAGATATTCAAGTCAACAGTAGCTCCTAGATTATCTATGTTAGAAATGAAACAATAATCTCGGCCCTGTAAAAATATTTTTATAATAATTTAGAATAATAGACAAGAGAAAATATCTAAGAATTTATTTTTAAAAAAACCGAATTTGAAAAATTTATGAGCCTTGTCATGATTATAAATAATTAATAAATAATAATATGATAATAAATCTTTATTATCAACTCGAGTAGAAATCGACAAGATATTTCTAACAACTTGAATGTAAGATATTTTTGATTAAATAATCATTTAATCGTTTACTTCAATGAAATTTGACAAAATTTTTAATTGTTTCAATTTTTTAAAACTATTTACAGAAATACAATTATTCTTAAAAAATTTTAATTACATTTTTTCAAGAAACAAATTATTTCTGAATATTTTTTGTTGAACAAAAATTTAAAAATTTGTTCTTATTTATTTTTTCACAGGAATTAAAGTTTTTAATAATTTCAATGCAAAACCTATTGAAATTTAATTATTTCTAAAAATAACAATTGTAATTCTTCCAAAATTCAATTATTTTTTAAAAATTTTTGAATAAAATTGATAAAATTTTTTAAAACTTTAAGAATTTTTAAAGAAAAATAATGTAATTAATAATTTTTTAAAACAAAAATTTTAATCTTAATCAATTTCTTTTAAATTATTTTCGGGAATTCAAGTTTATTTTCACAAAAATTTTAATTACTATTTTTCAAAAATCTAATTTTTTCAGAATTTTCAAATTAAATCTTTCAAAGTTCAATCATTTTTGCAAAATAAATATTTAAATACTTATTGTTCTTTATTTGCTAAAAATTTCGAAATACAGGATTCCTACAGAAATGCGAATTTAAAATTCCATACCTTTTCCATGATTTCCAGGTCAAATTTTTGCGAAATTCCAGTGGAATTTTAAATCTAATTTCATTATATTTGGGCTCTTTAAAAACACTTTACTTATTTAATAGTCTCCACCCTTTGGTAAAAATTCTAAAATTATCAAAAATTTTCAAAATTCAAAAATCCGATTTTTTTAAAATTCTACATTTTTTCTTCTCTTTTATGGCATTCAGCTTCATTATTTTTGTGCTCTTGGAAAATACTTTACTTATTTAATAGTCTCGACTCTTTGGTAAAAAATGTAAAATTATCGAAAATTATCAAAAATTCGAAAAACCGATTTTTTAAAATTCAACATTTTTTCTTCTCTTTTATGCCATTTAGCTTCATTATTATTTGAATTTCTATTCAAGAGAAAAAATGGAAAACAGGAAAAATTTAGAAACTTTTAAAAATTCCATGCCTTTTCCATGATTTCCAGATTCTGTAGGAACCCTGAAATACTTTTAATGTAAAACCATTTGAAACATTTTTTATGAAAATTTGAACTGCAAGTCTTCCAAGATTCAATTATTTTTTAGAAGTTTTGATTTCAATTTAAAAACTTTTAAAAATTTATTCATGTCTAAAGAATCCTACTTTAACACTTCTAATTATTTTCTAAATTTTTAATTAACATTCTTCTTTAAATCAATTCTTATCAGAGTTCAACTACGAGAATTTAATTATTTAAATGCAAAAATAAATAATTCGTAAAATAATTAATTATTTTTAAAAATTGCAACTGCACCTTTTTATTGAGTTTTTGAAATTTGGGTTAAATTTTCTTACTTCACTTATTTTATTATTTACAAATTGACTGTTAAACTTTCGACCATATAAAACAAAAAATTGGAATAAAAAAACACTATCTTCACGTGAGGACAGATTATCTCGATTATTGTTATATAATTTTTCATAAATTCATACTTAATCGAATATCAATAAAAAATTAATTGTTTCAAGAGAATCACTTATATGTTAATACATTTTGATGTATTAATATAAATTTTTCAATTATTTAATGACGGCAATTGTAATTATAATCTCAGTTATGTTTGTATATATAAAATTTTTCAACTACAACAACAAAATTTCAAAATAAATTTTGAAAACCTGATAAATGCAAAATTTTTTTAAAATCGCTTTCGGCCTTTTTACTGGTGTATATTCTGCCGTAAAATTATGAAGTTTCACCAAAATCGAAGAATTGGGAGTCAACTTTGACTTTTTAGACATAGACCGACCCCATAGTTGACTATGGGGTCGGTCCATGTCAAAAGATGCCACCTCGTGGAAAATCACCCATTTAATAAATTAAACAGATGAAGATAGACTTTATCTAATTTAAAAAGCGTTGAATCTTACCTGCTGAATAAACCTATCTAAAAATCCAGAATTTTTAAGGCTTTCATAAAAATCTCCATGCCCAGGTGGATACCAACTGAAAATAAATATTACTTAACCATATAAATAAGACAAAAAATTGTGATTATCAATTATAATTTTGTATCTGAAAAGTGCTATGGGTCAGAATTCGTGAAATTTTCACAAAAAATAAAAAGTATTTTTTTAAATCGAAATGTTGAAAAAACATTTCCATTTTATTTTTTAATTCTATTTTTATTTCTATCTATTCTATCAACATCTAATTCTATTATTTTTAATATTCAATAAAAAATTTTTTTTATCAAAGTTATTGCAAAATGAATTTTTTTGCAACTTTTTTAAACAAAATGTTATTTCTTCTAAATGAATGAACCGATTTAAATGAACCAAGCGCGAGTTATTAAAAAATAAACCGCTCGGTTCATTTAAATCGGTTTATTCATTTAGGAGAAATAAAATTTTGTTTAAAAAAGTTGCAAAAAAATTCATTTTACAATAACTTTTATGAAAAGAAATTTCTTTTCTGTTCTTTGGTAGACACATTCCTAAGGTCAAAAAGAATATGTTTTTTCAAAATTTCGGTTTAAAAAAAATACTTTTTATTTTTCGTTAAAATTTTACGAATTCTGACCCCTATTGAAATTTTAATTTAAGAGAGATATAAAGCCGCTTAAATTATCAATGTTTATCTCTGGTAAAAATTTGAAATATGTCAAAGGCCTTTGTCATCTGCACTAAAGAGATTAAACCGACTAGTGTTCACACATATATGCGTGAGATGCTCGATTAAGACATGGCAGACCGAAACTCATTTACTGAAAATTCATCTTACATATTTGATATAAAAAATTACAGAACTTATACGATTTCTTTGAACCTAACCGTGTGGAAGAATTTTATGGAAAACGGCAATCTTCATCTCACGAAGGCTTTTAAAATAACCTCCTTAGTGAATATTGCCAATTTTGAAACTTTATTAAATACTTAAAATAATAATAATTAGATATACACTAATAATTTTATATACTATTACGTAAAATTAGATAAAATAACTTACGCTTCCAAGTCTTGATCAACATTACAATTTACAGCGAGTGGAAGAAGTGACTCTTTAGAAATTCGCGGATAGCAACTCTGTTTAAATATATGAATCTCAACATTCAAATTCTTATACTTTCGGATTATTTTTTGCGTATCATGATCCGTATTAAAGGAGTTCATTAAAATAAGAGGCACATTTACGCCGTAGGTCTTGTTTAAATTCTGCAAATTGGAAAATAGATTTAAACTTAATAATGCTTGAAATAAATCAGTAGCAATGCTTTAATTAAATCAGAAGCGAATACAAATAATTTACCTCAATTTGTTGAACAGTAAGATCCAAGAATGTAAAATTGTTACGAACAGTTATCACTGATTTTGGACCATGACATCCCATGCTTGTGCCAAGACCGCCATTTAATTTCACGACTATTAATTTACTTAAAAGTTCCTTAATTTCCGCTGTACTCGGCTCAGTTAAATTACAGTAATCTTGAATCTAGAATAATTGTGAAGCAGATTTTTTATTAAAAATAACAATGATTCGTTCCAAGAGATCGCACCGTGTGAAGGTTTCAATAATACATCCTTCATACAGTACAATCTCGTTATAATAAAAAGAGTGCAAAATGCATACGGCCGTGTCAGGTAACTTTTGTATACGATCCCAATCTAAGGAAGGTCCTTCTTCTTTTAAAAATCTCTTAAATAAATGTTTAAAACCTTTGAATTCCTTTCCGAACGCTTCTTTCAGAGGGCCTGGAGCTGTTTCTTGTAATCTGTCAAGTTCAGTTTCTAAATGATTAAAAGCATCTTTTTTAGTTCTTTCTCTAAACTCCTGATTGTCAGAAGGACATCGTTGATGACCTCGTAGCTGTAATCAAAGAACAATTCAATTTTTTCATTTTTCTCAAAACTAATGTCAACAAAAATTCAATTTCGTTTTTCCCTATTTATCTTTTCCCTGATTTTCAGGTAAAATTTTGATTTTTTTCCTAACTCTAAAGAATATTTTGATTCACTCTAAAAATTATTAAATATTGTTAGTGTAACTTCTTTGAAATCATTTTCATTTCAATTTAATTATTATTTTCTAAAATTTTTAACTAAAATTTTTCTGTAAATCAATTATTTTTAATAATTTCCGAAAAATTTCTTTGAAAATTTTCGAATTTATTTATTTATTTATCCGTTTGCTTACAATTTAATTTTACGAAATTTCGATTTTTGGGAAATTCTTCAATTACGTAAATATATATTAGAAAATAAAACACTTCAAATAATTTCAAAAAAAATTCAATTAAACTTTTTCAAAAAAATTAATTCTACAGAATTGTTAGTTGAAAGTATGAAAAATTCAGATTTTCAAAGATTTTAATTTGAAACATTTTCCAAATTCAATTATTTCTAAAAATTTAACTGAAATTCATTTTTAAATAAATTTCTATATTAGAAAATTCTACGAGAATTCAATTATTTAAATGCAAAAAAAATTTATTGAATAATTGAATGTTTCTCAAAATTAAATTCTCATAAAGAATTTTATCAACAAATTTTTAAATAGTCAAATTCTTTTGACGAATTTTAATAAAACTTTTAAGAATAATGATATTCTTCGAGGAACCCAATTAAAATTGTAATAAAAATAATTGAAATTCTGCGATGAGTTTTATTATTTATGAAAATAATTGAATCTCTGTAAGAAACGTAAATATTTTTGAAAATAGTTGAAATTTTGCCCAGAATTTTATTAAAATTTTAAAATAATTAGTTCGGAGAAGAATTTTATCATTTTCAAAGATAATTGAAATTTTAACAAGAATTTAAAAAAATGTTTGATTATAATTAAATTTCTGCGAAGAATATTAATACATTTGAAAATAATTAAATTTCTGCAATTATTTGTAACTTCTTCAAAATTCAATTTTATTTTTTTTTTCAACTAAAATTCTTCTATTATTATTTTTAATAATAAATTAAATATATATATACATATTAACAAATTTAGCTAATTTCAGAAGAATTTGAATTATTAAAATTTTTCAAAAATCTAAGTACTTTAAAAGTTCTAATTAAATTCATTCAAAGCAAAATTGAAGTTTTCTAAAATTTTACATTGAAATCTTTTGAAGTTCACCAATATTTATGAAAATTGTAAACGCAACTCTTTTAAAATTCATTTATTTTTACAATATTTAAGTAAATTTATTCATGAAATAATTTCTAAGTAATAATTTAATGATAGTTCTTATTCAAGAATTAAGATATTTAAAAAGAAATTATTGTCAGAAATAGTAAAAATTGAATGTTTTGTATTAGAATTCGTGGTAATTTCATAGTTTATGAGGCAAACGGAAAAGACACCAAAATTCAGAATTTTCTTATAAATTCTAAAAATTTAATATTTTCCAGTACTTTTAATAAAAGTCCCTGACTTTTCCCTGACCTGAGGCAACCCTGAGATATATAAACTATATTTGAGAAAATTAAAAATATTAGAAAATTTCTACTAAGAAATATTCTTATTGTTTAATAATAATATTATCTAAGACTTTTTGATATTCTTATTTCTTCCTTAACTATATCAAGTCAATTATTTTGCATATTATTAGCATTAAAATTTTTAAATAATAGTTGTACATAAGTCTGCAAAATTAATTTCAAAAATAGTATATAACTTGAAGAGGTCAAAATAAAAAAAAGATTTTTCATTTATTTCTATGAACTGTTTTTTCAAGTAAGGACAAATTTTATGCCCTTCACTAATAATTAGTGTGTATAGAGACGATAATTGACACTTTTTGATAAAATACTTTTATTTCAATAAATCCGTAGTGACTCAACACTTTGCCAAAACGTGTTTTTTAAATACATAATTTAAAATGTCTAGAAATTATAAGTTCCAAAAACTGTAAATTCTTAACTGTTCATAAATACATGAATTACATCGAATACTACAGAAATAAATTTCTGAGAATGGCTAAAATGTGATAAATAACTGTAAGTGCCAAAGTCTGAAATTCTAATCTCACTATTTTTCCCAAATTAAAAGTACTTCAATTGAATGAATGTAAAAACTATTTCACCCCAGCTCAATTCGTTTAGTATTTTACAGGAAAATTAAAGAAATAAAAGTTTGCAAATTAATATTATACAGCAGTCACGTGACCCAACAGTCACATGTTGTTAATTTTGAAAAATATCCAGTTAAACTGAGTTTCGCAGCAAAAAATATTCCCAAACAATTAAAATTAAATTAAAAATTCTATAATTTCCAACAAACGTTTTTATTAAAAAATGTGAAAATTTAAATTTTGCAAAAAGAAAATTTGACAAGTACGCAAAAAAACTAGAGCCCAAAACTTTAATTTCATCAAATTAAATAAAATTGAAAACAGCAAGTCAAAAAAAATAAAAGTTATGAATAAAATTATTTCAACGGAAAGTTTAACAGAACAATAATAACAAATTTTTGTATCATTATGATTGTTTTTAGTGAAAAAAAACCTACTTCTAGAAAGTAATCCATATTTTTTTAATGTGATTGTTGATGGACTCTTGCACTGCACACGCGATTTTATAAAACAGTTGAAATAAACATTGACAACGAAAAAAATAAATAGAAGAACCAAAAATTGTTTTTGAAAAGAAGAGTTAAATATTTATCAAGCAGACGACACTCTGAACAGAACTATTCGATTTCTGTCCCCAGATTACGGAGTATTTTCAGTTATATACTTAAATAAAGTCATGGATTCATTATGATTACTCATCTGTATGATATATCATTTTCCCTCTTTATTTATCCTATTAGCTAAGAGCTTATATTGTATTCATGATAAATGCATTTCTTACGCAACGCTTCCACTATCTCATAGATAGATTAAGAGTTTCCATATTCTTTCATAGTGTCATTTCAAAAAAATACAAGAGAATTCAAATATTGATTAGATTTTCAAGTATTTCAAGCTCAATTTTAAACTGCCTTTAATAGAACATATATTTTATTTTGTTCGAGATTAACATTTTAATTGCCTCCTCTTATCTATTTGAACAAATAGTTCTTATTGGAATACTAAATTATAGCATATTTTATGTAAAGCAAAAAAAAACACATGCGTAAATTTAATTATTTAATAACGATAAAATATCAATATTTTAATTACCTACTATTTTTTTAAACAAAATTTATCATATTTTATTGCTCAAATTTTTGAATGATGTAAAATGAAACTTTGACGAGTCAGAACGTAAAAATTATAAAGTTTCAAATATATGACAAATGTTTTTTCGTTACAATTATTGCTTCCTAATGGAAGCGTTGTTTAACCGAAAATTTTCAATCTCTATTTTTTGACGTACACTTTATGTTTCTTGACCTCGGGAATTCAAAAATCACATTTTTAAAAAATTTCATTGCGTATTACATTTTTATAAATATCTCGAGACTATAAAGAGCTTTAGGGATAAATTTTTTTTCTTATTTTACTCCAAAACTATTTTCGTCATTTCAATTCAATTATTATTTTCTAGAATTTAGTTTTACCTAAAATTCTTCTTTAAATTAATTATTTTTAATAATTTTTAAAAAGATTCTTTGTGAATTTTCAAATTCATTTGATTACAACTCAAATTTACGTGAAGTTTCGATTATTCGGAAATTCTTCAATTAAATATATACATATTAGAAAATAAAAAGTTCAAATATTTCAAAAAAATTCAATTACCTATACTTTTTCAGTTTAAAAGTATGAAAAATACAAATTTTCAAAGATTTTAATTTCAAACATTTCCAAAATTCAATTATTTCAAAAATCCACGCTGCAATGTTTTTAATATTCAATTATTACCATTATCTAAAATTGTAAATGAAATTCATTTTTAAATTCATTTTTAAATCAATTTTTATTAGAAAATTCTTACAGAATTCAATTATTTCAATAGAAAAATCAATAATTTATCGAATACCTAATTGAATGTTTCTTAAAATTTAATTCTCATAAAAAATTTTAGCAACAAATTTTTAAATAATTGAATCCTTTACAATTATTGCGAAGAAATTTATAAAAAATTTGTAAATAATTGAATTTTTGCGAAGAATTTTATTACTTTTGAAAATAATTGAATTTTTACAATCATTTGTAATAACTTTTTAAAAATCAATTTTTTTTTTTAACTAAAATTCTTCTATAACTCCATTATTTTTAATAATTAATTAAATGTATATCAAAAAACGTAACTAATTTCAGGAGAACTTGAATTATTAAAATTTTTCAAAAATCTATGTTTTTTAAAATTTCTAATTAAATTTATTCAAAATTGAAAGTTTCTAAAATTTTAAATTGAAACCTTTTGAAGTTGATCTATTTATGAAAATTGTAAACACAACTCTTTTAAAATACATTAATTTTTGAAATATTTAAAAGTAAAATTTTTCATTAAATAATTTAGAATTAATTATTTTATGATAGTACTTCAGGAATTAAGTTATTAAAAAAGAAATTATTGTCAGAAATATAAAAAAATTGAAGGTTTGGTATTAGAATTCGTGGTAATTTCATATTTTAGGAGGAAAACAAAAAAGACACGACCAAATTCACAATGTTGCTGCAAGGTTACGGTACTATCTCGGTATAAATAAAAAGGGAAATAAAAAAGAATACATTTAGACAAGTGGTTTTTAATAATTGAATCCAAGGTCAACAATAATAAAAGTGTCAAACGAAAAAAAGATAAAATTTAATAGGTATAAAAATAAAACTAAAAATCTTAATAAACGATAAAAATGTTTAATACCAGAAATCATAAAAGTACAAAGAGTCAGCAAAATTGTTAAAAATAGTACCCAAACATTACGAAGAAGCACAGAGTTAGGAGAATTATATTAGAAAAAACGTAAATGATCAAAATTAAATTTTAAAATCAATTCCGTCTTATTTTATAGATAAATCGAAGCAATATTTCAGTATAATATTATTTTGGTATATTGATGTAAACATTCTTTAAATGTGCCACAAACATTGAAATCAATGGAAGAAGGAACTATTCATTCATAACTTGAATTTCTTTCACAAGAGAATAATCAGAAACTAAGATAATTAATACATTCCATATCAGTTTTATTAATGAAATCAAATATAGGATTTTTATTTCAATATAGTTTAGACAAATAAAAATTTTATGAAAATAACAATTTTGATTTAAAGATTTAACTAAATAAGCGTTATTCAGTAAAGAGAAATGTATTCTTAAAATATAATTCTATTGAATAAAACAGAATATAGGTACAAAAATGAAAATTTGGCTAAATTAAAAAATTCAGACTCATGAGTTTTAGAAAATAAATATTCTCCATATAAAAGCAAATTTTAAATTTGTCTGTTTACGTAAAAATATACTTTTAGTTGATGCATTTAAGTTTTAACTAGAGTAGATACTTTGACATCGAGATTAAGACTATTTGACCTGAAAGGGCACAAGAACGCAATAATAAAAACAACACGTCTTGTTAGAAAGACGAGTTACATTTAAGCCAGCAAAGCCAATGTCAGTTCATTTGTTTTTTAATAAACTTTAATAAAATTGTTATTTTAAATAAAAAAGAATATAGGTAATAACATTTTTATTTTTTATATTTAATTGAATATATTTTTTTAGCATCGAACCAAAACTTTCATAAAATTAAAAACCTTGTAACCCATTTTTCATGTGTTACATGCGTATAAAAAATTCATTAAAATTATTTTTATTTTTTTTTATTTGTAATAAGAAACGATCCTTTTAATGCAAGATGATTCCTTTAATAATAATTAAATTATTATCCAAAGTCAAAAAATCAAAAATAAATCAAAACGTTCAAAATAAATAATGAAACATGTGAAAAAGCAACGTTTTTACTTTTTACGCTATAAAATCGGAATTTAAAATGTTAATGTTAAAATCGCAGGATTTTAATTATTTACATAAATAAAATAAAATTCTTCGCAAAAATTCAATTATTAATATAAATAATAAAATTCTTCACAAATAAAAAAAATCTTCACAAAAATTCAATTATTTTTGTAAATAAAAAAATTTCAATTATTCTATAAAATTTTAAAAACAATTGTTTCAAGAAAAAATACTATTATTTTCAACAATTTTGGTAAAATTCTTTACAAAAATTCAGTTATTTTTTTCAATATAATTCCAATTTAATTGATCGATTAATTTAATTATTTTTAGAAATTTAAAATGTTAAGTTTATCTACTTTCGATTCACAGTTATCGAAATAAGCAACTCAAAAAAAGGACAATTTCATTCAAGGCAACCATTTAAATTTTTATATCTCAATTTTTTTCATTGGATTTTTAATTTCTTTGGACTTTTTTACCAGGACAAAAAATAAGTCCAAAGTGAAACTATTTTTTTTTTACTTTGGATTTGATTTTTTGGTTTGGACTCCTTGTCCAGATACCTTAAAAAAACATACAGTTAAAACAAAAGTTAGTAGATCAAGCTTTATATTATTTTTAAAAATATATCAAATTATTCTAATTCTTTTATTTGTAATATTAAGCTTTTTTATGAATGTAATTTGATGTTATTGATTTCCTTTAAAGAAATTATCCTCAATCAATGACAACAAAAAAATAAACAAGAAAAATAATTTTAAATGCTAGAATTATTTCTATTTTGACATTGATATCGCAATTTCTTTTAATTTTAACTTTATCTAGATGAATATACATTTCGTTATATTTTTATTAATTAAAATTCTAAAATAGAAAATATGACCCTTCAAAGTGAAAGGTACCAATCTACCAAAAATTTCAGGTTATGGTTGTTAATTTTAAAATGATAATTCATAAAGAGAATTAACTCTCAGTGCAAACTAATGATAGTTAATTTCTTATTATATCCAATATATTTGATAAAATTAGTTTTTATTATATAAAATTTAAAACAGCAGCATTAATTAAGATGAAACGATCATGAACATAACCTAAAATTTTTTGGGATTTAGTATTTACGAATAAAAAAATTTTAAAATACCGATTTAAATTATCCCGCTCTAAAATATAATTGACAAGGGGGAAAAATGGATCTTTGACATAGGTCTTATTTCATATTCCTACGTATTATTTACAGGTAAAATAAATTAATTTTTCATTCAACCATTTCAATTTTTAGTGTTAATTTCTTTACATTTTTCTAAAAGAGAAAATTTTGAATACTATTTGATAAAATTTATTTGTACAATTTGTTTAAAAACCTCACCTTTTTTTCATCGACTTCCAACATTTTTAAAAATTTGTCTTTTTATCTGTAAATATAACGTTGTGTTTCAGTGACCTCCAATGTAAACAAAGGTCACACAATATTGCATGTATTTTAGTAGTAAAACATTCCAAATGTAAAACCACAGGGAGAAAAAAATATCAGAGATTTGTAGCAGACTAGTAGTAGTACTTTTGCACGCACTCTGTCGTCTCTTTTTGGAATGACTAAGGCTGTAATTTTATATCTCTGTCGGTAGAGAAAAAATTTACCGAAAAATGTTGATATCGAATTCACACCTGGCTGTAAAGGCAGGGATGGGTAAATGTAACAAACTCGAGGTTTTCTACGTATGTTACATGTATGTTACATGAGGTAACATACGTATATTACCCCCCACTCTCGAAAAATATATGTAACAATGTAATGGAGAATCCACAATAAGTGCAAAAGGTAAGGTGGAAAGGTAAGAAAAAAAAGGATTTCAAATAATATAAAAACAAGAAATAAAAAAATAATAATTAAAAAATATAAAATAGAATCAAGAATAAAGCAGCAACAAAGTCGACTAGGCGCTAGTATATTAAAACGTAATAATATATACCTCAGGTAAATTACATGAGTATTTTACGTATTTTACCTGAAGAATTTTAAACACAATAATTATGTAAAAAATACCCATGTAATTTACGTCAAAAACTTCGAGTGACGGCTGACGGGTCACTGCACACAACCCTGGTTCGAACACTGCATTTTGCGTTGAATAATGAGAGAGAGAGAAAGAAAGACATATATATTTCTATCCTTGTTACACTCACTGCTCAACGTAAAATGCAAAGTTTGAACGCAAGCATGTAAATACCGCCTAAAACCGAAAGCAGAATTTTATGAGAACGAAAAGGATAGTGCTATCTGACTATCTCTCTAATATTATCTTCAACTCATGAAATTTTGCTTTCGGTTTTACGTTTTCTGTTCACTGCAACCTGAGAATACCGGAAAAATGTGAGGTGTGTAAGCGCCTTTACGCTACTCTGTTCACTGGTTCTGGTGATATAATAAAGCCGTGGTGGGGACCCGAGGCCACGAATACATCTTGCACTTGACTGACAGTCAACCTCGCCTATTTACAACATTTATATAGCAGGGGCATATAAACTTCGATCCTACATTGTCAGTCAGTCACTATTTTGTAGCAAATATGGCTACCATGTTGTCTCGCACGATCTCATTAGCAGAGAATATTACCCGATTTAATGGATCGAAGGTTTGTATAGTTTTACAGTTTTATATCTCTGTAAACAAGTACCATTTTCTGTATTCACTTCTTTCAAAATTTCATTTTAAAGAACAAGTTTAAATTGACAGTTAGAGGAAGCTTTATTTTCGTACACATTTTGCAATCTTCTAAATTAAGCACCACGGTCAAGTGATTTAAGTCAAGGGTACGTACGAAAAAAATAGTACAAATAGAATTTTTACAAAAATTTTCTTCCTACTTTTATCATTCTTTCAAATTCCATTTTTTTGTATTATTCAACTTTTTTTCTACAATGTGATTTTTAACAGTAACTATGAAATTGCATAAAGTAAATTGTTAAATAAATTAAATTAAACTCCCCTTCTGCAGTCATTGCCACTGCACCCTTTTAATGTTTCATTTTTTAAATCATACAAAGTACTCGTATATTCAAACGTCAACAAATGATCGTGACGTTTAACAGCTGATATTCTTGCCTTTGTTATTACTTATTGTTAGTCACACTTATTTTTATCTTTTCAGCTATAAACTATTAAATTCTCAGTCGTGTTTGATAACATTCGCGTTTTTAGATTTCAAGTATTTTATTTTACAATTTTTAATTCAACTTGATACTTTTAAAGTTGCTTTATAGATAAAAAAAATATTTTTAAAAATCTTAAAAATATATTAAACGTTGTTTTTTTTGTTTAATTTTCCAGAAAAAAATCTTTTTAAATTCTTTCATTATTTTTCTTGAATGAGATTAAAATTTTAGAATTTTTCGAACTATTTAACGTTTAGTTGAAAAAAGTCGCTGTGTCATTGTATACTCATTAAAATTTTCTTCTAAAAATTAGAGAGAAAAATTTCAAATTAAACAGTAAACTGTTAAAAATCTCTTTACGTACTTAGAGCAAGTACTTAGCAGGCTTAGGAAATTGACCTTTCGACTTTATGCTTAGTACAACTTAGTTTGATTTGTTGACAACGCGCGTATAAATATTAATATCTATTGCACTGTTTAACAAAAATCAACTTTTTTCTGATTGCGCATTAATTCTTATCATTTTTAATAGACTTTTTCACACTGATTGCGAATCTGTAAATAATAATTGTCTATCGTGTTAGGTTAAAATAAAAATTAGTATCAAAAGGTTAAAACAATGTGAGGTTGTGACGATATTTAATTTTCTTTTTTTTAACTAAAAAAATATTTTATTTATTTCTGAAATAATGTTTTTAGGTCTAAAAGAGACTTTGAACCTTTTTTGTGACTAAAGATAATTTTTATACAAAAAATAAATTCCCTTTTTTTAAATTTCATAAAATATTTAAATAACTAACACCTTTATGATAAAATTATTTTACTTTTTTTTAAAAAAGTATATAATTTAGTGTTTTTTTCATTTCTTATTTCCTTGTAGTTAATTACAATCGTTTTTTAATGGGCTAGCATTAAATAGCCCTTATAGTTTAAATTCAAAAATATTTGTACATCTTCTTTAGTCTATTGTCATTTAAAAGTGATTTTTATTTTTATAAAAAAAATTTGACAAAATTAAAAGTTTAATCAGTAGATTTACATATTTTTAAAGCTTTAAAAAATTGAGCATTTTTGAAATAAGATATTTTTGTTTGACCATTTTTTAGCATCGTTTTTTAAAAATTAACATTGTCTGGATCCAAGTGTATTAAAAGAATGTATTTTTCTAAGAAAAAATTTTTTTTTTAAATTTGAAAAATAAGCGTATTTAGAAATTTAAAAATGAAAAGATATTATACAAAATAATACATAAATTTATTTAATGAAAAATTTCAATTTTATTTCCGATTTCAAAAAAAGTCTAAATTCGCTTGAAACAATTTAAAAATGAGTTAATTTTTGAATAGAATTTTCTTTAAAAAATATTCATTGAGTTGTCTTTGCTCTTAGTTCATTTGATTGCAAATGATATTAATTATTCAATCAAGTAGTTACATAAGTTACATCATCTGAGCTAGCAATGTTTTCATAATCATTTAAATAAAAATATAAGAGAATTACGCGTAGAGAAGAGTTATCGTTTTTACTACACAACGCGTTTAGTAAGAAATCTTTATCTTTTCACACTACAAATTATTCTCCCAGTAAGAAGTGTGGAACTAATAAGAATTCGAAATTTTTAATTCTTTTGAATTTCGTTTCTGACCAATTCTTTTCGTTTTCATTTGGAGAAGCCGAAAGGAAGCTAAGTTTAATTCTTTCGAATACCGTTTTAATATTTTAAGCGGAAAAAATTTTGTCGGTCCGAAGATTTGAACCTTCAACTTTCATTGTCAAAGACAAGCAGCTTGTCCGCTCAGCTATTTAAACTGTACTATAAATACTGAATTTTAGAAGTACTTATCTCAAAGTATTGCAAACTTCAAAGGAATTAAGAAATTACGAAATATTAAAACGGAATAGACAGGAATTTCTGATATTTTGATGTATTTTAACGTCTAAGTGAATTTGGCTTCAAATTATTTTACTGATGCATTGAAATTTTCCTGAACAAAATAATTCTTTTTGTTCTAAAAACTAAAAAAATTTTAATTAGTTTCGAAGAAATGTGACGCGCTTCGAAGTAAGGTACCTAAGAAGCAAAAAATTTGAGGTTATGTTTGTAATTTTTTAAATGAAAATAAAAAAAGAGGATCAACTCATAACATAAACTACAGGTGTTTAAGTTTTCATTAGATCTAAAATAATAAATAGAAACTCGTTTTATTTTTACATAATTAAACAGAAACTTCTATTTAAGGTAAAAAAAACAACATAAACATAACCTTAGAGTGATTTGCTTCTTGGGTTTGTTTAATTTAGAAAATATATGGGTCATTTCACGCCAAATCGAAAATCATTTTACTTTTGCATCTCAAATTTTTTGCAAATATTTTTTTTCTCGCTTGTTGAAATTAAAAATTTTTAAATAAATAAACCCTATTGTTTGTCCACAATCAGACAAGAGAGAAAATTATATTAAATTTTGTAAAAGTTTTTATAAATCGCTTTATAAAAAAATGTTGAAAAAAATCATAGGAGCTCATTTTAAGGAGGAATGGTATACCTAATCGGGCCAAAAGTTTGTGACATTTAGGGGAATTTGTAATTTTGTTATTTAAGCTACATATAGCAGTTTTTCTTATTGAAATCATAAAACTAAACATCAATGAATATTAAAAAGTATATATTAAATAGGGAAAAGATAATAAATTAATCAAATTAATTTTTTTTATAAAAGCAGAAAATAATTTTTGTAACTGTCTGTACGAATTTGAAACCTAAGAAAATAAAAGTTACTGAAATTCTCTCAAGATTATTTTCGGATTTATCGAGTGTTCCATTGCAAACTTTGAAAAAATGCTATTATTACGTATATATGTGTCTTATTATGCTGTAATATTAATGTTATTAATTATAAACATTGTCAAATAACAATTTGTAATGAGCGTTTAATCGTGACAACCTCGCAATGCAAATAGTTTGTTTTTTGATCGTTGGTAACAGTGTCAAGTGTTATGATTTGCATTTCTGTGGTTAAAAATAATGAAAATTTGTCATTTTTGGTACCTTTGGCGCCATCTCTTGGTTCTATGTACCACTAAACAGCTGTCACATGTGAGTTTTTATATACAGTGTTGCCACGTTTTCTCTGTTTGTCTGTCATAAAATTAGTTTTCTTCCAGAAACTAATTAATTACTTTTAAACTAATTAGTGAATAAAAAAGAACCTTCGTGATTAATAAAGCTTAAATCTTGACCTTCAGGATAGAATTTTTACAAAAAATTCTGATTGTTTTAAGTATAAAATTTTTAATGATAAACATGCAAATTCGTGCTTTCTCCATAAGAGGTAATGTTAAATTAAATAATTTATAACTTGTAAACTATTTAGTGAAAAGTTCTGAAATTTGGTGGGTCATTTTATTATATAAAAGCAAATCATTTCCCAAAATATCAAAAGATTCTGAATGTTTTGAATTTCTATACCATTCCTCCTTAACAAGAACTAAAAGAAAAAAAAATATTTGAAAAAAATTTGAGACAGTTATATTGCTTATATTAAATATCAATAAAGTAAATTATTAATTTCTAGATTTTAGCTTGCAAAACCAATTTGTCGAAGCAACAGAGAAGAAATTTGAATGTACACGAACACATTAGCTACAGTCTTTTAAATGAAGCTGGTATTCCTACACCTAAATTTGGCGTGGCCAAAACTCCAGAAGAAGCGGCGAAAATCGCTGCCAACTTACAAACTAAAGACATAGTTTTGAAAGCTCAGGTTCTTGCTGGAGGACGAGGCAAGGGTCATTTTAAAGATACCAACATCAGTGGCGTGAAGATGTGCGAGACGTAAGTTTTTGTCTTTATGTCTTTTTACTTATACTCCAAATATTCATTGTATTGTAAAAATTGCGATTGCAAATTTTGCATATCTTTGAACCGTAAGCTAGTTAAAATAAGTTTTGGGGTGTCCGTTGTGCAGGTTTGTGCATCCTACGATCATTAGTACCATTTTTCGCCACTATAGTTATAAGTTTCGTTCATTGGTGAAAGTTGGACAATAATTCAATTGTTATTAGTTACAAAAAATGTCAACAGAGCGCTGCCTGTCTGTAGGTTGTCATAGTAACTAAAAGTAAGAGAGTTAGTAAATTCAAATTTGAATTTAATGACTCTCTTACTCTTGTATGTTACCATGACAACCTGCAGGCGACAGAACTGTGTCTGCGCCTTTTTTTCTATAAGAAATAAAAAATAACTTTTTTTAAACCCATAAACATTTAGATCAAAAGAACTGAACAAAATCCCAGAAAAAATATAATTTTTCGGAGGCGAGAGATTAAAAAACGTATGATAACAATATTGTTCACTAATTGGTACACCAATTAACGGCAGTGAACCTTTTCAGGAAACTATAGAAGAGCAATACATTTAGTGATTACTTCGCGTTATAAAGTAATAACTAACAGAATTATAGATAAGATAAAAGAATTACATTAAAATTGACGATTTCTGCTGAATTAGATTTAAATCCCCATTAAGTGATAAAAGCATGTCAAAGTCGATCCGATTTTTCCACAGAACTTTAATGGAAAAGTCGTATCCTCCCAATGACAATTGACCTAAAAACACAACGTTTTTACTACTTTTTGAAAAAAATGTTTTAATTCTCTCCATGTAATAATTAACAATGTTAAAGAAAATTTTGTTTGCAACAACTCTAATATTCTTTCTACAATTTTACAATTCTACAAAAAAATTTTGAAACCTGTTTTTTTCAACTCTGCGCAAGAAAGTTTAGTTCCCTTAACGCTCATATTGATAATGATCTAAAAATGTTAATGTTCATTTGAAATTTTTATTTCTGCTTCAGACCAGAAGAAGCCAGAGACCTAGCAAAGAGTATGTTAGGCAAGTTATTAATAACAAAACAAACTGGAGAAGCCGGTAGAATTTGCAACGCTGTGATGATTACGCAAAGAAAGTTTCCTCGTAAGGAATACTATTTAGCTGTTATGATGGAAAGAGCATTTGGTGTTAGTTGAGCAAGCATTTATTTCAAACTGCAAATGAGGCATTTCACTACAAAATTTAATGCTTATATTTTTTTTAATATTGTAAACATGAGATTTATTCCAACTAAAAGTCTAAGAATTGTCACTTGACCGAACATTCTTATATGCCGGTGATTTTCAAATAACTGACATTTTTTAAGACAGATTTTGACTAAATAAACGAAATTAAATTAAGTTTTAAGACTGAAGAAATAAGTGCTGGAAGTCAGCTTCAGTGCAAGGTTAGATTGAGTTAGAACTAATTGCACGCTTCTGATTGGTTCGCCTCAGAGTTGCCAGGGACCCTCACCAAACATAGGTGCGCATGTCTCGCGCCTCTATTGTAATTGGTTGAAATTTCCGCTCTTATTTAAAATGCCTTATAAACTAAAAAATTTTTAAATAAATATTTTTCCTCAAAATAATTTTTTCTAAAGACAAATAAGCTTAAAAACATATGTAGGTAATTTGAAAATCACTCACATGGTAAACTTTTAAATGAGTGTTGAAACTTTTGTATAAATTTTCAATTCGGCTAAAAATCTGTTCGGTCAAATATCAAGAATTTCTTGAAATTCACATTTGTAAAAACATGTAGAATTAACGTGCAGTGAAATATCTCATATAAACGAAATTAAATAGTGATGTGCAAATTGATAAAATCCTATTAATTCTCAAAATGAGAATTAACATAGAATTGGATTGTTTGCATATCTCTGAAATGAAGCGATATTAATTTTCCTACATGATAATAGGGTCCAGTTATAATTGCCTCAAGCCAAGGAGGCGTCAATATCGAGGAAGTCGCTGCTACGAACCCAGATGCCATTATGTATGAGCCCATCGATATAGAGAAGGGAATTACAAAAGCGCAGGCGGACAAAATTGTTAGCAAATTAGGCCTTGACAATGTTAAGGACTCAATTTCGAAAATGATAATGAACCTCTATCAAATGTTCCTCAAGAAAGATGCTCTTTTGCTGGAAGTTAATCCACTCGCCGAAGACATCAAAGGAGAATGTAATAAAGAAGTTTACTTATTCATGCGAAAGTTGATGTTTGATTCGTGTTGAGGGGGAAATTTTATTCTTTCCTTAATTTCAGATTTTGCTCTGGACTGTAAATGTAGATTTGACGATAATGCTGAATTTAGACAAAAAGATTTATTCGGTTTACGAGATTGGTCTCAAGAGGACCCTAAAGAAGTTGAAGCTGCGAAATTCGATTTGAATTACATTGCACTGGATGGAAATATTGGTTGCATGGTGAATGGAGCTGGACTGGCCATGGCCACAATGGACATTATAAAACTGCATGGAGGAGAGCCTGCAAATTTCCTCGATGTTGGTGGTGGCGCTACAGCTTCTGCTGTCAAGGAAGCCTTTAAAATTATTACCTCAGACCCACGAGTAAGAACCGGAGAATATTTTTTTAATTGCAAACTAGCTTTCAGTAGTTTTCATTTAATTCTAATTTGTGTTATATAAATAGGTTGATGCTCTCCTAGTTAACATATTTGGTGGAATCATGAGATGCGATGTTATCGCTGAAGGTATTATTGCAGCAACCAAAGAACTCGATCTTCGAATTCCAGTTGTAGTTAGATTGCAGGTATGTACATTCAACAAAGAACCTGAATTTTGCACAAAAATTCGTTCTTTACTATTTTGGCTAGTGAAAGTTGAACACTTATCAATGCCTCTTCTCATGGCGCACAATGTGCCTTTTTCTGAAAATGTGTTCAAAACCTAATATCTCTTGAAAGAGTTCGCTGATCACGAATCTGACATCAGATTTAAAAAATTCAAAATGGCGGATCCAATATGGCCGACTATTTTTGAATAATTTTGATTCGCATGAAACTCGTCACTCGGGGGGTTTTTAAGGATGCTAATTACGAATCTGATGCTATTTTTTCAATATTTTTAAAGGCTACTGGACAAAAAATTCAGATTTTTATTATGAATTCTAGATATTGAATATTTTTTCAGTACTTTTTATAACATTCCCTGAATTTTCTATCCTGGGGATCTATTACGTAAATTATTCCGTATTCCAGATTTCACATTCCGTATTCCACATTCCAAAAACCGGATATTAGATTTTTAACACATTTTCAGAAAAAGGCACATTGTGTGGCGGAAATAAACAAAAGATAAAGAAGTAAATGATTCTTTATAGTTAAAATAATCGAAACATTTAGTAAAAGCCAATTTGAATGGTAAACAATTATCCTATTAAAAAACTACTTACCATTTAACAGGGAACAAATGTCGACGAAGCCAAAGCTCTCATAGCGAATGCCGGACTCAAAATCGTCCCAGTTGACGACCTCGATGAGGCTGCACGAGTAGCTGTCAAATTGTCAACCATCGTGAAAATAGCCGCTTCCGCAAAAGTTGGCGTCAATTTTGAATTACATTCAATTTCATAAATCTAGGATCAATTATTATAATAAATGATTTACATTTTACTGCGCGTTTTAAAAAAAAACCCACGGAATTTGACAATTAATCTGTGCGAAATTGTATCGTGCACTTGAAAAAAGAAAACATGTTCATGTTTAAATTTGTTTTCGTGCCAGAAGTTTGCATGATACATTTTTTTTGATAAATTTTTCCCTATGGCAAAAGCTTCGTCAAATGCAAAAATATTCGTGTAATACTAAAATACCTGTAATATACATGAACTTAAATCGTTCATTAGCTAATTGTGTAAGTGATCTGCAGCAATAAGAATTTTATGCACATTATATTGATAATTCGTTGTGTATCAATATATTGTTTACTTTTTAGCATAGAAACAAAGTAGTTTTCAGTATTAAAAATTAAATTACTTTCGGCGTCCCTTTGTCAATGTTGGACATGAATCGTATTTAACAAGCGAAAATATCTTTTAACTTTTCGTCTCTAAATTAAATGTTTGTTGTTAAATTTTTCTCTAAATTATTAGTTTGCTCTTCGAAATTTCTATTTCTTGTATTATATTGAGACGTACATAAATTATTTTATATATTTTTACTTCGTTTTTATTTGTTTTCATTTTTTTTTCTGTCTGCTATGAAAGTTTGTTTATTTTATGAGCACAAAGCAGAGAAGACAAAAATATATAAATTTATTTCAGACATTTCTGCAATGTTTTTGGCCACTGTAATACTTTGTTTTGGCCAATTCTTTGCGTATACTAAAATTATTACTTTTAAGATTATTTAATTCCAATTTATAGTTCAAGTTTTAACAGCATGTGATAGTTTAATCACTAAACACTTTAATCATTTTCTAAATTTTTTTACAGTAGTAAATTAAAAAATATCAAAACTTTCACATATCTCTGCCTTTTATTCTGGAGTATTCTGGACTCTTTCAAAAAATGCCAGCTCCATCCATTGTTTTGCGATAAAAGTGTCTTAACATTGCGGTAATCACGTCACCTGACAACAATCATACGCTGTTAAATCTTTAATTCGTGTTATATTACGATCGTATTAAATATTAAAATAATAAACTGTGTCCTTGAATGAATTCAACTTTCACATTCTTACCCCTTGAATTATCTTTTGAAAATGCTGAAAGCGTTTGCAAAAAATTATTTTGTACTGATCAAAAATTCGTCGATGACATTCACTCATCAATTTACAAAATAATTCGTAAACAGTCCATAAATATTTTCAAAAAGTTAATCAGAGGTGAAAGAATTTCAGGTTTAAATTTATTTGAAGATCACCATTTACTCAACTGTGACACTAGATAGTAAAGCCAACTTTATATGGAAAAAATGGTTATTAAGTTTTCATAATTTCATTTTCGATTTTTCTTTGAAGATCAAAAATTTTTGATTAATTTTTCCATGTAAGGGATTAGTTGAAATAATTCTTTACAGACTATTTGTTAACGAATCCGACTTTTTAACTATAGATATTTTTAAACTTCCGTATTTTTACTAAAGTTAAAAAAAATTTTTTTTAAATAATCTGTGAACGAAATTTTAAATTAATTCTATTTTTAAAGTTGCATTATAAAGTGAGATATAATGATTTGTAAGTTTGCTTTTTTTCTAAAAGTGATTTGTTATTATTTTTTTTATGAAATTTAAGGATCAAATACATATTTCATCAGAATATGGAAATATTAGGCCTATTAGTATTTATTATTATCGTTCTTCTTAAAAAAATTAAATGAAGACATATAAAAACTTACAAAACATTTAAAAAAAACCTCTAATTTTACATGTTTATTAAAAAATATTTATTTAGTATATAATTTATTTATTAATTTGTAAAAGAAACCAAATAATAAATATTTTATGTTTTTTGAACAATGAGAAAAGTTTTTTAATTAAAAAAATATACAAACGACAATTCTTTAGAATATGAAGTTGAAAGGCACATAAACTTTGTACTTTCTTACAACAAAAAACGTGAAAGTTTTATAATCTCAACCTTGAGTTGATTTTAAAAGATTCTAGAAATTTATATTCCATTGAAGATCGTGGAGTTGGGGTCGATAACATTTTTTTACCTTCTGAACCAGAAAAATGAAATTTTTTCTATAATTTTAGGTTTAATGCTCGAATGAGTTTCAAAATCCTAAATAAATGGAAACAATGCCAAAACAAATAATTTTCACTCCAGGAACTTTTCTATTTGTGCTTCACATTTGAAACCCCGTTTTTAATCGATTCAGGTACTGAATTCGACAATCCATTTCATCGGCTGGTCTGTTATACGGAAGCCACACTGGTTCTCCAATAAAATAGCGTTTGGCATGGATAAAATTCTAAAATGTAATTTAAGAAATGTTACTCTATAATTTATGTATTATGAACAAGTAATCGTTTTTAAAAAACCTTACTTTCATATCCAAGGTAAATCTGTGATATATTCCACTTGGAATTATAATTAAATCTCCTTCCGTCACTTCAATCCGAATCCATTGATCATCTTGGTCTCTAACGTCAAAATAGCCAGATCCGGTTAAAATCAGACGAATCTCCTCATCTGTATGAAGATGCTCTTTGTAAAACTGTTTAAGCTATAAAAGAAGGTATGTACTACCATCGCAAATTGTTCATAAAATATAATATTTTTTTAATGGTTTAATTTTTAAATTAAAAAAATTAAAATCGAATTCTTAATAAAAATATATAATTACCTTTTCTTCATAATTTTGTAAACATTCTTTAGAGCATGTTATTTCATCCTCATAGGTGTAATTGCGCGTTTTCTTCAAATTTTGCAACACAGGATCAGTTAAATGGTTCAGGGCGTCAATCTAAAGAAAATAAGTTTTAAATCTAGTTCTTTTTGAAAGAAGGATTTAAAATTATAATATTATTATTATATAAAATCTAACCTTAAAATATTCAACTCCTGTCAATTCTAATAGCTCTTGAGTACTTAAAAAATGCTTTGGTGACTTGTGATGATCTAGCCTTTGATCAGCATCAGATTCATCCATGTACCAAACATTGACCATTTTAATTTTGTGATGGAAATTTTCAATTCAATAATTAAAATATATAAACAAACGCAGACAATATGCACAATGTTAGTTTTACATATATGAGACTTGCTCTTAATTATTTGCTGCGCAGATTTTAATTTTCTTCAAGTTATATGCAAGAAATTTATTAAGTGTTATCGAAATCACATGACAGCACGATATCAGTTTACAAATGTTATATTAATTATATTTCTAATCAGAGCAGCACTTCTGTCTACAATGTTCGTGAAGATTATATTATATTGTCTATAAATATGCATGTACAATTGACGAGATAAAAAGCAATGTGCGTTTTATGACTTTAATTTTCTCCTTTTCTTAAAGGTGAGTTCATTCAGAATGAATCTTTTAACAAAAATAGAAAAAATTGTTAAATTTGCATTAAACTTGACATTGAGGGTCTTTTTTGGTCGCTAATTATGAATTTGAAATCTAACCTATTTAGTTTTAAGAGTTTTAAATAACTGATCGAAAATAAATGATTAAATTGTTGATAAATTTTCGATTTTCTTTGTTTACTAAAATTTACCAAATTTTATAGGATCTATTTTTCAAAAACACTTCGATCTTATCAGGTATGTACAAAATTTTATTTAAAAATATAAATACAAATATTCTGTTATTTACGTTTCAATAAAATGAAAACTTCAACATTCGGTAATGTCCTGTTTCCAAATGTACTCGGATGCATACCCAGCTTTAGGGGTACAAGATCTTTTACAAGTGAATATTGCTATAATTCCCCAATCAAGACTTGTTAGAGAATCCTCGACTTTCAGATGGTGTAACATTTGTGGCATTATCTGAAATAAACAACTCTATTTGTACTATAATGTAAAATAATAAATGAAAAATAAACACTGATATAAAGTAAAAAATTTGTGTTCATTTAACTCACAAACTGATTGGAAATTAATTTACCTGAAATTCAAACTGTCTGTCTCCATTACATTCCTCACATTTCGGAATATTTTGAGCATGATTCAATGACGAAATATATAAAGGAGAGCCCCCTCTATCGTACCTGGGAAGAACGCATGTAAATTGGACGTTTTCTTAAGAATTTTTTATTTAAGATAAGACATTTTTATTTTTATTCTTTTTTAATACATATTGTAAGCTATGCAAATACGAAATAGTATTTTTTTAAAAAATAAAAATGTCAGAGATACACGCATTTTAGTGCAGCAGTACATTCCTTGATGGCATTTCAATTTTAATCTGAATTGTTATCACATTGAATTTAATCAGACGTGAAACCCATAAAAATTACAAAACAGTAAAGTAGACACAAACTTACCTTATAACTTGATCTGGATTACTTTGTATTCGATTCTTAAATTTCAGAAATGATGTATCTTCCTTATTGTTGGCAAAGTTCATTAAATCTAAATCCACGTCATCTACATTCTGCAAACTTCCCACTAGTTTGTCATATGTACTTTTTTTCAGACAATTTTCTTCACTGTTATCGTTAGAAACTATTTCATTTTCTTCTTTTTCACTATCATTATCATCATCATCATCATCACCATCATCATCATTTTCTTCTTCCATAACAAGTTCAAATTGAGGAAATACAATATCTGTCGATGTAATATTTTCATCAGAACCACAATATTTCTTATGAACACTTTTCCAGTCAATTATTTGATGAGCTCGACAGCAGTAATTTGTTTTCTTGCATTTTGCGCAGTGGCTATTTGCAACAATTCCGCAAACCTGGCAAGTTTTTCGCCATTTTTCAATTTCTAAAATTGCAATAATTTATCACTTATCATAAGTGTTATATGTATATGGGTTTATTTATTTATCGGGTCAAAATCTGGCTTAAAAAATGAGTTATTTGAAGATAAAATTTATATTATATACAAAGTAAAAATTTATAACTTATTTTGTGATTCCCACTACTTACGAATATCTTTTCTCCAATTTTCATTTTCTTCCGGAGGATTAGGAGGATAATATTCATTAATCCTTTGCAGTTGTGAGCGAAAAACTTTTAAATTCCCATTCTCATTGGCTTTACAGCAATTTGGATCTCGACAGATAAAAATAAACAACGTTCTATGGAAAGCTTTTTCTTCTTCAGTATAGGGAGCGTAGATCTGACATAAAAAAATGCAGGGATTTTTACAATAATCACATGCAATTTGACTGTATTCTGGTAAATTTTTCAAATCCAGCCACGCAGGTTTACCTCCTATTTTGCTTGGAAAAAATCTACTTTCTACCTCCCAAGATTCACAACTTTCAACAAAGCCAATGTCTACTTTTCTCATTTTCTTTTTCAATCTGAAAAAATTTTAAATGTTTTTTCATTATTGTAGTTCTTCTATTTCCTATTATTTATGTAAAATCATAATTTTATAAAAATTAGAACAGAATCATTTAATTCCGTTTCTTGCATTTTGTTATTTTATTTTTAATAAATCTGTGTTAAATTTATATTTTATATTCAGGTAATGAAGATTTCATAATTGATTGTCATTTATAAGCACACTGTAAAAAAAATTTTCTGTAGATTTACAGTTTTGTTCAGAATTTTACAGAAACTTGTAAAATAACGTCTTTAAAAGTAGTGAATTTAAAATCCCTTATGTAAAATTAATACTTTTAATGTGTCAATTTTACAATTTTTTGTAAATTTACTACTTTGAAAGTAGGTAATAAAAAGACAAAAATATTACCTAGTTTCAGAGTAGTAAATTTACAGAAAATTGTAAAATTGACACATTAAAAGTATTAATTTTACAGAAGGGATTTTAAATTCACTACTTTTAAAGACGTTATTTTACAAGTTTCTGTAAAATTCTGAACAAAACTGTAAATCTACAGAAAATTTTTTTTACAGTGCAGATTTTATTCTCATTGTTAAAATGAAAAATGTATGATTATAATTACCAGCTTACAGATTGTTATTGCAATACTTACTTTTTAAAAGTTCTTTTCACACTTTCCGAATGTTTTGCTTTCTCAATAAATGTTTTTTATTCTTAAATATATTTTTTTTTACAAAAACAATGCTTCTTGAAAATGTTGAAAACGATTTTGAATTCACCCACTAATATCCTTCACAATTTTGAGGTTATGTTGTGTTGCAATGCGGGTGCCTACTAAGGGTGCATTCACAAACGCAAAGGTGAGGATAGGAAAAACGTAAAGCAGAAAAATGTAATCAATTATATCCTTAGTAACAAAAAGAATTATTTGTCTTTCTTTTTTATCTCGGTTTGTAAAATGAGATTCGTAACTTTTGTTTTGCCAAGGCTTCTTCGATCATTAACATAATATAAAAGATGAATCACATTTCGGATGTTCTACTGTAGTTCTGTTGGAGCCACGTATTCGGGCACTCATCTATATTCTTGCAACCTATGGTTGAGTTACTATAGTAATGTTTACATGTCATTCTCAACTTGGGTGTAATTTAAAAACATTTAGAATTTAGAAGTCTATACAATGCCAGAAATGTCTAAAAACAGTAATGTAGACCTTAAATCAAAACTTGACACTGCCGTAGAGTTGGAGAGTCAATTTATTCTTCGATTGCCAGAGGTAAGTAATGAATTTTTCACACTTATTTAGAAGCAATAGAACTTTCTCTTTGCCAAGACGTCAAGTTTTTTCTTAAATCACATTATAAAAGTAGTACTAAGTTTCTAATTGTTCGTGTTATTAATGTACATACTTTAACCCTTATATGTCGTTTTAAATTATATCCGAAATGTGCAGAAAAGGTTATGTCGTATTCAAAAAACACTCCTTATTTTCATTATCAATACTGTACCAATGATCTTACAATGATATAATACACCAATATTAACTCGATTTTTTTTACTTTTCTTAACGTTTCCTGACCTCAGGAACTCGAAAATTACTTTTTCAAAAAATCTCATTGCAGGTGTGTGTATGTAAACATAACATTTTCACTTCTCCCAAATTGCATAAGAGGTGAAGGGGTATTTTTTTTAAATTGTAGATCTTATTCTTATTATTGTAGATCTTATTTGCACAAAATCAAGTAGCCATTGAACCTTATTTATCAAGTTTAACTTTTTTTTATGATCGTCTGACCAAAAACTAAAAAAGTTTTGTAAAATTTAATTGAAAATAATTAATTTCTTCATGTATTTTAGGTATTAAAAATGTTAAAAATCAACTTTTGAAGAATTTTAATTGCGAATTTTGAAAATAATTGAATTTAAAAAATTTTAACGAAAAATTAGTTAATTTAGAAATGAAAATTAATGAAAAAAAAATTTAAGAAAAAACAATCATGTTTAAAATTTTTAATTCAATTCTTTGAAAAATGTTTTAGTTTTTTTTACATTAATACAAAAAGGCTGTTAAGAAATTCAATTATTTACGAATGATTACATTAAAATATTTAAAAAAAAACTAATTCTGTGAATTCCTTTTATCATCATTTTTTTTACTTTTGTATTCTTATTTTTTCTACCTTTATGCTTTTCAACTCCTTATATTCTAGGAGCCGGCAAAGGTCTTAAGAGAAACATTACAAAATGGCTTATCTTTAAAAGATAGATTAGGTATTAAGTTGGAACAAGATGTGCGCTATGGAGAAGTCAGACTCGATCATTGGTTACTTCATGCAAAGGTATTTATCATCACAATTGATTTTTTCCTCAAATTTGTATGTAGAATAAATTATTAAAAAATTTCATATCTCAAAACTTGATGTAACGATTTTAAAATTAATACGACTAATATTTCTACTAAAAGACTACAAAGGATAATCTATCATTATCTTAGTTGTTCGCTCAGTTTAAAAAACCTTTTCCGAACAAGCAAGAGACTTTAAAACCATAACACACTATCCATCGATCTTTTCAATTTTTGGCAAAAAATGTAGATAAGTCTCTATTTCATTAAAATTAAATAATTAAAACATTTCAGTTCAACTCATACATTGTAACACTTATTCATTGTACATTCATTAATTAAATTAATTTAAAAGAACAATATTAATTCATAAACCTTTATAAGCGAGAGGAATCGCTCTCATACCTCTATAAGCGAAAGAAAATTGAGGGTTCCTTGAACTCGTTTATCCAAGTTCGACTGTACTCCCTAAATCTTATAACCTTTGACAAGGATAATTAAAAAAGCACCTAACACACATATTGTAATTTTTAATAAAAGTTTCATTTTTTTGAAAACTTAGTTCTGTTAAACTAGAATATTTCACTTATTACAGTATTAAACACGTTGTTTTTATTTTTATCTATTTTGTAATTCTTTTTATAACTAATTACTGTCTTTATACATATTTTCTTTTCTGATAATGATAATTATATAGTTTCTAACTTAACGCTATTCGATGGTCTCTTAAATTTTTAGATTATGTGCCTTATTCACGTCACAGCTTTATAACTCATGCTTTGCACAAACTGTGACGTCATAATGGCTCAAATGCCCTTAAGAGAAGAAATTATTTTACATTTAATTATTTTTCTTTTCTATTATTTTAGATTTGTTTTTAAGTTTACATTTAACAACTATTTGAATAATTTTCATCACAATATAAAGAAAAGAAATAAGTAAAAATATCAAAAATCCATAAACATCTAAAAGTTCTTTTTGTATCCAGTGCAAATTTATTGCTGGAGATCTCAAAATTCCTCCATTTCTCAGGACATATTCGATCCAGTAAATTGTCGTCTCCTCAGGGTCCGTAGGACGATCTTTGAAAATTTTAAAAGCAATTTTTGCAGCTTTTCTATAAAATTAAACAACATTTTTTACTTCTTTAAAGTAAATGATAATATTTTCTTTTACAATGTTAAAGGACGACGCACAAAAAGTACATAAATTGGTCCCTGGTCAAATTTATTAATACTTATTATTGATTATATTTGTTCAAAATTACTTTAAATCAAACATATATCCAAAATACGAAACAAATTTTGCCGGGAACCAAATTATGTACTTTTTGTGCGGAGTCCTTTACTACAGATTTAATGTTACATTCGTGTTTCGAAAAAGTGTTTAGAAGAAAAGTGAGGTTAGATAAAAATGGATTCAGAGATTCTGAATTCTGATTGGATGGAAATATTACCGGTTATATTACGCACCAATAGGGAAATCTTTGGCGCCATATTACCTAACCATATTTAACAACTTCTCTTAAGTCACAATAGATCAATCGGAGCAATTATTTAATTCATTTCACATTAAAATTTTTTGTTAATGATCGCAAGGGAACATAAGTTTTGACAGTTTTATATATAAATTTACATCTACCTTATTCAAAACTAAAAGTTTTTCTCTCAAAATTGTATGCTTATTCAACTAAAAATAGTGAAAAATATTACCTGTATGATGAATTATTTAAAATTTCTGTCAATACATTAAAGAGAATTGTCTCCTTAATGTTATTCAGATCTAATTTAATTCCCATATTTTTTTTCACCAGTGTATCCAAATTTATAAACTGATCGATAGCTATTGGAATTCCGATAACAGGAACACCAAAGTATAAAGCCTCTAGTGAACTCAAAAGACCGCAGTGTGTTATAAAAGTCTTGGTATTTTCGTGTCCTGAGAAAAACAATAGTTATTTGAATTTAAAATAAATTCAAAGTAATAACAAAAGCAAATAGTAAAGTAAAACAGCACTTAAAACTGGAATTTGTGGTATCCAGGGAAGAGTTTTAGCATTTTCTGGAATTCCAGGGGGAAGATTATCTTCATATTTGACTCGAACTAAAAATCTAATAGGTTGCAGTTTTCTCATGACTGAATAAAAAGCATGAATTGTTTCATTTGGCAACGAGTCGATGCGGAATATTGTTCCAAGTGAAAAGTAGATGACTCCGTGATTACTCTCGTCCATCCATTTTTGCATTTCCTTGAAATCGTAATAATATTTTCTGCAACGATTTTTAAATACTTTTTTTGCTTTCGATTGGCTAGTAATTTTTCGAAATTTTACTAGCCAATGAAAACACAAGACTATTTCCGCTACCCACCCTTGTACATTACTTCTAACCTCTCTTTTTCTTTGTACATGTAATAAAAAATTATCTTACAGCCGTCAGCTTGGTTTCGTCTTGTAAAATGTGTAATCCTCCGACTTCCACTAAAGCTGGAATTGTGCTTTTAATTCCATTAAAACTGAAGTGAGTGTTACTAAGTGTCAAAACCGAATTTTCTAACAATTCGCTAACAGTCGGTAAATCTCGACTTATATGTTTCCTTATAAGTTCCGTTTGTATTTTCTCCGTGTTGTAATAAAATTCATATTGCCCCGTGAACTTTTCTATGGTATTTCGCAAACGATCCCAGAAAGAATTAATTTCTAATAAAGAAGATAGTGCATGTGGATGAGTTGCAGATGATGATGGATATCCTATTGCATCTTCCACCCATGGATACAAACTTTGAGCCGACAGAGTTACTAATGGAATATTTAAAAATTGCGCTAAACCCATAAAGCAATTCATTCCAAAGGCCTGAAATTATTCAAATAGTTAATACTTTGGAAATAAAAAGAATCATAAGCTTATAGATTTCTATACAGTAAACTATACCTCAGTAATTAAAAGATCGTAATCGGCTTTCATTTTCAATTTTTTGATGATATCTTGCACTTTTTCATTGGCAAGTAACTCACAAACGGAATTTCCTAGCTCGTGAGATATAAATTCAACTGGACCCTTAGTGTAATTAGTTGCTAAGAATTCAAATGTCACGTCAGTTACAATAAATGGTACAATTTCTAACATACTATAAATAACCGTATAATTTTGCGGTGGATTTTCCAGTTCATTGACAACAATAACGTCCACTTGATGTCCATGTTTTGCCAATGCTTTCATTACCGATTGACAAAAAATACCATGACTCTTTACGGGTACTGGAAATACGCCTAAAATTTTATATCCACTTACACCGCTTCCTATTGTTGAATACAACAACAAAAGTATTGAAAATTTTGATAAAATGTTCATTTTATTTTTTTTTGAGTATTCGTTTTGCTTTCGACTTTTGGTACTATAATATACGTTATACGTAATTTTATTGTTTTATTTTCAAATTGTCATTATTTTTTTTTTCTAAATTAGTACATAATTATTAGGCAAGTATTTCGTGAAAAAGCAGTTATTTATATGTAGTTCACTTATAATAAACGGGTTTTTTTCCTTCACTGTTTTGCTCTTTTGATAAAAATGTAAATATTTAATAGTAAATTTTTCAAGTTATTTCTTGCGAAAATGTTTCTTTTGTCTAATTGTCGCTACAATAACAGTATTGAAAGAAAATATTTAATAATACTAATTAACCTTTTTGTTTTTCTCGGGTTTGTTCTTGTTTTTTATATTGTCAATTGCTCCGATAATTGTTACGCTTAAAAAATGACGCAGTTGATCAGACTGCAAACTCAGATCCCCCCCACCATAGCGCCAAACTTGCCCTTTCCATTCTCCACTAACACAAAGACTCACGGTGCGTTTCAACTCCGAGAATTATTAATTCCAAGATAATTATAATAGATATTGCACGTTTTATAAGAATCTTTAAAGTAATTCCCTTTTTAAGCATTTTTTTGCTTAGGGAATTTTAGGAAATCTGCCTACAGATACATTGGATTCCGCACTCCAAGGTTGTGTGGGGTTGGTATAATAAAACAAAAGGAAATATAAAAAAATAAATTAATAAACATAACAAACTGTCTGTGCATATAATTATTGCGTAACGCTAATTTTTGAAAATTTTGACCCCTCCCCTCCCCACATGTAACACACTGTTACATACATTAGCGCCATTTTTTTGGCTTATCGTAACAAATATAGCTTGACCCCTCCTTCCCAAAAAAGTGTTACGTAATATATAATATAATATAATATATTTTCAATTTTAAAATTAATGTATTGAAAATCATTGAATTCCCGACAAGAAGTTTATTATTTATAAAAATAATTGAATTCTTTCAACCGACAGATTAGCTCAGTCGGATAGATGCCTCGCTTAGCGGTCGTTTAAGGACCAAGGGTATAAGTATCCTTGGTTCGCGCCTACTTGGCTTGGTATTTTTCCGACACGTGAGACAATCTGAGCGGGAGGTTTGACGTCGAGGTATAATGATGTGCACCGTCGATTATTGTCCGGTACACACCATTAGAACTCGACTGTCGATAAACCGGTTGTACTCAGGAGAGGTTTTTTACAGTTTCCGTCTCAACTGGCGAGAAAACCCATTTGACGGGTGGTCCAGGCAAATGCGAGTACTCCTAATTTTCAAGTCGCTCTGTAGGCGCAAAACTTAGTATTAGGAAAATGTATGAAATTATTTTAAAATTTATATTTGAAAATAAAAAATTTTGTAATTTGCATAACAATAATAAATTGAATATCACGTTCCGCGCGCCAGCGCGCGTAACGTTTGCTAGTATTTAATACTCGTGAACAATACAACGGAATTACATGATCCAAAGTGAAAATTGAAGCTAATGCTCTAAGCTTTTAAAAAATATTTGTTTGTAATGATAAAATAATTTTTACCAAAGTTACATAACTTTAAATGTTAGTTAAACAAGCAAGTTTTTTAATAAGTGGATAATGTGCATTTAGTTAAAAAGTTTATGAAAATCATTACTCGGGGGTTTTCCGGGTCGCTGATTACTTACCTGACATCAGACTTTCAAAATGGCGGATCTAATATGTCTAATATGAAGTTTAACACAACTTCTTAAATTTTCGATCGCCATATTGGATCCGACATTTTGAATTTTCAAAAATGGACACTGGATTCGTAATCAGCGACCCAAAAAACTATTAAAGCGTGTTGAGATATAAAATTTTCTATGCAGGGTAAATTGAACCATTTTGGCACCGATTTCTGCAATGTAATTTAACCGTAGCAGGGTTAAATTAAGAGAAGAAATTATTTTACATTTATTTATTTTTCTTTTCTATTATTTTAGATTTGTTTTTAAGTTTACATTTGACAACTATTTGAATAATTTTCATCACAATATAAAGAAAAGAAATAAGTAAAAATATCAAAAATCCATAAACATCTAAAAGTTCTTTTTGTATCCAGTGCAAATTTATAGCTGGAGATCTCAAAATTCCTCCATTTCTCAGGACATATTCGATCCAGTAAATTGTCGTCTCCTCAGGATCCGTAGGACGATCTTTGAAAATTTTAGAAGCTATTTTCGCTGCTTTTCTATAAAATTAAATAATATTTTTTACATTAACATAAATGGTAATATTTTCTTTTATAATGTCAAATTTACTACCTTTTCGATTTACTGCAAAACTTTTTTATTTTAATTACCCACACAGCACATGATATTTCCTAAATATTTCCTGAATATTTCACTGAAAGATTGAAATATTTCAGTGCAAAGTTCTAGAAATATTTCTGCAAACAGGAAAATGTCCGCTTATGTGGGAATATTGACGCGAAAGTTGAGAAAATATTTCATTGAAATATTTTGGAAATATTCAACTGAAATGATGCGCACTGGTCGAACTCAGTTTCTATGGCCTGTAGAGCTGCGCAGTAGTTTTTGGCTTACTATATCCTATGGGTTTTAAAATATTTCAGAAAATTCCTATTGGTTTGAGGTGTTTAACAAATTTTTCCATTTTGTGAAATATTTTCACAATATTGCAGAATCTTTATGTGTAATATTGCAGGAATATTTCAATGAAATATTTTCTCAACTTTCGCGTCAATATTCCCACATAAGCGGACATTTTCCTGTTTGCAGAAATATTTCTAGAACTTTGCACTAAAATATTTCAATCTTTCAGTGAAATATTCAGGAAATATTTAGGAAATATCATGTGCTGTGTGGGTAATAAAATATTATTTAATGAATTTAATGTTATACATTCGTGTTTCGGAAATGCGTGTTTAGAAAAAAGTAAGGTTATAGATAAAAATGGATTCAGAGATTTTGAATAAGGTAGTTCAAGTTGGGTGGGGGAAATCCAATATGGCTGACATCAGCTGATTTACCGGAGGACAAACAATGCATTGAATTCAATGGGACAAATCAGTTTTTTAACCATAACTTTTTAAATATTTATTTTTGAACCATAGTGTAATGGAAAATTATTCTTTATTTATCGAAATCTATTTTTTAAAACAATAAAAACAAAAAATTAAATTTTATTGTTTTAAAAAATAGATTTCGATAAATAAAGAATAATTTTCTATTACACTATGGTTCAAAAATAAATATTTAAAAAGTTATGGTTGAAAAACTGATTTGTCCCATTGAATTCAATGCGTTGTTTGTCCTCCGGTAAATCAGCTGATGTCAGCCATATTGGATTTTCCCCAACCAACTTGAACTACCTTATTCTGATTGAATGGAAATATTACCGGTAATATTACGCACCAATAGGAATATATTTAGCACCATATTACCTAACCAAATTATTTAACATCTCTCAATTAATATGATCAATCATTTCGTTGATTTCAAATGATCCAGTAAAATTTTTCGGTAATGATCTCAAGGTACAATAGGTTTAACAGTTTCATATAAATTTACATCTACCTTACTCAAAAACAAAAAGTTTTTCTTTCAAATTTTTGTGCTTATTGAACTTAAAATAGTGAAAAATATTACCTGTATGATGAATTATTTAATATTTCTTTCAATACATTAAAAAGAATTGTCTCCGTAATGTTATTCAGATCTAATTTCATTCCCATATTTTTTTTCACCAGTGTATCCAAATTTCTAAACTGATCGGCAGCTATTGGAATTCCGATAACAGGAACACCGAAATATATAGTCTCGAATGAACTCAAAAGACCACAGTGTGTTATAAAAACTTTGGTATTTTTGTGTCCTTAGAAAAGAAATGGTTATTTGAATTTAATTGTAAATAAATACAAAAGGCAAATAGTAAAGTAAAACAGTACTTAAAACTGGAATTTGTGGTATCCAGGGAAGAGTTTTAACATTTTCTGGAATTCCAGGGGGAAGATTATCTTCATATTTGACTCGAACTAAAAATCTAATAGGTTGCAGTTTTCTCATGACTGAATAAAAAGCATGAATTGTTTCATTTGGCAACGAGTCGATGCGGAATATTGTTCCAAGTGAAAAGTAGATGACTCCGTGATTACTCTCGTCCATCCATTTTTGCATTTCCTTGAAATCGTAATAATATTTTCTGCAACGATTTTTAAATACTTTTTTTGCTTTCGATTGGCTAGTAATTTTTCGAAATTTTACTAGCCAATGAAAACACAAGACTATTTCCGCTACCCACCCTTGTACATTACTTCTAACCTCTCTTTTTCTTTGTACATGTAATAAAAAATTATCTTACAGCCGTCAGCTTGGTTTCGTCTTGTAAAATGTGTAATCCTCCGACTTCCACTAAAGCTGGAATTGTGCTTTTAATTCGTTGAAAACTGAAGTGAGTGTTGCTTAGTGTCAAAATCGAACTTTCTGACAATTCGCTAACAGTCGGTAAATCTCGACTTATATGTTTCCTTATAAGTTCCGTTTGTACTTTCTCCGTGTAATAATAAAGTTTATACTGCATAGTAAGCTTTTCTATGGTATTTTGCAAACGATCCCAGAAAGAATTAATTTCTAATAAAGAAGAAAGAGTAATTGGATGAGTTGCAGATGATGATGGATATCCGATTGCATCTTCCACCCATGGATACAAACTTTGAGCCGACAGAGTTACTAATGGAATATTTAAAAATTGCGCCAAACCCATAAAGCAATTTATCCCAAAGGCCTGAAATTATTCAAATAGTTAATACTTTGGAAATAAAAAGAATCATAAGCTTATAGATTTCTATACAGTAAACTATACCTCAGTAATTAAAAGATCGTAATCAGCTTTCATTTTCAATTTTTTGATGATATCTTGCACTTTTTCATTGGCAAGTAACTCACAAACGGAATTTCCCAGCTCGTGAGATATAAATTCAACTGGTCCCTTAGTGTAATTAGTTGCTAAGAATTCAAATGTCACGTCAGTTACAATAAATGGTACAATTTCTAACATACTATAAATAACCGTATAATTTTGCGGTGGATTTTCCAGTTCATTGACAACAATAACGTCCACTTGATGTCCATGTTTTGCCAATGCTTTCATTACCGATTGACAAAAAATACCATGACTCTTTACGGGTACTGGAAATGCGCCTAAAATTTTATATCCACTTACACCGCTTCCTATTGTTGAATACAACAACAAAAGTATTGAAAATTTTGATAAAATGTTCATTTTATTTTTTTTTGAGTATTCGTTTTGCTTTCGACTTTTGGTACTCTTTAATACACGTAATTTTATTATTTTATTTTCAAATTGTCATTATTTTTCTTTTATAAATTAGTATATAATTATTAGACAAGTATTTTGTGTAGAAGCAATTATTTGTATCTAGTTCACTTATAATAAACAGGTTTTTCTCCTACACTGTTTTGCTCTTTTGATAAAAATGGAAACATTTGATAGTAAAATTTTCAAGTTATTTCTTGTGATAATGTTTCTTTTGTCTTATTATTGCTACAATAACAGTATCGAAAGAAAATATTTAATAATACTTATTAACCCTTTTGTTTTTCTCAGGTTTGTTCTTGTTCTTTAGATTCACAATTGCTCCGATAATTTTTACGCTTGAAAAAATGTGGAAAGAATTAAGGTCATGTTATTTAGTGGTCACGTGCTCCATATACTTTACTATGGGAACACGTGACCACTGAATAACATGACCTTAAGCCAGCCAAACATAGGAAAACGTGAAAAAATTAAAGTTGATAATTTTAATTTTTAAATACTACTTCCTTATAGTAAATAAAAAGGCTTATCTTTATTTCCTATGACTTTTTTTAATTGAACGAATATGTTAGATAATAATAGCCAAAGACTGAAAAATTTTAGTTCTTAAATTTCATTGAATTTTAAAACATAAATCGTCATATCTGATCTTCAAAATAATTTATTTACATAAATTAATTTTTTTAAAGCAGTTAAAATTATTTTTCAAATTTTCCAATATGGCCGGACTTGTGGTCGGCGCAGAACTGTATCTAAACTTTAAAGTTGAAACTAAACTAAATTGATAAGTTAATATTCATCCTAATTATAATTTATTTATTTATTTATTATTATAAACGGGTTTACAAAATCATACCCTTCATAGAGAAAAGGAAAAAAAGAAACATATATTCATTACAAAAGTAGCGCTGTAAATATTACTCAATCAATAACAAAAACGTGGATGAAAATTTAACAAAGTTAGTCAAGTTTTGCTATTTAAGTGTTTAAAAAGCTCCTGCGTAAATCGACTTTTAGAAACGTTAAAAAAGTCTACACTTTAAGCATGATTAGCCTCTTGACAAAGCCGAGTAAGGGGTGAGTTGCTTCCCAAATTTGTGCGACTGAAAGGTACTTTAAAAGTTGCTCTATTTCTTAAAGATACGTACGGAACTGACAATTACAACAATAATAATTAAAACGGAACAATAATTACGTAAATTAGTTCTAAAATAAGTGAAAGAGGGGTTATTTTCGGATCTTTATTTGAAACATAATAGTTAAATTAAGAGAAGAAATTATTTTATATTTAATTATTTTTCTTTTTCACTTTTTTAGATTTGTTTTTAAGTTTACAATTGACAACTATTTGAATAATTTTCATCACAATATATAAAAAAGAAATAAGTAAAAATATTAAAAATCCATAAACATCTAAAAGTTCTTTTTGTATCCAGTGCAAATTTATAGCTGGAGATCTCAAAATTCCTCCATTTCTCAGGACATATTCGATCCAGTAAATTGTCGTCTCCTCTGGATCCGTCGGACGATCTTTGAAAATTTTAGAAGCTATTTTTGCAGCATTTCTATAAAATTAAAAAATACTTTTTACTTCTTTAACATAATTGGCAATATTTTCTTTTATAATGTCAAATTTACTACGAAACTTTGTTATTTTAATTAATAAAATATTATTTAATGTTACATTCATGTTTCGGAAATGTGTTTAGAGAAAAAATAAGATTAGATAAAAATGAATTGAAAGTTTCTGAATTCTGATTGGTTGGAAATATTACCGGTAATATTACGCAGCAACAGGAAAATGTTTGGCGCCATATTACCTAACGATATTTAACAACTTCTCTCAAGTTACAAGTTAAATTTTTGGATAAAGATCGCAAAGTAAAAAATTAAAATAAGTTTAACAGTTTTATATAAATTTACATCTACCTTACTCAAAAACAAAAAGTTTTTCTTTGAACATTTTGTGCATATTAAATTTAAAATAGTGAAAAATATTACTTGTATGATGAATTATTTAATATTTCTGTCAATACATTAAAGAGAATTGTCTCCGTAATGTTATTCAGATCTAATTTCATTCCCATATTTTTTTTCACCAGTGTATCCAAATTTCTAAACTGATCGGCAGCTATTGGAATTCCGATAACAGGAACACCGAAATATATAGTCTCGAATGAACTCAAAAGACCACAGTGTGTTATAAAAACTTTGGTATTTTTGTGTCCTTAGAAAAGAAATGGTTATTTGAATTCAATTGTAAATAAATACAAAAGGCAAATAGTAAAGTAAAACAGTACTTAAAACTGGAATTTGTGGTATCCAGGGAAGAGTTTTAACATTTTCTGGAATTCCAGGGGGAAGATTATCTTCATATTTGACTCGAACTAAAAATCTAATAGGTTGCAGTTTTCTCATGACTGAATAAAAAGCATGAATTGTTTCATTTGGCAACGAGTCGATGCGGAATATTGTTCCAAGTGAAAAGTAGATGACTCCGTGATTACTCTCGTCCATCCATTTTTGCATTTCCTTGAAATCGTAATAATATTTTCTGCAACGATTTTTAAATACTTTTTTTGCTTTCGATTGGCTAGTAATTTTTCGAAATTTTACTAGCCAATGAAAACACAAGACTATTTCCGCTACCCACCCTTGTACATTACTTCTAACCTCTCTTTTTCTTTGTACTTGTACATGTAATAAAAAATTATCTTACAGGGATCAGCATGGTTTCTTCTTGTAAAATGTGTAGTCCTCCGACTTCCACTAAAGCTGGAATTGTGTTTTTAATTCCATTAAAACTGAAGTGAGTGTTACTAAGTGTCAAAACCGAATTTTCTAACAATTCGCTAACAGTCGGTAAATCTCGACTTATATGTTTCCTTATAAGTTCCGTTTGTATTTTCTCCGTGTTGTAATAAAGTTCATATTGCCCCGTGAGCTTTTCTATGGTATTTCGCAAACGATCCCAGAAAGAATTAATTTCTAATAAAGAAGAAAGAGTAATTGGATGAGTTGCAGTTGGTGATGGATATCCGATTGCATCTTCCACCCAGGGATACAAATTTTGAGCCGACAGAGTTACTAATGGAATATTTAGAAGTTGCGCCAAACCCATAAAGCAATTCATTCCAAAGGCCTGAAATTATTCAAATATTTAATACCTCGGAAATAAAAAGACTCATAAGCTTATAGATTTCTATACTTAACAGTAAACTATACCTCAGTAATTAAAAGATCGTAATCAGCTTTCATTTTCAATTTTTTGATGATGTCTTGCACTTTTTGGTTGGCAAGTAACTCACAAACGGAATTTCCCACCTCGTTAGATATAAATTCAACTGAACTCGTAGTTGCTAAGGATTCAAATGTCACGTCAGTTATAATGTATGGTACAATTTCCAACATATTATAAATAACTGTATAATTTTCCGGTGGATTTTCCAGTTCATTAATAACAATGACGTCCACGTGATGTCCATGTTTTGCCAATGCTCTCGTTACTGATTGACAAAAAATTCCATGACTCTTTATGGCTACAGGAAATACGCCTAAAATCTTATATCCACTTACACCACTTCCTATTGTTGAATACAACAAGAAAAGTATTGAAAATTTCGATAAAAAGTTCATTTTATTTTTTTAAATATTCGTTTTGCTTTTGACTTTAGGTACACTTCTATATATAATTTTATTGTTTTATGTTCAAATTGACATTATTTTTCTTTTCTAAATTAATATATAATCAGTAGACGAGTATTTAGTGCAGAAGCAATTATTTGTATCTAGTTCATTTATAATAAACAGGTCTTTCTCCTACATTGTTTTACTCTTTTGATAAGGAGTCGTCCATAAATTTATAGACGGCTCCTAAATGTAAACATGCGATAGTAAACTGTTCAAGTTATTTCTTGCGATAATGTTTCTTTAGTCTAATCATCGTTACAATAGTTTTTATTTATCATAGTTATCTTAAACTTTATATTTAAATTTTTGTGTTTCAAACATATTATTATATTATTATAATATATAATATAATATAATAATTATTATATTATATTTAATAATACTAATTAGCCTGTTCGTTTTTCTCGGGTTTGTTCTTTTATAATAAAAGTTTTAAACACAATGAAATTTTTTTAACAAACAATTTTTAATTATCTTATGTTTTTCTTTATAAATGAAATTGTTGCTTAAAAAACATTATTTTGCATTATTATTAATTTTATAATTTTAATATTATATAATAATTTTAATATTAAAAATAATTATTTTCAGGTAGTGGATTTGCCTACTATTGTAGAATCATTAAAAACTATAGACAACAGAAGTTTCTATAAAACTGCTGACATTTGTCAGGTGAGAAAATTAAATATTTGTACGACTTTTTAGTTCTTTGTATAAAAACCTGATAATCTGGGTGTAGGAGAATATTTAAATTCTTTAGTTAAGTAACAACGAAAAAATGGTGTAATTTTGAAAAACTTATTTTCAAGATGCTTATTTGTAAAGAAGAGGATGACCAGACAACTACAGATGAAGAATCACCCGTGAGACAGAAGAAGAAGGACCCAAATAAAGTTGATAAGAAATTTTTGTGGCCACATGGTATAACACCGCCAACGAAAAACGTGAGGCGCAAGAGATTCAGAAAGACATTAAAAAAGAAATACGTCGAAGCTCCAGAAATTGAGAAAGAGGTGAAGCGTTTACTTAGAGTTGACAATGAAGCAGTGAACGTTAAATGGGAAGTAATTTGCGAAGACGAAGATCAGTCGAAACCGAGTAAAGTGTCTTCCAGTGGAACGGTGAAAAGTAAGAGAGACAGCGCTGATGAAAACATATCACAAAGTGTAGATATCGGTGAGTGAGCTTGGAGTCTTTCAAATTGCATTCAGCATTCTTCAATCTTTCGATTTTTTATCATAAATATTTTTATTTCAGCTGAACATGACATCTTCGGAGAGCCAGTAAGTGACAGTGAAGACGAAGATGAAGAAGGAAACATAAATGTACTGGAGTTTGATGAAAACAGTCGCATGTCGGCAGACAGTCGAATTTCAGACTCCAATTCAATGCAAGTGAGATATTCGGAGAGATCTGGAAATACAGTGGTGTCCACGGCAAGTGGTTTAATAACTGAATTCAGTAAAGACATGTTCGTTCAAGCTCATGAGAGGAACGAGGAAAAACCAAGTATAGAAGAAGAAATCAAAGTTCCAAAACTAGAAGCCTTTAATACTGAGTATATTATTCCCGAGAACGACAACTTCTCTCAGCCTCAATCTACAAGTAAAGGTAATTTTATGATATTTCGTTATTCAGTTTTATTTGAATGCGACATTATAGGTTTCGGTTTTTCGATTGTTTTCCCTTTACAATACATATGAATGAAAATATTTGTGTATTCTTAAAACAAAAATATATTATTTGAAACAGATTCTTTACAAGCACGTTTAGAAACTCTCCATGCGGAGCTGGCAGTTCTGCGTGAACGACGTTTGCAACAAGAGTTTGAAATTACAAGCATTGAAAACGTTAAATTGAGACAAAGATTTCAAGAAATTTTGGATAATTTATTGTCTCAGGAAATGCAGAAATTACAAGAGGTATGCGTAAATAGATTATTACTATTATTAATCATGTTTATTAGTTTGTTAAACGTAATGAGAGTATATTTCATTAAAATTGAGTAGTCACTTTGTTGCATATATAAAATCTATTCTTGATTATTTGCAGTAATTTAGTTTTCAGGATAAAAACGACCCTTTGAAGTTTACAGGCCTCGGATATTATGACTTTTTTCGACTATTTTCAAATTATTAAAAAATTGCGATTTTTTCCACTTTTCTTCCGAATTTTGTGACAAAATACCATATTTTTTAGAATAAAATGCAACTTATTTCGATTTTTATAGTGTGGTAAGCATAACTAAGTATAGACTAATCTTTGAAAATTTATTTTTGAATAATTTTTCTAATTAAATTTTTAAAATATACAATTTAAGATTTTAATAATTTAAATTTTGTAAAATTTAATTAAAAATATATCATTTTTTCAAGTATTTTATTACAATTTTTGAAAATTAACTTTTAAAGAATTTTAAATGAAAATTTTGGTAATAATTGATTTCTCAAAAATTTTAATGAATAATCTTCAAGTGTAAATTCAATAAAAATAAAAATTAATAAAAATTCGGTTCTAAAAATAATATTAAAATAGTTTTAAAAAAAGTAATTCGTTCGAATTTTTTAAAATTCACTTAGTTTCAATATTTCCGAAAATTCAAATACATACACAAAATAATATCATTAAAATTTTTTTGGAAAAAATAATCATATTCAAAATTTTTAAAAAATTCTTCAAAAAATTATTTTTTTTAAATTAAACAAAAATTCTTCAATTATTTTCGAAAAATTACATTCCAATATTTATAAAAAAATAATTCTTAAAATTGTTTTATCATAATCTTTTAAGATTCAATTACCTTCGAACAAGGTAAATTAAAATTTTTTAAAATTTGAAGAAATCATTTATAATTAAAATTCTTCAAAAATTTGATTATTTTTTTTATATTTTTTAAAAACTCAATTATTTTTAAAATATTTTTTTATATTTAAATTATTTTTCAAAGATTTTACTAAATTTGAATAATTTTTAAAAGATTTTACCAAATTTCAATTTTTTGGACATTTTAAATTTTTTTAATATTTTTAAAAAGTTAGTTTTACGAATTTCTTTATTAACAATTTTGAAAATATTCTACCTTAATATATTTAAAAAGAAAAATGGACGGTTTCAATTATTATAAAAAATTAAATTTTTGTTTAAAAAAAAAAAATATTCGTGTACAGGGTTGCCACTTTTCTAGGTTTTCCAGGTTAAAAAACGAAATATTTCCAGGTTTTTAAAACTACATTTATATTTTACAAAATTGTTAATTCTAACCTTTTTGAAATTAAACAATTATAAAAAATTGTTATAAAACATGAAAATATCGATCACTCTAATGCAATCGATATCTTCATGTTTTATAATAATTAAAAATGTTGGACTGATAAAATCATCATTTTATACCTATTATTATTATAAGAATATTGTTACTGTAACTTATTCAAAATTACTTTCATTATTTTAATTTAATTATTGTTTTCCACAATTTTTAACTAAAATTCTTCTTTATAAAGTGTAAATTAATTATTATTAATAATTTCTGAAACATTTCTTTCAACATTTTCAAATCCTTTTGTTTACAATTCAATTTTACGAAATTTCATCGATTATTCAAGTACTCGGAAATTCTTCAATCAAATATAACTTCAAAAAAATGAAATTTAACTTTTACAAAAAAAATTAAATCTACACAATTTTGAGTTAAATGTATGAAAAATTTAAACATTCAAAGATTATAATTTGAGACCTGCTTTTCAAAACTCAATTATTATCTAAAGTTTTAACTGAAATTCATATTTCAATCAATTATTATTAGAAAATTCAACGACAATTCAATTATTTAAATACAAAAAAAAATAATTTATTGAAGAATCAATGTTTTTTAAAATTCAACTCTCATAACAAATTTTTAAATAGGTAATTAAAATTCTTTTCACGAATTTCAATAACATTTTTAAGAACAATTTCATTTTTCGAGAAATTAGATTAAAAATGTATTAAAAATAATTGAATCTCTGTTAAAAAAATTTCATTGAATTGAGAAAAGTTTTTGAGAATAATTGAAATATTGCCAAGAATTTTATTAAAATTTTTGAAAATAATTGAACTTTAGAAAAAAATTTTAATATTTATAAAAATAATTGAAATTTCGACTATAACTTTTATTAAACTTTTGACCATAATTGAATTTCTGCTAAGAATTTTATTACTTTTGAAAATAATTGAATTCTTGACAAGACTTTTTTAATAATATTTCTTTTTAAATACCTAATTATTTTTAATACAAAAATAAAAATTTATTGAATAATTGAATGTTTCTCAAAATTGAATTCTCGTAAAGAATTTTATTAACAAATTTTTAAATAATTGAATTCTTTTGACGAATTTTAATAAAATTTTAAGTAAAATTACATTTTTCGAGAAATTCGATTGAAATTGTATCAAAAATAATTGAAATTCTGCAATGAGTTTTATTATCTATGTAAATAATAATTGAATCCCTGTAAAAAATTGTATTACATATATTTATAAAAAATAATTGAATTTTGGAGAAAAATTTTAATATTTATAAAGATAATTGAAATTTTGACGATAAATTTTTTTAAACTTTTGACCATAATTGAATTTCTGCGAAGAATTTTATTACTTTTGAAAATAATTGAATTTCTTTGATGAATTTGAATAAAATTTTTAAGAATAATTATAAATTTTTCGGGAAATTCCATTAAAATTGTATTAAAAATAATTGAAATTTTGCGATGAGTTTTATTATTTATGAAAATAATTGTAAATCTTTAAATTTTTTGATTATTTATGAAAATAATTGAATTATTGCGAAGAAAAATTGTAAAGGCAACTCTTTTAAAATTGAATTATGAAAATTGAATTAAAGAAAAATTAGATTTCAAGAATAAGCACAATAACTTTAGAAAACAATAATTTTCCAGGATTCCAATGAAAATTCCCTGACTTTTCCAGGTTTTTTCAAGGTTTATAAAAATTCCCTGACATTTCCAAGTTTTCCAGGTTTCCAGGTTGCGTGGCAACCCTGGTGTAAAAATTTTCGGAAGGGTTGTAGTTTTAATTTTTAGAAATTATTAAATTTCAGAAGTTAAACTGGTTTAAATTTTATTTTCTGTGAAAAAAGAAATATTATGAAGTATTTAAATATTTATTTAGCAAAATTATTCGAGTTTTGATTAATTGAATTTGGAAATCAGTGAAGAATCAGGGAAATACAGAATAACATTTTTTGTGACAACACTAAATTAAATAAACGACTTTTTTTCTATTTTTAATCGACTAAAGCAACTTTTTTTGCTCGTTAATGTCGATCCGAGGCCTGAGTTTAAAAAGAGATCGGTACCGATCTCGAAACGTTAAGATTTGTACTGAGTTACTCTAGTCGGATTGTCTCTATTAGAAATATGGCTCTCTCTACGTATATTGATATTACTTGTATTCTTAGGAGACTAACTTATTACTTTTTCTTCATTTCAGATTCAAGATTTAGAACCTGCATAAATTGTTTTGATAGATATTATATAGATTGCACACTAAATAACATCTTACGTTTCGTTATTTCACTATATTAATTAAGTTAAAACTTCTTGTATTTATAAATAAAAACTTATTCTTGTTATTAGAGATATGAAAATTAAGCATTATAAGACTTAAAAGGAAATAAAATTATTTGATCATATTCGTTTTAAATTTAATGAAATCTAATGAAATCTTCTTACGTTATTTAAACGTGTGACCTAGGAGCCTTCTATATTTAAATTTTTTCTTTCTGCATTGGATTTGTTATAAATTATAATATTAAAATAATTAGACAATTGTTTTCAAAAAATAAATATATTTTTATTTAAACGGATAGATACAATTAGGTCGAAAGGGATAAAATAAAGCTAATCTGTTTATTTAAAAAATGCCACGATTATAATTAAAATGAATGCAAAATAAAGTGAATTTGGAAAGGAAATAAACTTAACAATTTATTTCATTTACTTCTTATTTCTTTCATTAGAGAAATTAGACCGTTTGAAAAAATAATGCAATAAATTATAAAAAATATTTTTGTAAATTTATTTTCATTACAGGATTTATGTTATTTTATAAAATTATTTTTAAATATTCATAACTTTGTATATAATGTATTTTTCATAAAAACTTTATCTTTAATTATTAGTTAAAAATTGTAATAAAATTATACTCCATTAAGGCACTTCTGAATCTAAAGAATTCAATATTTCTCCTCCTTCTTGGCAGTATTGTATAAAACTTCTCAAAACTAACTTGGATACTGATCTGGTAATATTTTGCGCGAGATCGATTGGATCTTGAAGACAAAGCGGCGAATCAATGCGAAACGTCTCTGCATTCAAAGTTGATTTTATATAGCGTGTGTAGCATTCCATTTCCTTCGGCAAGTGCTGAACACGATCATCAATAAAATCTATCTTCTTGAGCGACTTCCCCATCAAGGGAGATATAATACAGGTCCTATAATCGTATTGCGCATAAAATTTCAAAAATCCTTTCAGTAGTGATTCAAAAGTTAGAGAAGAAGGCCTAACAGGGATTTGTGAGGCAATGCCGGTCTCCCAGTCTGTAAAATATTTAAATTTCAAACATGAAAAATATTAATTTGGAATTAGGTTGAGAGTTGCTTTACTGAAAAAGCACTTTACTCACCTCCGATAATGAATGACTGGCTCTTCCCTTTCATTAGTTCTGCGATGCTTGGAAATACGTTAATTTGTTGTAAATAAAAAACAACCAGCCATGTAATTCCAAATGTTGTTAAACCTTGCTCGTGTGTCAAGTAGCAGGCGCTTAACCACTTTTTTAAAAATAGTATCGCTTTTCTACAAAGTGGAAGTGATGTTACAAAAAGCCTGAAACATTCAAACAATTATGTTAGCTGCTATTAAATGCCTCTGAAAGGAATAAAATATAAATTGTATTCGCACTTTATTATTCTTGTCTTCTCCACTGTGATGCCATTAGTGAAAGATAAATCGCAATTCAGCTCCAAGTCTCGGTGGAAAAGTTTTATTATCGGTGCTCTGACCTTTAATAGAATTTCCTTCACGTCCCACATGTATGGAGAATTTTTGAAGCATACTTCAGAATTTAACAAATATTCACGACTTGCGGATAACAACAATTTTCCTTTATATGCATTACCTAAAAATCAAAGTACTTAATTTATGGGTGCTTAAAATTAAAATGTCATTTTCGATCCTACTTTGATTTTTTGATCTTAGAATTTAAACTTTTTGATACTCATGTTAGGTTGACTAGAATATACGATGAACAAAAGTAATAGTTATGTCGAGCAGATGAAAGAAAATTTTAATTTTCATCAGGTGTAAAACGATAGGCAGAAATTGTAAGAAACTTTCTGCTTACATTTATTCTTTTCTCAAATAAATTCTTCCTACTTAGTGGAAATATTTGCATAACCAAAAAAAATATTTCTAATGAATTTTCCAATAAATTATAAACTTTTGAAGAGTAAGAAAACATAGGAACATTGAGAGACACAACTGACATTTTTGAAAGATTTTACTGGCAATTTTTTTGCGAATGATGAGAATAAAATCAGCTTATAAACGACAATCCATTATCAAATCTTCATTACCTGAATATAGAATATAAATTCAGATTTCGCACTTGATAATTAATTTTAAAAAAGTAGCAAAAAATAGCTTTCAAACTGAAAAAAAGTCGTAAAAAAGTAACTATCGAAAAATTAAACTTGACGACCAAAAAAACTCGTTTTAGATTCTTTACAAAACTGACAAGAATTCCATTCTATATTTTATTTTCCTGACTTTTTCCTAATTTTCATAAAAAATAATTACTTCTTTCTTATCCTACGCTAATAAATTAAATTCCTGCAACGAATTTGATTATTTATCAAAGAATTTAAATGTTTATACAAATAATTAATGTTTAATTATAATGTTTAATTTCTTTCGACTAATTTTATGCAAATTGTAATTTAAATAATTGAATTCCTGGGAAATTTGTACTATTCATGAAAAGAATTGAATTCTTATGAAGATTTTTACAAACATTTTTTTAAATACATAATTGAATTCTGTTTGGAAATTTTATGAAAATCATTGAATTGCGAAAAGTTTTTAAAAATAATTGAATTTTACAAAGAATTCTATTAAAATTTTTGAGAATGATTGAATATCTGTGTGGTACTTTCTTAAATTTTTTTTGAAAATAATTGAATTCCTAAAAAGCATTTTATTATTTATGAAGATAATTGAATTCTTGCGACCAATTTTATTAGAATTTTTTAAAATAATTGAACTTTAAAGAAGAAATTTATTACTTTTAAAAATAATTGAATTCTTGTGATGAATAACAATTTATGAAAATAATTGAATTTTGTAAAGAATTTTATAAAAATTCCTCAAAATAATTAAATTTTCAGGAATAATTTTGTTATTTATCTTTAATAATTAAATTCTTTCGAAGAATTATTTATGTTATTAAATGAATTCTTGGAAAGAATTTGATTAAAATTTAAAAGAATAATTGAGGGCTCGGATCGAAGAACCGACACTTGTAAACGCACAGAACATTGCGAAACGTCGGTTCTTCGATCCGAGCCCTCAATTGAATTATTTCAAAAAAATTTAATGAAAATTGTATTTTCATATTAAGAAATCAATTACTATTGATTTCTTTTGAACAATTTTATTGAAATATTTGAAAATAATTGAATTCGTGTAAAAAATACTAATATTTTTGTAACTAATAATTGAATTCTTCCAAAGAATTTTAGAAAAACATGTTTTTAAATATTTGATTTTCTCGAGGAATTGAAATTAAATTTTTAAGAATAATTACATTTTTTGAGTAATTGCTGTAAAATTGTATTTAAAATAATTGAAATCCTGCGATGATTTTTATTATTTATGAAAATAATTGAATAGTTGCTAAGAATTTTATTAAAATTTTCAAAAATAATCGAATTCCTGAGAAGAATTATATTATTTATGAAAATAATTGAATTATTGCAAAAAATTTTTATTAAAATGTTTTTAAAAAATTGAGTTTCTGTAAAAATTTTTGTTATTTTTGAAAATAATTTAATTCTTTATAGGAATTTTATAAACATTGTTTTAAATAATTAATTTTTTTGAAATATAAAAAATATTAAATGAAAATTTTATTTTAAATAATTGAATTCTTGTGGAAAACTTTATTTGTGAAAATAATTGAATTTTAGGTGAAATTTATCAGTTTTTTTTTAAATAATTGAATTTTTTTGCGAAATTTTCTGAAATATTAGATATTGAAAATAATTGAATATCGAATATTGTTTGAAAACAATTGAATCGTTTTAAAGAATTTGATTATAATTTTTGAGGATAGTTTTTTGATTTCTAGTATTAGCGAATTTAAAGTAAATTCTGGAAAAAAATAGAAATAGTAGCTTTTAGTGATTGAAATCTAAAAAAAGTACCCAAATAGTAGAATAACGTAAAAAATAGTAAATAGTAGGTTTTAGTAGATGAGTACGAAGCCTGCAAATTTAACACAGATTTATTAAAAATAAAATAACAAAATGCAAGAATCGGATTTTTTTGGGGACAACACTGACATTTTGTCTCTAATTTTTATGTAAAATTTTTTCAGAGAATTTATAGCGCCTAAAAGTTATTAATTCAAGTAGAACAAGTGGTTAATAAAAATATTTGCCTTCAAAAACTTTTATATATGAGGTCTCGGATCGAAGAACGTTCTTCGATCATATATTAAATAATTGAATAGTAATCCAGATAGTATTAAATAGTATTAAATAGTAAATATTAAATCGTATTAAATATTAATTTACTATTAAATAGTATTCCAGATTTCTATGAAAAGAAATATTCTTACCACAATCGAGAAAGATGTCTACATCACTATTACTGAAGGCTAAGTGAGCAGTTCTAGATCCGAAAACATAAGCTTTAGCTCCTGGGTATTTGGAAGAGACAGTTTGCTCCACGGACTTGGAGAGTAAAAGAATTTTTTCCTCCGACTCAGTTTCCGCATCGGACTGACGCAGCAAAGACTCTGATACTTCTTGAAAGTCATGCAGCAAATTTACAGCAAATCTATTCATCTTCACTACCTCGTAGTCTTTGCTCTTGACGAAGTACTTGTGCATCTTATGATCGCAATGCATCGTGTAAGTATCACAAGTTCCGAAGCATATACTTGCACATGGAAAGCAAACATCAAAAGCAACTTTATCCCCCTTTTCAAGCACTTTGTTGCGTTTCGTTAAATGCTTGTTGCTTAGTAAGTGCTCTGAGAAATCAATTTCAAACTCGGACTTCATGCCACACAAGTGACACGAGAAGCGTTGAACAACGTACCAGCAATTATTCAGTTGTTCCAGAAACTTACTACAAAGATCAAAATTGAACTGCCTCTGACTTTTAGACTTTACCGAATGATTTGCTTCCGAAATGTGTTTCCTGATTTTCTTCTCATCATTCACGACATCTTTATTACAAGCAAAGCAGAAAGCACAATCATTGGAGAATTCTTTCATAAACTCCTTGGCTAGAGCAAGATCACTGAACTGATTTGGACAGTTTTTAAACTTTAGATCACTGTCTATTAATTTCTCAAGTTTATTAATATGATTTACATTAAATACATGTTCGAAAATATTTTGCAAACAATTTGGTATTTTTAGAAAACAAACGAGACAGAGAATCTCCTCTTCAACTGTGAACAATAACGTGGTTCCCAATTGTAAATAGTTTATTTTCTCCTGTGGGGTTTTGTAAATATTAAATGGACCGAGTTCAAGAAACTTTCTTCTGTATTCATTATTAAAGAAGTGAGAGTTTCTGTTCTCCTTCTTGTTCTCTTCTTTTGGCTTCCTTTGCTTCCGAATCATTTGGTTGCATAACTCTTCGACAATAGTTTTGGTTGCAGGCACATTTTCGAGATTACTTGGACTTGAAGATTTGTTGGAAATGGAACGTAAGTGCTGCTTGTGCTCAACGGAACCCAAGTGGTTGATCATTTTGTTATCTTCGAAAATATCCTTTTTACAAGCGGGACAATAGATGAATGGAGAATAGTCTCTTGGCAGGGTTGAAAGAATATGTTTGTGCTTGATATCCTGGAGATGCGCGAGTAGTTCCACATCACCGCAAACCGTAACGTTACATACGTAACATCTGTAAGAGCACTTGAATTTTTCCTCTATTGCTTTCGGTGCCAGGTGCAATTTGTCTAAACTTTTTTGCACTTGATCTACACTGTCGTTTTTTGGAATCGTTTTTGGAATTGTTTTTGGCATCGTCTGTAAATTATTAGCATTATTTTCGAAATCTTGAACACTGACTCTGTGTCTTTTCCCTTGCGTATGCTCCACAAGGTTCTGAGGACCGTACGGTATGTCCACGTCACACAAAGTGCAATGGTACTTTAAGCTGTCATCATTTAATTGCTTTAATAGAAGTAGAGAAGAGATTTTACATTCGCCTTTTGATTTAAGTATGTGTTCAGCCATGGCCTCTTTTCGTGTGAAATTCTTGTTACACACAAAGCAGATGAATTGAGAAGGTGACTGACTTACTAGATTATTATTCAATGAGGAAGCATTTTTTTTGGGCGGTAATACTGATTTTTGAGCATCTGCTTTATCTAGTCTCAAGTTCTCTTTCTCTTTTTGATTAAGTTTGTGTCGCAGTCCTCGAATGTGTTGGAAAACATTATACAGACTTCGCGCAATGACACAGTTGCAGACTTTGCAGAAATATTTCTCATTGTTAATTTGAAAAATTTTATTCTCGACGATTGTTTCAAATTTTTCTTCGGTTACAGTTTTCAATTCTCTCTCAGGTATGTCGACCTGTAGTTCTTTCAATTTCCAGTGATACTCATTTTTAGAATCACAGTGGCTTAAAACATCATTCTGTTTAATATACATTTTACACAATTTACAAAAATATCCATCTCCGCTTTTAAGTATACGATGAGTAAATAGTGTTTTGAACATGATGACCGAAGTATTATTATTCTTTTCTTTTCTTTTCTTAGACTGATAGAAGGTAGTTTTCTGTCGAATACTGAAACATAAAAAGTAGTTTCAAATTAAAAAATTTAACCTAAAATTAGATTTAGAAGGAAATTGTACAATGTTTTCTGAAAATCCTAAAGAAGATATTTAAATTCAATTATTCGGAATATCAACAAAGTTTTCTTTAAATAAATATTCGGAACGTAATATTCCATTTATTTTTATTATTATTATTATTATTATTATATAGTTTAAAAATTTTTATTTATTTTGAAATATTAATTTTTAAATCAATTTTCACAAAAGTTCAATTATTTTAAAAAAATTACACGAAAGAATTCAATTATTTTTAAAAATTTTAATAAATCCTTCGAAACAATTCAATTATTTTTATAAAATAGTAAAATCTTTGCAAAAAGTCAATTAATTTCTATAAAATCTTACTAAAGAATTCAATTTTCTTTAAACTTTAATAAATTCTTTGAAACATTAAATTATTTTTATAAATAATAAAATTCTTTAAAAAATTCAATTATTTTCTAAAATTTCAACAAATCCTTCGGCACAATTCAATTATTTAAAAAAAAAAAAAAAAAAATTTATCGCAATTTTTTTTTATAAATAAATTATTTTTATAAAATATTTTTATAAATAAACTACTTTTAATAAATAATTAAACTCTTTTCAGGAATTAAATTATTTTCAATACAGTTTTAATAAACTTCAATAATCAAATATTTAATAATAATTATTAACAGACACAATTATTTTAAAAGGTTGAAAAAAAATTCTTTATTTAATTCAATTATTTTCAAAATTTCCAATTAAAATTATTAAAAAAAACTAACATTTTAAAAAAATTCTTTAAAAGAATTTAATTATATTTACAAAAACTCTAATAAAATTTTTTACAAGAGTTTAATTTTCTATAAATAATTTCAATAAAAATTTAATAGTAAAATAATTAATTACAATTATTAGCAAAATCGATTATATTCAATAAATTAAAGAAATTTTTTAAAAGAATTCAATTACTGTCAAAGAAACACCATTATATTTCAAAAAAAAAAAATTCAAAGAAATTCTTCAAAAGAATTTCATTATAGAATTTTTAAAAATTTTAATAAAATTCTCCGCGAGAATTCAATTTATTATTTTCATAAATAAGAAAATTCTGTGAAGGAATTCAATTATTCTCAAATTTTTTGACAAAATTCTTTGCTAGAATTCAATGTTTTTTAATAAATTAATTTTATAATTGAAAATATTTAAAAAGAAAAATTATTAAAAAAATTTATGAAACGGAATACAACGATTATTTATATAGATTATTATTTTTTCACAGGAATTAAGATTTTAAAACATTTCAAATTTCAAATTCTTTTAAATTCAATAATTTATAAGAATTGATACTGTAACTTGTCGAAAATTATTTTCAAGATTTCGATTTAATTATCTTCTAGAATTTTTAACAATAAAACAATAAAATTATATTGAAAATAATTTAATTCCTGCAAAAAATTGTATAATGTGTGAAAATAATTGAATTGTTACAATTTTTTCGAACGAATTTAATTAAAATTGTATTGCAAGTAATTCAATCCTCATACTAAATTTTATTAAAATGGATGCCTGTCGTCGACGGGCGAAAGCTAATAAATAATTATAAAATTATATGAATGGATTTTTTCAAAAAAACAAAATAAGATCTCCCTAAATTTTATTAAAGTTCACTAAAAATAATTGAATTCTTTTAAGAAATTTTAATGCGAATAATTGAATTATTTCTAATAATTTTATTAAAATTATATAGTGATTGAAAACAAGCGAATTCTTGTAAATATTTTTGACGAATTTGATTACAATTGTATTGAAAATATTTGAATTTTATTACATTTCTTGAAAATAATTGAATTGTTTTGAAGAATTTTATTAAAAATGAATTTTTTTAAATTTTGAATCTGAAATTATTCAAAAATTGAAGTTGACTTTGAAGATAAAAAATTCTGTAATTTGCATTCCTTTTTGAATTTTTAATTAAAATTATCCGCAAAATAATTTATAAAATAATTTTTTGACAGTTTTTCAAGAATTAAATTATTTAAAATAAATTCAATTTAAAATCAGTAAAGTTCAATTGTTGTCAGAAATAGAAAGAATTTAAAATTAGATTAAATCTTTTCAATATTTTTAAAGGCTGCTGGACAACAAAATTCAGAATTTTCTTATGAATTCTAAAAATTGAATATTTCTTCAGTACTTTTTCTAAAATTCTTTTGCTTTTAATAGAGAATTTCTCAAACTTTAAGATGATAGAAGGCTTTTTTTTAAAAAAGAAATTATTTCTTGACTTAATTTGCATTTTGAAAAATTGAGTATTAATTTCTCTAAATATATGACACTTTCAATTTTGTTGAAAGTTGTCTCAAAAGGAAGATTATATTCTCTAGTTTCTACCATCGAAAGATTATTTTGGGCTTTTTAGTAGATTCAGAGAGAAAAATAAAAATATATAAACGTGTTTTCTCTACTGAATTTGGCATAGGAAACGTAACCCTCTTGAATTTCACGTCAGACTCGAAATCATTTGTTTTTTTAATAAAGAAAATTTTGTGAATGAAGCAAAAAAGAGTGGTTTTCAATATTTTATTCAATTACAAACAATATTATTTTAAATTACAGTGAAAAAATTACTTTTCTTAAAAATCTAAAAATTATTACTTTTGTTTTGCATTTTTTACATTTTGCAGTAAAATTCAAAATGGTAATTAATTTGTTATTATTTATAATATTAATGTAATTATATATAAAAAAATGCATGACAATTTAAACAATAAAGATACTTATATTATTAAATTATATTTTTGCTTTTAGCAACTTGGACAAATTAATTTTGTTAACAGAATTAAAAATCGAGACAATTCAAAACACTGTATCACTATCTCCTTCAAAAATTAACCTACAATTTTTTTTATAGGACACAAATTTTAAAGAAAAACCGTCATAAGTTTTATAACATCTTTTAAAATATAACATGTCTACTAACGAAATCTTCAAAATTTAGGGAAACAACGCTTTAATGAAAAAACAACTAACCTTTCGATTTTTATGCAATGAAACAAAGGATATTTAAGAAAATTATACGTCACATACAGATGACAAGGTAATGAGAAATTTAAAGATTTTTCCATACAATAAGTTATACAGAACAAAGTAACTCGTACATATAAAGGACGTTGAAAAGTAACGAGAGTAATTAATACAAAGATTTCATTAAGACGACTAAAATCAACAACAACAAATATTGTTTTGTAAACATTGGAAGGTATACTTACGAAATTTTGCATTATCAACAAGCAAATTGATTTACGTGACACCTTGTTGAAACGTTATTTGTGCTGTACGAAATAATAAAATTATCAATAATTAAAATCCAGGCACTTTAATAAAAGTATTTTTAAAATTAAAACAAAATTGTTTATTGTAAAAAATTTAATCTGAGAATTTGTTATCATGGGTCGGTGTCACGTTTCCGGTAATTCACAATTCACACTCCTATGCTGGTTCTCAACTTGTTTTTATTATGAAGGCGCGCCATCCCATACCATGCTTTCGTGAAAACGTTGGTGGGGGAAGAGCAGGAAGGAAGAGTAAGGAGACCGAACTCTGCTTCTACAAAATACAAATGTCTGAAAAATATGCACGAAAAGTGCCAGACTCACTGTGTTCTAGTTGATCGCCAATTAAGTCGATCATGCGCATTGAACTAAAGTTCAGTGTTGACCGTGTTGACATAGATGAAAAGTGTGGTTATGTCAAGGTAAATATAACATAGTTTAAACAGTGTTAATTTTAAAAGCAAATTTATTTATTTGCAATTGTGATATTATTTAGATTTTCAAAATAATTTAATAATATATTTATGAAAAGGGAAAAATTTTGCGAAAATGGTTAAGAAGAATTGTGTTTATAACTAGAGTATATTTACATACCGTAGAAGGATAGAAGAGACTAATGTTTTTAGACTCTTTTTGTTCTTTCTTTACATCCGGGCACACAACACGACATTTTTTAAATAAAATAAATACATAATTATTAAAACGAAATGTATTGTATATGTATCTCACTAAGACCGGCTAAATGTAAACATTAGATCTTACATCTCACTCGCACAATTTTTACGAGAAACAGAGACACAACACAGCTTATGCGCATGATCGACTTAATTGGCGATCAACTAGAACACAGTGAGCCTGGCACTTTTCGTGCATATTTCTCTGAGATTTTTAAAGCGCTTTCTACACAGAGTTCGGTCTCCTTACTCTTCCTTCCTGGGGAAGAGTGAAAAATGGGAAAAAAGAAGGAATCATGAAAATAATAGAGACAGTGCTATATATATTCATCTTTATCACTCACATAATAATTCATTTACGCCTAAGCTCATTGAAAATCGTAAGACGTGTAATCCGTAAACTTTACATGAGATAGAAAAGGATAGGCAATGTTTCTATCCATTTCTCTCATGAAAATATTACGATTTATGATTTTACTCAAAATTCTGCTTTCGGTTTTACACTTTCTGCTCAGGTGCATTTAAGGTACCGTCCCATGACGGCGTAAAAGCGTCGGCGTAAAGCAGAATTCGTGCGATAGAAAGAGATGAACAGATATCACGTTCTCACTCATTCACATGGTTTACGCTTTACGCCGACGCTTTCACGCCATCATGGGACGGTACCTTTATTCTGTCGGTAGAAGAAAAAAATTACTAAAAAACTGTCAAAATCGCCTTTGCCTTCACAATTTCACATTCACACGAAACTGTAAAGGTGTATTTGCAATAGCTTGAAAATATAATTTCTTTTGTCCACTTGTCTGATTCAAAGTAATTGGATATTCTGTATAATTATATTACTTTAAATCATTGAATTCAAAGCAAATAATCGCAAATTTATATGCAGAATATGCCAATTACTTTCAATTAGACAAAAAAAACTTTTCTAAAGGCATATTCACAAGTCCTAGCAGGGTTGGGTCAATAAATGGAAAATCTTTATTAGAGTAAGAGAGACAGACTGCATATTTGTCTCTCTTATTCCAATGAAAAATTTTCCATACTGGAAATTTTTACCGAAGGTGTAAATGCTCCCTTATAGCAAATAATAATAATAATTTAATGATAATAATTTTTTAATTTTTTAAGAAGAAGAAGAAATGTAAGTAAAGAAAGATATTTCAATGAAAGATTTAAAATTTGTTCTTTTTGGCCTAATGACTTTAGTATAATTATTATTTTGATATTTGTCTGTTCAGAATGACAATTTTAGGTTATAGACATATGCGTCGTAAAACAATCATATATTTTCTAGATTTTCTATTATTAAATAATCGTTGTATTCCGGTAATCTGTTCGCAGTTTGCAGTTACTTAGTTTTGTTGAACAATTTCTTTCAAGTTTTTAAAATAATCGTGTTTATTAAAAATTGAAATTAAACATTTAGTTATTGAATTTTATTAAAATTTTAGAAAGTATGTACATAATTAAATTCTCTTCATAAACTTCAAAAACGAATTAGGAAAAAAATTGAATTCTTTCGTGACATTTTCATGAAAATAATTGAATTTTGCAAAGATTTTACTATTAAAAAAATAGTTGAATTGTTTCGAAGGATTTATTAAAATTTCAGAAAATAATTGTATTCGTGCGTAAAATTTTATTTGAATTATGTTTAAAAATAATTGAATATTTGCCAAAAAATTTACTATTTATAAAAATAATTGAATTCTTACGAAGAATGTTACCTTATTTATGAAAATAATTTAATTCTTGTGAAGAATTTTATTAAAATTTTTTAAATTAAATAAACAAGAATAATTAATTAGTTAATAGTTGAATTTTTTGAAAGTTTGAATCTGAAATTATCCAAAAATTCATGTTTGAAAATAAAAAATTTTGTAATTTGAATAATAATAATAATAAATGGAATATCACGAAATAATAATAAAAATAATGTTCAAAAAGTATTTTTTTTACCTCAAATAACTATAAATATTAATTTTCAGATAATTTTGAAAGAAAATCATATAATGGAATCGGAATTTGTAGAAATTATGGACGAAAGAAAGAAAGAAAAATATCCTCTACAACATGCATTACAGTTTGGTTCACTTCTTGAAATTCAAGATATCCTCAGTGAAAAATATCAAGCAACATTTTCATCAGAGAATGATAAGGCCCAAAAATGTAGAGAAATAATTAACTTTTGTTTAGACAAAAAGCTTGACGTTAACACAAAAAGAACAAAGTATAGTGCTTTATTACACTTTGTTATAAAACATCTTGACAAAGATTTTCAATCAGTCATCAATAAATGCGAAGGATTTGATATTAATGCATTGAATGAAATGTGTAAAAGGTATGACAAAAAATCTTTACTTCATTTAGCGATAGAAGAAAGAAAACAGAATGCAGTGAAAGTTTTAATAGAGTTTGGTGCAGATGTGGAAGTAAAAGACGACGGTGAAGAGCAAACACCTTTATTTTACGCCGTTAGTTCTAAACAAGTAGAAATAGCAGAAATTCTTTTAAAAGCTGGAGCGGATATTAATGCGACAAATCAGCGAGAGATGATGCCAATAAATTATGCCTTTGGTGAAAGAAAAAATTCTAATAGTAATGAAAAATACAAACCCTCGAAATTAGTAACGCTTTTGTGTTCGTACGGAGCTAGTTTGAATTTCAAAAATGAAAGTGGCACAATAACATTGCTTATGGCTTTCACAGAAGGACATTTTAGAGAAGTCGAATTTTTAATTGAACATGGAGCTGACTTATTCTCTATTCATTTCTTTGATAACATAACACCAATCAATGATATATGGGAAGAAATCGACTGTTGCGAAATCCAAAAATTAGCAAATATGGTTGAATTTTCAGCGGACAATGGGTCAGATATTAATATGGTTAGCATGGGCGGTTATACTATTTTGATTTTAAGCGTTGCAAATAATTATCTTGAAATTACTGAATGCCTTTTGGAGTTAAACGCCAAATTTCAAAAAGATAAATATTTTCCTCAGGATTATATTTCACTTGAAGTAGTCGAAAATTTAGAGTCTATTTCGGATAGAATTTCAACCTGGACACTATTAACAGCATTTTTCGCACTTAAAAATATCGATATTCCTGAAAATTCTATTTTGTATGAAGAATTTGAATGGGTCTCTTCATTTTTTGAAGAGTGCAAAGAACAAGTTATTAAAATGCAAGAAAGGAGAATATGGGCAGATCGAAAAGTTTCATTTTTTGATTTTCTAAATGAAGATTTGTTAAAGGTGACCAAATACTTCAGAAATGATGATGTAATGTCTGTTTTAGAATCTGGAAAATACGACCAATTTCCAAATTACACATATATGTTTGAAAAGCGTAAAGAGAGAGTTGAGAAAATGAATAATTGTCAGAATGTTTTTATTCGTTTTATCGAGGAATTCTTTAAGGGAAAATTACCAATCGTAGTAATTGACGAAATAATTAGTTACTTGTCAGCTGGGGAACTTCGCAATTTTGGAAGAGCATTATGTATAACGGAAAAATCACCTAATGGAGAATATTTCATTTAAATATTTTATTGTTTACTATAAAAATTATAAATTTCATACATTATAAGAAACATTTATGAAAAGAAAAATTGTTGTTGACAATATTTTTCTTATTATGTGATAATATTACACTTATAATTATTTAGAATTTAAAATTTATTGTTATTTTCTTAATAAAATTTTGATTTCATCTGCGATTGCACTGAATTTTCTTTACTCGTACAATTTTAATTGAAATCTACGGATTGATTTACGGATGATCCTTGGTGAAAAACAACGAAAACAACAAATCATGCGCGGGCAAGGAATTTTTCTAAAAATTATTAAAATAAAATTCTACCTGCTACCTATACCCGTTTAACATCGTTCAACTTTTATTGAAGTGCGGGACATTTAAATCTTTACATAATTTTCACTAAACTTTGCAAGTAAAGTTTCGGTTCTGTGTGGATACCTTTATATTCCTATTGGAGAGTAGACGCTCCATAAAATTGAGAACCCCATCGCAGCATGTGGATTGTCGGGAATTTATAGTCTGCTGGCCCATGTGGTGTATCTGATCAACATGGACAATGATAATTCTGAAAGTGGATTAATGTGCCTTTGGGGAAATTTAAAGGATCACCCGAAATGTCTTCACGGTAATTCAAATTAAATTAAATCATGAAAAATAATTATACTATTACACTAAATTTTTCTATACATTATTCGTAATATGGAGTAGGTTATGTTGTTTGTAAACAATCTTTTCCCACATACAGTTTTAATTTTTAATTTTATGGAAGTCTGTAAAATTTCAGAGATTTTTTCATTTTAACTTGATTAATGTGGTTCATAATTACATAAATATAATGTTGATTAAGCATTTAAATATTTTCCACTTGTGAAAAAAGATTTAACTTTTATAGGTCCAACTTTATTATTTGGAAGAAGTATCAAAGGTGAAGTGAAAAAATTTTATGCCTGTTCTCATTTAAGAGAACCTGGAAAATGTCCAACTATTAAGAACAAGAAGAATAATGTTTTACCATTCTATGATCATAGAAAATTGTACTTACGCTTTAGCAATTTGCTGTCAAATAGTCAGAACAATCGAAACTATTGTCATAGTTGCAATGAATTATTTACGAGTTCAGAGATAGTGAAACATAAGGATCATGACGTACAAAAATGTTTGACAAATCATCAAATGTCTCATCCCACAGAATTTCTGAAACCACTCAGTAATAATAAGGAAGAAGCTCAGTATTTTTTTACTGAAAACACAACAAAGAATATAGCCGAGATTCTTTGTAAATTAGGAGCCAAATATATATTGTGCATTGGTGTTCCAAGATTATATGAATATATCTCTCATAATTTTGGAGATAAAATGACATGCTTTCTTCTGGATATAGATGCAAGATTTGTAAGTAGAACAAATATACAGTCTTTTTATTTTTACTTTAGATTTAAGTAGTTGAAAATATGAGCAGGCTTCGCACTTATCTACTAAAGCCTACTATTTATTACTTTTTTGCAATATGCAACTATTTTTAGATTTCAGCCACTAAAAACTAATATTTCTGATTTTTGAGAATTTTCACTACTTTAAATTCGCTAATACTAGAAATCAAAAAACTATTCTCAAAAATTATAATCAAATTCTTTAAAACGATTCAATTATTTTCAATATATCTAGTATTTTCAGAAAATTTCGCAAAAGAATTCAATTATGTAAAGAGAAAATTAATAAAATTCATCCGAAATTCAATTATTTTTATAAATAATAAAACTCATCGAAAAATTTCAATTTTCACAAATAAAATTTTCCACAAAAATTCAATTATTTAAAATAAAATTTTCATAATATCTATTATATTTCGAAAAAATTAATTATTTAAAACAATGTTTAGAAAATTCTTATAAAGAATTCAATTATTTTCATAAATAATAAAATTCTTTTAAGGAATTTAATTGTTTTTAAAAATTTTAATAAAATTCTTAGCAACTATTCAATTATTATTTTCATAAATAATAAAATTCATCACAGGATTTCAATTATTTTTAATACAATTTTACGGGAATTACTTAAAAAATGTAATTATTCTTAGAAATTTAATTTCAGTTTCTCAAAGAAATCAATTATTTAAAAAAATGTTTTTTTAAAAAATTTTTTGGAAGAATGCAATTATTGACAAAAATATTAAAATTTTTCACAGGAATTCAATTATTTTCAAATATTTAAATAAAAATGGTTCGAAAGAAATCAAATATTTTAAATACAATTTTAATTAATATTCATCACAACAATTCAATTATTTTTAAAAGTAATAAATTTCTTCTTAGAAATTCAATTATTTAAAAAAAATTTAGTAAAATCGTTAACCAGAATTCAATTATTTTCATAAATAATAAAATGCTTTTTAGGAATTCAATTATTTTCAAAAGAATTTAATAAAATACCAAATAGACATTCAATTATTGTCAAAAATTGTAATAGAATTCTTTGAAAAATTTAATTCTTTTAAAAAAATTTTCGCAATTTTCAGTAATTTTCAATATTTACTATTTTTATAAAATGTCAAACAGAATTCAATTATTTACAAAATTTTTTGAAAAAATCTTCGTAAGAATTCGTAAGAATAATAAAAATTTCTCAGGAACTCAATTATTTAAATTAGAATTTGCATAAAATTAGTCGAAAGAAATTAATTATTTAAAAGTTTTTATAAAATTCTTCGCAAGAATTAAATTATTTTTCTAAATATTTCAATTCTTTCATGAATAATAAAATCCGTTGCAGGAATTGGATTTATTATCAGGATAAGAAAAAAGTAAATACTTTTGATGAAAATTAGGAAAAAGTCAGGAAAATAAAATATGGAATGGAATGTTTGTCAGTTTTGTGAAGTGTTTAAATCGAGTTTTTTTTTCGTCAAATTTAATTTTTCGATAACTAGTTTTTTACTACTGTTTTTTAGTTTGAAAGCTACTTTTCGTTACTTTTTTAAAATTAATTATCGAGTCCGAAGTCTATATGAGTAAAATTATACTACATTTTTAAATTATAAAGTTGATCGAGAGTAACAGTAATTTCTGTATTTAGATTTCTAAATTATTTTTTGCAGCATCAGTTTTTCGGACCTCTAAATTATGCTTGGTACAATTTGTTTAACAACCATTTCTTCAATCCTGAAGCAAAAACGTTATTCAAAGATTTTCTGACCCAAGAAAATGGTAGAGACATGTACATTGTATGTGATCCTCCATTTGGTGGACGGGTTGAACCAATTTCACAAACAATTAAGAGCATCACTGATAATCACAAAAAGTGGAATAACATAAAAGTCGCAGATGACGAATTGAAAACTTTATTCATTTTTCCGTATTTTATGGAATCTATTATTAAAAAGAAATCTAATCCTCCTGGGATTGTGGGTGGAATAAGTAATTTAGAAATGACTGATTTTAAAGTAGAATATCAAAATCATGCGACATTTCAAGAACAATCAAATTTAGCTAAGAAAACGTCACCTGTTCGTCTCTTCACAAACATTGAATTGAGTTTGATAAATCTGAAAAATATCATTGGTTATAAGTATTGCAGTGTCTGTTCTCGATGGGTTTTAGAGGAGAATAACCATTGTGATAAATGTGGCAAATGCACTTCTAAAGATGGTAGGCAGTTTACACATTGTGACTTGTGTGAAAGATGTGTGAAACATACATGGGAACATTGTGAAACGTGTCGACGTTGTGCTTCGAAAATTCACGATTGTAGTCAAAGGCCCAAAATTGTCGAAAATTCTCTTCAGTGTCATACGAAAGGTGAGTTTCAAAAGTCTGAATTTTGTTCATTTCTAAGCATTCGATAACTCAAAGTTTTCTCGGTCTCCCTTTGAGTTTGTCTTATCGAGACTTGACTGTATATAACAAAGTCTTAAAGTACTTACAGCACAAACGTGTTTTTATCTTAAATTCAATTTATTTTTGGGCTTAAAATAAAAATAAGTAGGTCTTAAAATCAATGTCCTAATCAGAAATTTAGTCAATATTTGGAGTTTTAGTCAAAATTAAACTTAAAACAAAACTTATTTTTTACGGTGATATAATTAAATTTTATTACCTACTTATTGTAACAGGTAATGCATTTTTCTAAATAATTGATGTAAAATATGTTGTTTAGGTCTGATAGATAAAGACTGCAGTGAGAGTGAAGCATTTATTTCTCGAAAACGCATCGTCAATAGGCATGGTGGTGTTGTTAAAAAGAAAAGGAAGAAGAAAAAAGATTAACTACAAAATATTAAAATGTTTTATAAATTTACAATAAATTAGAGTATAATTGAAATAATAATTATATATATTTTTATAATTATCCACTGTTGCTGTTTGTCATTCAATTGTGAATAAAGTTTCATTTTTAAATGTATATCTATCCAGAGTAAGACGACTATGAATATAATTTTCAGAATATGACAATAGTTTAGACTCAAGTTTATGACCGTTCACACTCAAGTGTAATAATAAAGTACAATAAGGTTTTAAAAAATATTTATTTTATTAATTAAGTAATTAAAGCAAATCTTTTTGGTAGTTATAATGTTTCTCTTGCTTTATATTATATAGTACATCTTTTATTAATTCATTTCTTCTATTAAAATAATTTCTCTAATACTTATTTATTATTTTCGTACTTATTCAATCGTATATATGTTAAGAATTCTTTTCTTATATCATTTTTTAACTTAACAAGTTATGACGTATTAAATATACGTCATATACATATATTAATATACAACTATTAATGTCGCTTTGGACGAAAATTATGACGCAGCTTGAAATCAGATTTTAGATATGGCTATTTTGTTAAAATTCTCATCATTCTTTACAACTGGGAACTTTGAATTTTATACTTTTTTTTATAATATTTTTTTAATTAATTTTAAGGTGATCTTCGTTTTATTTGAACAATATTTGTCCTAAATGCCTAATAGGATATTTTCCTATAGAAACATCAAAAAGTGTAGAGATCATCACTAGAAAATGCAGTTTACTATATGTACATCGATAATCTCTATCACAAATCTTCGACACGGGTATAGGTTATTTATCAAAGGTTGCACCTCTTAAGGAGGAATGGTATACCTAATCGGGCCAAAAGTTTGTGACATTTAGGGGAATTTGTAATTTTGTTATTTAAGCTACATATAGCAGTTTTTCTTATTGAAATCATAAAAGTAAACATCAATGAATATTAAAAAGTATATATTAAATAGGGAAAAGATAATAAATTAATCAAATTAATTTTTTTTATAAAAGCAGAAAATAATTTTTGTAACTGTCTGTACGAATTTGAAACCTAAGAAAATAAAAGTTACTGAAATTCTCTCAAGATTATTTTCGGATTTATCGAGTGTTATGATTTGCATTTCTGTGGTTAAAAATAATGAAAATTTGTCATTTTTGGTACCTTTGGCGCCATCTCTTGGTTCTATGTACCACTAAACAGCTGTCACATGTGAGTTTTTATATACAGTGTTGCCACGTTTTCTCTGTTTGTCTGTCATAAAATTAGTTTTCTTCCAGAAACTAATTAATTACTTTTAAACTAATTAGTGAATAAAAAAGAACCTTCGTGATTAATAAAGCTTAAATCTTGACCTTCAGGATAGAATTTTTACAAAAAATTCTGATTGTTTTAAGTATAAAATTTTTAATGATAAACATGCAAATTCGTGCTTTCTCCATAAGAGGTAATGTTAAATTAAATAATTTATAACTTGTAAACTATGTAGTGAAAAGTTCTGAAATTTGGTGGGTCATTTTATTATATAAAAGCAAATCATTTCCCAAAATATCAAAAGATTCTGAATGTTTTGAATTTCTATACCATTCCTCCTTAATAATATCTATTCAAATTAAATAAACTAATGTTTTTGACGTATTTTCAACAAATTTATTTAAGAATTGATAAATATTTTAAAAACCCTATAAATCAATCGCCCAGTTGAAAATTCATGTAAAGAGTTCTGAGGACAAACATAACATCAAAATTAGGTCCATATTCAGTTAACTTGGTATCCTAACGTCACCAGGGTAGCTGATTATGAATCTAACATCAGTTATTAAAAATTAAAAATGGCCGATCTAATATGGCGGACGCCAAAATCAAAGAATAATACCGGATTGGCTTGAAAGTTGTTGCTCGGGGGTTTCCGGGGTCGCTGATTACGAATTTAACATATATAAGTTATTGAAAATCCAAAATGGCGGGCGACAAAATTAATGAATAACCGAGTTTTTTCTTCCGCCATATTGAATTTTGCAAAACTGACATTAAATTCGTAATCAACGACCTTGAAAACCCACAGGAAACCAGTTTCAAGCGAATTCAATCGATTCTAAAAAATCTTCAGCCATATTTGGAAAACTGATGTCAGATTCGTAATCAACGACCACGAAAACCTCCGAGGAACTAGTTTCAGGAATATTTAAGAAGTTATTAATCAGGACGTTAAAAATTTCATTAAGAAATTATTTTTTTTCAATCCTGACTTCGAGTGATCGTTTACTTCATCGTTTAACTACAGTTGATAATATTTGAAAATTGACATTTTATTATTCAACCAGGCATTCATTTTTAATTTACACACACTGCGCATAATAACGACGTAAAATTTTGCTACTAATTCTTATTATTTTATTCAAAAGATTACCTAGAAATTTTTTTTTCAATTTTAATAGCAGTAATTATTATATTGGAATATTATTTCAATATTTACCCAAAAAAAGAATTATATTATTACTTTTCTTAAAGCCGCTTTCTAATTTTTGTTTATGACAAAAAATGTAAAATAAGCATTTATATGACACTCTACTTTAAACATATTAGATCTACGTCAAGAATCTTTCATCATTTTCTACTTCATTTAATTATATTTGGATCATTACAATTTATGAGCAACAATTCAATAGTTATTAAAATAAATATCGTAAGTAATCTTTCTGTGCGACATCATATTGTTAAGCAAAGAGTGATCTTTGCTTCCTTTTACTAATTATTTTTTTAATGCTAAAAAGTGAGAAATAAAATTCTTTTTTTATGTCACATAGCATTGAGTAGAAGATGTTTAAAATTGCTCGGCTTCATCAACTTATTAATTATCATTAAAATATTAGCTTGATGCGTTTCGACACATTTTTTGTCCTTATCATATAAATAGCACAAAATAAATATTATTAGCAATATAAAGAATATACAAATTGAAACACAAATATTTAAAAAAAATATGTATACAGAAATCTTCAAGGATTGGAATATGGTTTGTTTTGGTTATTGGCTTGTGGTGTTGCAACTTTTTCTTCTATTAATATTCTAAAAAATAGACATGAAAGCTATAAATTGTAACTACTAATTTATGACTTTATGATCATAATCCTACATTTTTACATTTGTCACGTTCAACAACGTATATCTTAAAATCTTAAGTCTTATAAACAGATTTTAAAGTAGTCATTAGGGACTTATATAGTAGAAGACTTAGATAAATGACTAGAAGATGTTTAAAATAATTTAAGAAGGAATGGGTACCACCTAGAGGCACAATATTAACGATGAACTTCTCTACAAGTCAATATTGTCAACGATATTGATTTCTTTCTTCTTTAAGAAATTTTCTTTTGTTGGTATCACAATTCAACTTGAATTGATCATTGACTTTACAATTTGCAAAATGTTGCATCGATTATGTCGTTGTGAAAGTGAAATATTCTAACAGTAATTATTTCTATTTGTTTCTTGAATATTCTTTACAACAGAGATGAAATGAAAAATGACTTCCGCTATCAGGTGAACACCAGATGGCATATCGCAGTTCTGCTGTTTATCGGATTGAGAATTGAAGGAATATGGTTAAATCAATAACCTAAATCTCATATCTGGAAGGAATTGCGTGAGAGTATTAAAGGACTTTTTTTGTAATAGTATAAATTTATGAAGATTGTTTACAGGTTCACAACGAAAGCAATATGTACGCTTTGTGATGATTGAGTACCTGAATCATTAGAACACTTTATGTGGAAGTGACCTAGGTATGCTGATTTCAAAGAAAAGTATTGATTTTCAATTCATTTTGTAAGGTTTTCTTATGGTTCAGTATTGTACTGAAAAGATTTAGATCATTTTTTACGTTTAGTCTAAAACGACGTGATCTTTATCTCTCAAAAATGTAAACATCCAGGGCCGTAAGGATTTATTTGTGTTTGAGTACCCTGTCAGAGGGCTGAACCCGAATTGCATGCGGACGGTCGAATTTAAGCGTCCCAGGCAAATGGACGATCTGAAGGATCGTCAACAGCTTTAATTTTCAAACGATTACTTAATTTTTGTCTACAAAAATTTTTCTCACTGTCCGGACTATGGTCATGATTGACATGTTTTTCAATTACTTTATGTTTTGAATTTATTTTTACATATGCCTTACAGTTTTTTTAACAAGCCCATCGTTTTATGTCATTTTTAAATATTTTTTGGAAAGAAAACTTGAAACCTTCAATAACTATTAAAGGCTTACCTTTCTCTTCAATTATCACATTAACTGTATCCATAGTTTTCAAGAACAAGACACACAAATGAATGTAGACAGAATAAAGAAATCAACATAAACATACTGATTTTAAAACGAATAATTTCTTTCGACACTTACATTTCGGAAAGAAGGAAACATGTGGGATCAGTTTGCCAGTGGTTCTCAGCTTATAGGCAAATATCGACCAGCACACAATTCGATTAAAAAGAGATGAAGATTTCAATGCATTACATTTTATTCTACATAAAATAGTAGAATTTTTTGATGTTAATATGTAGTGTTCATTGAATGAAACAAATAGAGTTTAGTAAAATATCAAAAACTGTAACATTATAAAAACGAAGTATGAAATTCTTATGATTTTTTTTAGACAAGAACGCCAGAAATTCATTAGACATTTCTGACGTTTAATTATAGCTACGTTAATCCCCCGAGACTCACAGATGTTGATTCAGTTACAGTAGCTCGAGGCTTCACATCCAAAGAATCATAAAGTGGATATTCGCAGCAAAGAATGAATTTTAAAAACCTTGGTACCTCAACATATATTGATGGTGGTATTGGAATTAAAGGTGATGTGGACAGTTTATAGTATCTGTAGTCTGCATTACTGTAATAGAAAAATTCAAACTACATTACGAATGTATACCAACGTGACAGGCGAGAAACAAATGTAAGCTATCAATAATTCAAAATTCATTCTTTTTGACGTAAGGTCATCCTAAATAGAAACTTTTGCTACTTACTCTCTATATCTTTCGTCTGCGGATTTTTCAAGAAGTGGCATACCAGACAGGAAGAGTATAATTAATGTCGTAAATATAGGAGAAGCAATAACAATCCATTCTATTCCTTCAATGACATTTAGAGATATAATGAAAATTCCCCACCAAACAACGATCTCTCCAAAATAGTTTGGATGTCTGGAAAGTCTCCACAATCCATCGTTACACCATTTGCCATTATTTGTTGGATCTTGGCGAAATGCAAATTTCTGAAGATCAGCGTATGTTTCTGCCAATAGGCCAACCACAAACATTCCAGTCCCAGCACTATCAAACGGAGTCATTGTTTTAGGAGCTGGTGGTATTTTGTGCCTTGGAGAGTTTATAATTATTACTGGTAAACTGACAATGTATACCCAAAAAGCCTAAAATATAAAGTTGAATTTAATACTAATCACAGCAAGCACTGAAACTTGCAGCAGAATTGACATTCTGTTAACCCTTTAACACCCCTGGGACATATATCAGAGTCCCTAAAAACCTTTAGGAACACGTTTGGTCATTCAAGAATTTCCTTCTCTCTTTCGAGGTGAGTGTAAGGGTTAACTGTCCAGCAATGAGCCAATGAGGTATAGTATAACTGTTACCTGAAAGGTCCAAAAGATAGCAAAACGTATCACATTCCTCTTACGATCTTCAAATCGTTTATCTCGTCCAATTATCATTATCCTATAAACAAGGTAGCCTGAAAGTCGTAGACCCCAGAGACAAATGAAGACAGTGACCATCAGTTGCCGACTATCGTATGTCTATGTGAAAAGATATAATTCTCTTATTATGAAATCAAATACTTAACAATTTTGTATAAGGTATTATATAAGCAAAAACGGTGCAAATGGATTGATATGAATCAAACAATATGAATGATTTTTACGGGAAATACGCATAGCACTGACCGTCCCTGTCGAAAAGGTGACCAACAATAGTAGCTTTAATAAGTGTTTGAAGACAGTTTTATTCTAGTTAAACACATAATTCACTATCTTGAAACACAATGTGAACACAATTTAAACATTGAATTTGTAGTTTGAAAATGATTCGTACAATACTATTAAAACACATTTCCAACATTCAGTAAGAACAATCAACAAACACTTTTTTGGCATACATTTAACAGAGTTCATACTATGTTTTGAGAACATTAAGTTCACAGACTAATGAAATAAGTGTTTATAAATTAACTTATATAATAGTTAAGAGAAATTTAGCTTATATACCTTGCCACTTTGTCCGAGAAAAAATGTTAAGAGAGCCAATATAATGAAATTAGTTCCTCCAGCGAAATCCGTCAACTTATCTTTTTGAAAGGTAGCAGCAATTATAAAGAAGATTATTTGCAATCCTACTGTTACAATGGCACTAACAGCCAGATGATCAACATCAAGAATTTTGACAGCCATCTCAATACCTACAAAGATTTATAATGTTAATAGAAAGAAGGGCTATCAGTGATAAATCACAGCGTTGACTTCGAGGGTGTGCTGTCAATTATTATAAAAATAAAAGTGACTAGACAAGATAATTGTAAATAAAAAATAGGTTTAATTATGTGTACTTACTTAGGGGAATATATGTATATGTTAGAGGTTACTGGCCTTCTAGCTCTTGGAAAACATTTTTATGAAAAATTTCTAATGCGGTGTTCGTTCTTTAGCTGTTATTGCACACATGGCATTCTAGAGAAATTCATTATTTTTCCCCATAGATAAAAGTTTCATTTTTTTTGAAGTTTTATACATCATTCTAACTTATTTTATTTTGTATTGTTTGAAGCCTCCTGGAAATGAAATGAAAAAATTTAATCTAGTTTTGTCCACCATATCAACAATGCTTAAAAAATGTAATTAATACAGACAATGATTATGTTAGATGCAAGAAATTAATTTGGATATCTACAATAATTGAAAAAAAATTAACAAAGTATGTCTACTTTATCCTTGAAACTGATCCTTATTGGAAACTATTTAATCAAGTGTAACTAAATATGCAAAATTGGAATGTGTCCAAATTGGTTTTAACAAATATAGGGTCAATAAGAACTTCAGCGTTTCCAAATTGATACAATAATTTTATTATCTACAAAAACAACCCGGTAATAAAGCAGGAACAGAAAAGAATAAAAAAAAATTTCATATTAACCATTTAAGGGATCTACTGAATATATTTCGGAATTTTTTTTCATTTTAAAGTTACATCTTTTAACTTTGAAATTTTATTGTCCACGATGAAAAAAATTGGGGTGACCTAGAGAGGTCATTGAAGAAAATGAGTTCGAAATTCCATGAGTCTCGCTCAGGTCACGTTTTAGCCTTAAAATATAATAACTTTTTAAAATTAAAATAATAATGTTTTTGAGATACAATCACATCTAGAACATATCAATCGGGGCCTGATTCTCATTAGGCAGCCATTAATAACAAAAAATCAACCTGGTGGCGCCCTCTACACAAACATGATTATGTCAGTTATTTTCATTCAAAATATTTGGTGCACTGAGAGAAAATATCTACTTTTATAAGATTATAGCTTAAATACGCAAACAATCTTCTTTAAATCATAATACATATTTAGTAAAAAATAACTAAAATTATTTAAGATAATTAAATATTTGAATCAATAAATAGAATAGTATCGCAAATAAGAAAATAATGCAGAGCTTTTAGCATCCCTTTAAAATATGAAAAATTTTATTTTTTAAATTTAATTTAATATTCTCACTGTATTGAAATTAATTGTCATGCTGATTCAATGAAATAAAACAGTTTTAATAAATTATTCACTCTTTAATAAGTGTGACGAATTTGATACCAAATAGAATACAAACATTTATTAATAAAACAACTGCATTCTCCACTAGAAAATAATTTGAATTTGTGTATTTTTGTGTTTGATTAATTTTCGAAGGTGTATTACATCTGCTCTCACATATGATTTCTTAAAAGCACAAGTGTATCAATGATATATTTACCTTAGTTTATAAAATAAATGTTTCTAACCACTTGGCCGTAGTAACGTAACATGTTTAGCACAGCTCGATGCGGAAGACTGGAAAAACCAATAGTGGATGCAGGTCGTCTTATTGAGCCTGCGTATGTTTCGTAATACGACCACGTACATTTACTCGGCGCTGAATGAAGCCCATGTTAACAATAGATGTTGTGCTAGTTGCTTTACTTCACATTTTGTTGTCCTAAGAGACGAGAAAAAATCTGCCTAATTTTCAATATTATGGATTTTATCAAATGGTAATTTGAATGTCGATTTCAAATAACATACTTGAAATCTGCATGGCTTTTAATTTAGATACATTTTTAATAAACTTTTAACATGTAAGATAACCTCTTAAAAAATGTTATTCGTGTATCTTTTGTTATTTTAAAAACGATCAGTCACGTTTCTCTCTAAATTTAAATTATTCTCTTTTCACTAACTCTATACAGCACCGATTCCATAGTCAAAACAAAAGTTAGTCCATATATCTCGTCTCGATTATTCAAAACTATACAGTTTTTCGATATATAAATCACAATTTTTTAATGTTTACTGCAAATTATATAAAAGATTTTTATAAAATAAATGTAAGAAATTTTCATAATGTGGATTTGTCAACAACATTTTTTGTATACAAAATTTTTACTTTCTTTTAAAAAACAAATTTGTCAAACTTCAGTTTTTTTATCACAATTTTTAACGAAATTATTTTAAATTCTATTTAGAAATGCATAAGAAAAATTTGAAGACTTTCTGTTTCATAATTACAATTTTTATACAAAATTCTGTTTTTCTTTTGAAAAAGCAGAAAAATAAAGAAAATTTGGACCATTGATATTTCTCAATCATCATTTTTTTAATAAATTATAAAAATAATTTCTATTTCTTAATCACAATTTCAAGATGAAAAGAAGCCTTTTTTAAATTTTTAAATTCGTCAATACTGGAATTCTAAAAAAAAATTTAATTTGAAGCTACTAACAAATTCAAGTATTGTTAATAACTTTACCAAAAAATTTTTATGATCTAATATTTTTATAAAGATTCTTTTTAACCATATTAAGAGTCAGAAAAAAATATTTTTTGTACAAAACTGAAATTTTTTAGTTTTGGGTGATCCGTTTAGAAAATTCTGACCCAAGTATTAGTGCCATTGAAGGTAATAGACAAAAACATACAGTTGAATAAATTTATTTGTAAAAAATTAGCTTTTTCATAAAGGTCATTAAGCCTATTATAAGTAATTAACAGTAAATACAAAGCGTCATTATGAATTTTTAACAATATTCTTCTTCTTTCTTCTTTTTAATATTCTGGATAGCCCTCCAATTAACCTTTAAGTTTGCAGGAAACTTGCTGTATTACCTTGCTTACTGGGCAAGCTTGTGGTAAGCATCTTCTGGAATTTTTTAGGAAATATTGATACTTGCAGCAAACTGCACAGTTTTGCATAAATCTGAATATATTCAATAAAATGCAATATAATTGCACATTTGGTGGGTATTCAATAGTCAGATAGGCAGTATTTTTGATTAGGCTTTAAAATATCAATAAATATACGCTTACTCTTAAAAATCAGTCTTTTCTTTTAAAACGATTACCAGAATTATATTGACTTTACAAAAGGTATAATAATCTTTCTAATCGTTTTAAAAAACTTTCTTAGCTGCTAATTTAAAATGCGTTTTAAATTTTAAGATGATTTTCAAGAGCACCACATACAATTTTGATTAATGTAATGATGAGCACATATTGTTATTATTCTCGACAAGTGAAAAATGTTCTTAATTTTAATCAGAAAAATAATTTTTGAACATAAGTCGCTTGAAGTTTTAGTACATAGGAGCCACTCTGCATATTTCAATATCTTAGCAGCTAACTAAATGTTCAAAGTTACAGACATGAAGTGACTCGTCAAATAATGTTCCAGGTGGACATTGAAAACCGGAGATTTGATATCTGTCTCCGATGTAATTGCAATAATAAAATTTACTGCAGTCCATGCGATCTCGAACGTATCCAGAAGTGTGGCATATATCGTCACTAATGGCAGGAGTAGTTGGTATTTCTACTGGTTTTGTAATAGTTGACTCATCTGTAACTGGTAAGATAGTGGGGGTTGTTGTTTCTGGGGAAATTATTGGATGTGTGGGCATTGATGATCCTTTACGCAAAACATTGTTTAGCGTCTTTAAAAGAGGGTATTTCTCTCCGCAAATTCCTTTAAAATCATCTGTTTCAATACTCCATAACATTGCACCTCCTAATCCCATTTTTATTACATATTCCGCCTTTATTTCCAACGATCTTTAAGAGAAGTAGATGTGTTAATATTTTTTAAAAGATTTAAAAATTACATACTACAAATGTAGCAACTTTAATATTTTGAAAATCTATCTACTTACCGCACGTCATCATATCCGACCCATTGATTACCACCGTAAGAGTATGGAACTTTTTGTTCATCATCGAATGCAATTGTCCATCCATCATTTTTCTGGAGCTCACAGATTTCATTATATCCCAACATACCCGCTTCTCTGGTATATTTTCCAGCTGTTCCAGGACCACTGAAAGAGTCACCAACATTGTGTTTATTCGGATCTACCAAAGTGAAGGATCTGCCGTAAAAGGCGGTTCCAAGTATTATCTTTTCAGGAGAAGCTCCCTGATCCAACCAGTATTTTACTATAGCTTCCTAAAATAAAGAAACAATCTATTTATTATTTATACAATTTCCGAAAGGAAACACGAAGCTTAATTACTTCAACTTTTTGGAAACAAATAAATAAAAAGAATAAGTAATCGCTTATACGCAATTTGAAGCTTACAATATTCCAAGAAGCTAGTTGTTGGTCTTCTTTAGACGATGATCGGAATGGTGCATTTATTCCGACTCTTTTAGAACTATCCCAAGATCCACGTAGATCGTAAGCCATTACGTTGATGAAATCAACATATTTTGACATTTCTCTAATGTTGTACGATTTACCGGCAGACGATGCAGTGGCAGCTACAGCAACACTTACAAGATATCCTTCGGGAGTGAATTTATTTTTGAGTTCTTTCAGGAGCATTGTAAAACTGTTGACGTCCTCAGCAGATCCACCACGTTGATTAGGATACTCCCAATCCAAGTCCAACCCATTGAAACCGTGTTTCTTGACAAATTTCAATGCGTTCTCTGCAAATGCAGTCCTTAAATGCGACTGTCGGAAGACACTATAAAAATTAAAATATCATAAAGTTATTTATTTATGAAAGAGGAGTCGATGTTATCATGGTAATAACCAAAAATATTGCTTAAAATGTTTAATGTATTTGTGGATATAATATTAATATACCATCTTTAACATTTACAACACTTATAATAAGCATAGTATTAATGATTTTTTGAATTTAAATTGTAATTCCATGTTTAAGTCAAAAACAGAATTTGTATATTACGTACTTTGAGTATTTTGTAGATCCTTCATTCCATCCTCCGATAGCAACCAAAGTTTTAAGATTTGGATTTTTTTGACGTAGAGCATTTAATCTACCAAACCCATTTTTCCCATAGTTATCAGCTAAGTCTTGCCATGAATCTAAAACTCTGATATTAGCGTCCTCAGAGAGTCCAACAAATGTGTAAATTAAGTGTGTACAAAGGTTTGGATCGATATCGGCAATATCAAACTTTCCATTTGACGGCCGATATACTGACCAACTACCGAAGTAGCAAACAATTTTTTCTGAAATAAGAATTTTAGGTAAGAAATATCAATAAAGAAGAGTAGTGTCTTAAATTAATGTAGGGACATCTGTTGATTGGAGTTTAAATGAAAACCAAATGAATTTTATTTACGATATTTTAATGCAGTATAACTTACTTTCTCCATTTGCACCACTTAACGCAATTGATAGAAATGCTAATGTTGATATAAACCACAACATCTATAAAATTAAATTTATTTCTTATTAGAAATTGAATATTTTACTTCCTAGTAGAAAAAAAAATATTGAATGAAGATGTTCCGAATTGGGAATAAGCATGAGCCAATACTGATAGATTAAATACGGATAAAGCGCGATAGTGTAGTTTACACTTTTAGTGTCAATTAGATTAACTATTTCCTATCGGAAGATAATGCAATTTATTTGATTTGGTTGGTTAACGTTTAGTCCCAATCTACCCTAATGTTTATTAACATTTCTAATTTTCTTTTAAAATAAAAAAAAATTAATTTCTTTTTAAGTATTTTCATAACACACATCAAAACCATAATGTTGCTCAGGATTCTTAAGGGGATGTCAAAGTCGATGCGATTTTCCCATTGAAGCTCAATGCAAAAACCCAATCGACTTTGACATCCCCTTAATAAAACACTTAATAAAAACGAATGGTAATCACGAGGGACATTTGAAATATTATTTATTCCAAAAACAACGTAAAACACGTTACAAAAATTGTGATTATACAATAAAAATTATGCTAATTCTTTTTATTTATTTAAAGCAAACCGGTTTTATTTTTTAATTAAACCGTCTTTTCGGAAAATATCAGTTATATGAACGCAATACTGAATCTAACCGATTTGTAAAAACATGTCCCAAAATCAAAATAAAAATTAATTTTTTTGAAAAGTGTTTTAATAAATATTTAAACCCTAATCCTAATTTATGCATATTACATTTTAAAATTTGAACATAAAAATTTAATTTTTTAAAAAATTTTTCTTTCGAAAAAGAACCTGATTTTTGTAATAAACCAACTTTTCTTGATCCAGTTTTTATTTTAAATAAAATAGTATTTTAGAAACCTTTTTTTAAATGCATGTATTCAAAAACCGGGTTTATTAAAAAAATACCGGTTTCAGTTTTAAAACCGAAAACCGACTTAAGAACCGGTTTTTTGCAAAATCGAAAACCGGTTATGGATTTTCAATATCGCACATACCTAAATTATTTTCTATTTTTTCTAGAGAAAAAAAACTTAATTTGAAAATAGTGATTAAAAATAAATTTATGCAAATTTTTTTCTTCTTTTCTAAAAGAAACATAATTTGTGACGCGATCTGAAGAAAGGTACCTTAGAAGCAAATAACTTTAAGGTTATGTTAGTATTACATTTTTCTTGATTCGAAGTTTCTTTTTACTTTTTTCAAACTAAAATCAGTGTTTATTAAATATTTTAGATGTAAGGAAGATTTAAACATCAATGATTTTTATTGACAGTTGATCCTTTTTTTGTATTTTCATTTAGAAAATTTCAATATAACCTATAATTTTTTACTTCTAAGGACCCTTTCTTCAGATCGCGTCACATTTTATGATAATAACTGTTATTGAGAAAAATAAAATATGCAAAATAGGTATGTTTTCCATTTCCTAATGTCCATTTTTTAACAATTGTCTTATTTTTCTGAACAGAAAATAAATTTGCATAATTTTGATTTGTCAAACAAATCAGTTTTTTATAAAAACAATTTGCATATAGTTTGTCTGACGCTCAGTCAAAACAAAAATTAATTCAATGTCATAATTTTGTAATTTAAAAGAAGACAAATTAGATTTTAAATTCGTTTTGGTGGCAAGGAGAAGAATTTAATTTCGAGCATTGAAAACGACTGAAAGTTGCATTTGAATTAAAATTAAGTACAATTTCCTGTTAAGGCCTAAGCACAACTGTTCGGTTTCGGGAGACGGTTTCGGGATATGTAAGATTTACATACATTTTATGGTTAGGAAGCCCATCCCAGTAAACGAAAACTAATTGAAGTGAATTAAAAAGAATTCACAAAGAGCTTTCGTGAATCCCGCTTTGTGACAAATACGAATTGGAGCCATGATGCAATTTTCCTGAATTCGTGAAACTGTATTGAACTTCCGAACCTTCTATCCGTACCAATTCACTGGACAAGTTTTGAGCCTTTAATTTTTTTCAATTCGTTAGCACGAATTCAATGCATTCCTTGGCCATTTCTTTCGAATGCGAATTCGTTTGGACAAATTGGTACATATTGAATTAAATTCAATTGAATATACAAAGAGCTTGAGTGAATCCCGCTTTGTGACAAATACGAATTGGAGCCTACCAAAAATGTTAATTCGTTTCAATTCATTTGAATTAGTTTTTTTTTACTGGGATATCCCGAAGTCGTCTCCCGCACCCGACTCAGTTGTGCTTAGGGCTTTAATAAGAAACTTTTTTTAAATTATAGAGGGTATATTACTTAAATGATAATTTTTATTCAAATATGACTTTAAATTGTTTAAAATTTAGAAAATTAAATTTCTTACTCATCTAGCAAAAGGAATTTAAAATCTAATTTGACATTTTCTATTAAAATACGAAATTATGACATTGGACTAACTTTTGTTCTAATTGTTTGCCGGCTCTTTTCGCCGTGTATAATTAGTATATTTCGTAACGAGTGCGAGCAGTTGACAATTTTTGAATGAGCACTTTTTTTGGAACAAACTGTAGGCGAAGCTTCGCTTCGCCTACAGTTTGTTCCAAAAAAAGTGCTCGTTCAAAAATTGGCAACTGCTAGCACTAGTTACGAACGATATTTTTCATAACAAGGTGCAAAAAAGTGCCCTTTTTTGCACCGCGTTATGAAAAAATTATTTATTTGTTGAGACTCGAGACTCTTGGTCTTGACACAGTTGATCTCGTCTCGTCTTAAATAATCGAAACGAGATAATATGATCTGGCTTGTCACCGTCAGTCTCTTCTTGTCTCGAAAAGTCTTAAGTCTTGAGGCAACGAAAGGTATATTTACAATTTCTTGTGCAAAACAAATTATGGGGTCAACAATTATTTATAAACTGATACAAACATTATTTTTTCATATAAGGTTTATAATACTATTCAAATTACATTACCTTTATAATAAGAGTGCGCAAATGTTTGGTAACTCAATTGAAGGCGTCAGTTTTAGAAATTTAGCGTCAAAATATTGCAAGGTGTTTACTTTATCACATTATAAACTCACTTAGTTCTTTAGTATACCAAGAAATACAGATTAGACTTGAATTAATTAATCGCAATCCTCAGACTACATTGATTGTTTTTGCGATTTCTTGTGAAACATATATTCTAACAAAAGAAACAAATTACTATCAAAAATAAAGAATGATTCACGTATATTAAGAAATATTACAGAAATTCAGCAAAAAGATGAGTTACTTATGACGCGAAACCAATATAGGAGTCATTTTTAAAAGTGGGAATCGATAAAACATCCATTACCTACTCGTGTACTGGCTAAGATAGCGATATTCAATATTAAGGTGTCAGATAGCGACTATACACAGGCCTAGATAACGCCTAGTCGCTAATAAAGCCCAAGGTCAAGCATGACAATCAAGATCTATTTGTAATAGACAACAAACGATTATCAAAAATACTTTGATTTTGCTTTCGAGACAGTTACAATTATGCATATTCATCCTTGCTTTCAATTGAAAAATGCGATTATGGCCTATAGCATATCTCTAGGCGCGCAACCTGTAACGCATATGCCAGATAGCATTGGGCGCCTGTTTATCCCATAAAAATCACTTAACAGAATTATCAGTCTTTCAAAATTCGTTATTTCAAAATAATATTTAACAGAAAAGATTTACTTCCTATTATAATTTATACGAATTTTCATCACATCATATTAGAATTTGCATGAATATTTATACAGACGAATTACGCTTGGTGTCAGTTAACAAAATTTTTCTGTAAACTTAATAGAACAAAATCTTACCGAAAGATCTTTATTCCAGAAAAATGGACAAAATTTAGAAAAACGCTTGAAAAAATCTTAAAATTTTTAAAAAGGTACTTTCCACTTTAAGATTCAGAAAATGTATTTTAAGCAAAGTCTTAAGTTAAACTGCGAGCTTGCTACTTTTTTGTTGGTCTACCTATTTAATAAGTCACGTTGCTAATGGCTGGAATTACTAACCAAATAGTAACAGTATTTTTTTTACAGCGACCTAACCCGCCCTCAATTCAAATTTGCACCAAGTTCTGGTGTAAATTTCAGAAAGTTCCTGGTTAAGATTATAACTATTCATTTATAATGAATTCGATACAAAGAAAATCATAATTTAAAATCTTACCTTAGAAATTTTACAATATCCAAAATATCATCCAACGTATTAATAAGTTATCCGTTACAAGCTATCGGGCTATATAAATGAAATGACTAATTTTAATTTAGGCATATTTTACAGCTTATGCACATTGTAAAAGGAAATTTGTTTATCTCACAAATTCTCATGCAAATCAAGTTTAATTTTTGACTTATTTACCTGTTTATTAAAAATAATATTAAATCAATAAATGAATAATTTTATTTTTAACTTTGTCATTTATTTAAAGCGAAAATTTATTCATAATAAAGTTTAACACGCATTGATGATCCGCTTTTATTGACTTGTTAATTTTATGTGTTTAATGGGACAATGCATTTTGCGTACACAGATAAGAGTTTTAATTTCATGGCAACTTAATACTGACGTTGTCACTAACAGGAAATTACAAAAGTTTATTTGCATTTACTTTATTTAGCAAAGTACATAATATTGTATGACACACTCTTTTTAATTTATGGTTTTAATAAATGAGTTAAATGTTGTGAGTCAATATTTGCTAAGATTAAGGAACCACCACGGCGTTAAAAAACATGTTCACATGTTAAGATGAATAATATTTTAAATACTTTCTCAATTCCGGAAAAATTAAATTTACCTTGTAAGGAAGCTTATGAAAAATTGCAACAAACATTTTCTTGTAACCAACAATTAGAAAAAAAATGCAAGTTTTGAGTTACATTTTTTGAAGCTTTCAATCATATAAGGAGAGAATCTTATAAATTTATCTCGCAATTCAAAGTGAAATTTTATAATTATCCATAATATTAAGTTTCCATATTGTTAAATATAGAGATCAAGATTTAATGATCTGTCAGAGTTGTTTAGCAAATTCCTGCTATTTTCCCTCTTTTCGAATAAAAGTTAATAAGATGCCGGTACAACATGAACGCTACTGCAAAAATCAACTTTTTTATAAAAGGGAAAATTGCAGTAACATCATTTGTGAACGCTCCCTAATATTCAATAAAATGCAACATAATTGCACATTTGGTGGGTATTTAATAGTCAGATAGGCAGTATTTTCGATTAGGCTTTAAAGTATCGATAACTACGCTTACTCTTAAAAATCAGTCTTTTCTTTTAAAACGATTACCAGAATTATATTGACTTTACAAAAGGTATAATAATCTTTCTAATCGTTTTAAAAAACTTTCTTAGCTGCTAATTTGAAATGCGTTATAAATTTTAAGAGGATTTTTAAGAGCCGGGAAGTGACAGTGAATTTTGATCTTGACCGGGATTTTGCAATTTTTTTTTTTAAAACACACATTACTTTGTGAGAAAAAATAGAATTATTTATTTAAAGACTTATTAATTATATTTCATTAGTAAAGATTAAATGATCTTGTGTAAAATCGTTTTATTTTGTTAGGGAATTTTATCAAAAGTACTATAACAATATTAAATTTCTAGAATTTATAAGAAAATTATGAATTTTGTTGTCCAACGTAACAGACTTAGAAACAGAAAATATTAAATTTAACTTTAAAATCTTTCTATTTCTACACGGAAAAAATTAATTTAGTACATTTTACGAAACTAATTTTGGAATAGCGGATACGGAGAGGAGTTTAGTATAAGATAAAACAGAATCAATAGTAATATATGATGACTGCGTTTCTCGAAAACTCAAAAAAAATTCTATGGAATTCACAAATGATCGGTTGGACGTTCTAATTCAAGAGTTTTGTAAAATGTTTAGCCTGAAGCGCATGCGCCACGGAAAAAAATATTCACGGAGAAAAAAACGAATAAAGCAGAAAAAAGAATTTCTTAATGTACCAATGAGCTCTCAAGACCATTTTTTCTCGTCTTCTATAGGAGATAGATGATTGGTTCGACACATGTGACTGCACTCTACAACGCAATGGTTCGCTTGGATTGGCTTATTTTATTCTGACACTAACTTAACGGAAATACGCATACATATAAACGAATTCTGACGCAACGCACATACAATATAACTCGCACTTGTAGATGAAAGAATTGAGTTTCTTTATATACTAACTGAGGAGATTAAAACTGCGCTTGTGAGAAATGTCAATATACTGAATATTAATTTTTAAAAAAATCATTTTTTTAAAAGTTATACAAAATATTTTATGGTTTTTAAAATAACATTTTTTGATTATAATTAGTTATAAAATCTCTATAAAATTTTTCAATTTTTAGAAAATAATTTTATTCTTAATTTTAAATTATAAATAAATTGCAAAAAAATTTTCAAAATTAAATTCAAACTCAAAAAATTTTAATATTAAATTGTCTAAAATTTGAAGTAATAACAGTTAAAACTAATAAAAATTAGAATTAATTAAAATTTTGAGAAATTAATATATATGTACATTTATTGTCATCGGTAAATATTATGATAAACTATAAAATTTATTGGACTGTAAATTAAAAGAAATTAATAATAATTAAAAGTTTGGATTACAAAAGCATATAAAAAATGTTACGAATTTGGAACAATGAAATGTGAAATACGTAAAAGAAAACAATTATCCAAATGTTACCGGCAGGTAAAGCAGTTCTCTTTTTCCTTCCACATATTATATCTATATACAGCAGACAAGTTAATACCGACGCGACGAGACAAGCTTCAACATATCTATTTATAACGCGACTTTTGGTACACCCCGTATAGAATTTTACGAAACTTTGTGTTCGAGAATTCACGATAGACAGCGAAGTGGAAACTCAAACCACGCGTTTTTAGATTGCACGAAACATTTTTACCATTTTCTGATAAAATGTTCACCAGAAAATACGAAACATTTCTACATTCAAGCTTGTTTTATAAATTACAACACTGGTTGCAGTTTCTCGACAATTGTTCTGCTTAAAGTAGTGAAAGTTTCTGGGTTTTTGAAAAACTTCGTCTAGGAATCTTAAATATCCGCTAGTGCGAAATTAGTTTCGTAGAATCTGCTGAACTTATTTTTTCCGTGTAACAATAATTAAACAAATCATAGCCTTATCCGATTAAAAAATATAAACTTGAACGAAAGTTACATTTTTTCAAAAAATTCGAAAAATCAAAAAAATGAAAAATTTTTATTTTTATAAAATGGATGCAAAACTATCCTTAGCTAACTTTTTTAGATAAATACAACCCATTTCTATACTAAAATTTCAAAAAAAGATATAATAAATTCCTCATAGAGGAAGTATTGTAATACCGAAATTTTTTGAGTTCGATTTTTTGACATATCTTTATGTTATTTGACCTCAGAAGTTCAAAAATGACATTTTTAAAAAATGTCATTCCGTATGTGTGTGTGTGTGTGTGTAAACATCACATTTTCATAAATATCTCGGAATCATGAAGAGCTTTTGGGTTGAATTTTTTTTTAAATTGTAGATCTCACCTGCGGACATAAAGCGAGAGTACTTTCTGATATATTAATAAAGTTTAACTAAATTTTTTTTTGATTTTTAATTTTCCAAAAAAACGTTTTTTGCCCATAACTTTAAAAAAATGTTAGGACACCTATAAATGTTTTTTCATAAGGGGCCGTCCATAAACCACGTAGCCCCATTTTTTTTAAATTTTGATCCCCCCCTCCCCCCATGTAGTACGCTATTACATGTATTAGCGCCATTTTTTCCTCTTGTCGTAGTCAATTGCTTGACCCCCCCTCCCCCTCAAGAGGCTACGTGGTTTATGGATGGCCCCTAATTTTGTAGAGTTTTTTTAGACGCATCTTTTGAGCCCTAATTGAAAATTTTTCGTCCATATTAACCGGAGTTATTGAACTTTTAAAAATTAAAAATTTTGGAAAATAAGACTTTTTTGAAAATTTTGTTGAAAAACATTGAAGTAACTTTAAAATTATCGTTATCAACTTGTAGAGCATTAAAAAACGCTTCGATTGACCTATTTTTTAACCTAATTCGATAATAAATTTCTAAATTATTGGTATTTTAAAATCCAAAAATTGTGAAAAATGACATTTTCTCAACTTTTTTGTTTGAAAATTTTTGTTTAACTATTAAATTATTGTAACTATCTTGTAGGGTATTTAAAAATAAATTGATTGACCCAAAATTCAATCACTTTTACCATATTTATAAAAAGTTATTTGTATATTTCTATTATTTTTATCTCTATGAGGAAGTAAAGTGTTCATGAAATGAGCACCAAAATTATACAAAAAAATATACAACTTGGCAGCGGTTTTTTTGACATTTTTTTCGTTTTTTCTGATCAAATTTTTTCTACAAAAATGATGATTCTTGATTTTTAAACAAGCTTTTTATGGAAAGTTATTAAACTTTTTTTATTTAAAGACCAGTATTTAAAGCAAGAAATTTGCCTCATTGGACCAAAAAAATTGTTTCAATATTCAGTTTTTAAAATCAAGAAAGTTATGCAAAAGTTAACAAAAAAATTTTCATATGAATTAAATGTATCACTGCTACTCAAAGGGTTAAATATTAATTAATTATTGCATTAAGTTGGTATTGATATTTTCTAATTAATCAATTAATTTGTTTTCTTGGTAATTTTAATTTCAATTTTATCATAAAAATAGAAAAAAATAGGAATTTTAAATCTAAAATTTAAAAGTTTAAATATTTTTACCCATAAAAATTGAAAATATTAATATCTAATTTTTTTGATTTTACCTACTTATTACTTTTAAATAAGATGTTTTTTGTTTTTACAAATTATGATCCAAGATAATTTAGTAATACTGAAATGAAAATGTTTCATATCTTTTATCAAATTTAATTAACAAGAATTTTTTTAGTTTTACTAAGCTCCTGGAAAATAATCCCGAGTAGAAATTTTGACAGGGGCCTGGCCGGGTCCAGACCTATGGGTGAAACAAGGAACCCGGCCGGCGCCATGGCGCAAAGCCTGATTTGACGACACAGAAAATAAAAAGTGTTATTTTAACACCGAATTTGGTGTTAAAATAACACGCAACAAATTAAACCGTTATAGGTGGCGCCACATTCTATGTCGTTTAACATTGGTTAATTTAACACGCAACAAAAATCATACCAACTTTTTTCTAGTGGAGCTGACAGGTCGGGTCCCGGTCGGGTATTCCCGGTTTCATGCGGGGTCAGGGCCCTGTTAGGGCAATTTCTGCACGGGATTTAAAAACTTGCCAAAAACAACTAATAGTGGTTACCTCCACGTGGTGCTTCTCGGAAAAAAAGATAATAAATGGTTTTTTCTTTATACCTCGGTCGAAAGTACGTACTTCCCGCTTAGACTTCGCAGCAGAAAGTCAAACATTTAAGGGCATCCGGGAAAAATCGAGCCCAAAAAGTGTTTTCCCGCGTGTCGTCTTACTCCCAAATAATTAGAGATATTTAGTTCCGATTTATCATTATAATTAGGGGAATTCGTGATGATAAAGAATATTCTCGAAATTTGCAAGTAATTTTTGAAATAAATATTGAAAAACGAAATTACAAAAGTTGGATTTTTGGCGAAAGTGAGAGACAATATGGCGGCGAACACACAGACAAGTGGATCTATGTGTCAGTGGTCAAGGAGGTGGCGCCAATTCTCGGAAGTGGTCGCGACTCGAACTGAGGAAATGTATTAATCTCAAAATACTCCACTTTCAATCGTTAATAAAATAATTTCCTCGCAAAATTATTGCAAAAACGGAGAGGGCCGCTTCTCGGAGAGTCTTCCTCTATCACCCCTCCAAATATGAACCCGAAATATTTTATCCTCTCAAAATGAGACGTCTATACTGAACCGTTCAAAACCCCTTTTTTCCGTATATTTAAACAATTTTTTTCAATAATTATTTATCAAAATTTCTCTAAATTCCGAGAGAACCGCTGGTCCCAGAGCATTTCTCTATATTTACCAAAAAATCCCGATTCAAAATATTCTTTTCTTTTTAAATGAGACGTCTATCACGAAACCATTATTTTTTCCCGGATGCCCTTCTTTCGACCGTATATAAAGAAAAATAGTATACATTACACGGGCAGAAATTTCGAAGCCCTTCACAGTGCGATGATGCCCTCGGCTTCGCCTCGAGCATCATTTCGCACAGTGCCGGAATTCGAACTTTCTGCCCTTATAATGTAATGTACTATTTATAAGCTCCAAGTGTGAAATTCCAAGACTGCAAAACGGGCCCGTCAACACTGAAAAAATTACATTTTGGTACGTTGGTAATTTCAGTTTCAGAATATTGGGACGTTGCTCGGCTCAGTAATGGCACATTAATAGCAAAAATTTTGTATCTGCTATGATGGCAAAATACAATTGCCAATATTATGGGACGTACCTCGCCATAATAATATCACAATATCGATAAATAGTGTAGCTTATAAAACCATTAAGCTTTCTTGACTTCACATCAGAATAGCAAAGTGAAATAAAAGACGTATAAATATGATAAATTAATTAGTTAATTAATAAAAAATGTAATAATTTATATTAGTTTTTGTATTTTGCCAATACTGGGTAAGTAATGGCAGTCAATATTGGGCCATTAACGTCTGCCGACGTCCAACTATAATTAACACCACAAGAGTCGTCCCAATAATATCGGCCAAGACTAGGTGACAACTTTGCCAGTACTGGGCCGTTATTAAGCCATGATGGTTTTCACACTTAGGGCGATTTTAAATATTCTAAACATTATCTTTTTACTTTTCTTAAAATTTCGTTTTCTTCTTCATTAATTAATATTAATAATCATCAACAAAATTAGTTTAAATGTAGTTGGTTAAATACTAATCAATACTCAATATGGAAAACTTTAAAAATACTAAGAAACACGTCGAAGACGGGTATCGTAGCTATTAATATATAAGTAGGAATAACAATAACTAATAATCCGTCGAAGAAGGGTATCGCAGCTAGTTTTTAATAAGTTACAGTAGCAATATTCTTAAAAATTATTCGATTTTAGAGGATTTGAAATTTTTATTTTTCTTGAACCTATAGAAAAATAATGGATAATAATTAAATATTTATTTCAAAAAATCTATTTAAGTTCCAAACCAAATGATTTTGGAATTAAAAAAAATGTATTCTAAACATATTTTGGAGTTTCAATTATTTTTAGAGTAAACTAAAATTTTTTTTTAGAATTACTGTTAGAATTGTTATGGAAGTTTAGAGTAAAAATAATAGAAGGGTTGAATAAATGATAAGATGTATCTTTAGTTTAAAACACTCGTATATAACTGTTTATTAATAAAAGCAAATGAGCAATCAAATTGAGATACAAAGTCTTTGAGGTTATATTAAGCAATGACAAAAATAAGTTTGAGATGGTTCTGTCAACGACTCTGGCGAGTTACTGAATTGACAGTGTACATCAAGCAATGTCCTATTAGGTTCGGGTCTAAATCTACCTAGGACGACCGTCATAACACTTTCCTGATGTTGTATCCTTTTTCAGCTAGTTGGTTATATCGTTGCAATACCAACATTTTTAAATTTATTTTCAGTCATTCTTTAAGACCGGGAAAAATAATTCATGACCGGGAAATGACCGTGAATTTTTTTTATGAAAAAAAGTGGCCACCCTTAATTAATTTAATATATGATGAGCACATGTTTTCTATTCTTCACAAGTGAAAAATGTTCTTAACTTTAATCAGAAAAATAATTTTTGAACATAAGTCTTTGTTAAGATATTGAAATATATTTCAATATCTTAACAGCTAACTAATTTTTCAAAGTTACAGACATGACGTGACGCGTCAAAAAATGTTCCAGGTGGACACTGATAAGGAGCATTTTGATATCTGTCTCCGATTTTATTACAATAATAAAATTTACTGCAGTCCTTGTGATGTCGAACGTATCCAGAAGTTTGGCATCCCAGTAAAAAAAAACTAATTCAAATGAATTGAAACGAATTAACATTTTTGGTAGGCTCCAATTCGTATTTGTCACAAAGCGGGATTCACTCAAGCTCTTTGTATATTCAATTGAATTTAATTCAATATGTACCAATTTGTCCAAACGAATTCGCATTCGAAAGAAATGGCCAAGGAATGCATTGAATTCGTGCTAACGAATTGAAAAAAATTAAAGGCTCAAAACTTGTCCAGTGAATTGGTACGGATAGAAGGTTCGGAAGTTCAATACAGTTTCACGAATTCAGGAAAATTGCATCATGGCTCCAATTCGTATTTGTCACAAAGCGGGATTCACGAAAGCTCTTTGTGAATTCTTTTTAATTCATTTCAATTAGTTTTCGTTTACTGGGATATGTCGTCACCAATGGCAGGAGTAGTTGTTGGTGGTGATGATTCTTTACGCAAAACATTGTTTAACGTCTTTAAAAGAGGGTATACCTCTCCGCAAATTCCTCTGAAATCATCTGTATCAATACTCCGTAACATTGCACCTCCTAATCCCATTTTTATTACATGTTCCGCTTTTATTTTCAACGATCTTTAAGAGAAAAAATGTTAAAAATTACATACTACAAATGTAGCAACTTTAATATTTTGAAAATCTATCTACTTACCGCACGTCATCATATCCGACCCATTGATTACCACCGTAAGAGTATGGAACTTTTTGTTCATCATCGAATGCAATTGTCCATCCATCATTTTTCTGGAGCTCACAGATTTCATTATATCCCAACATACCCGCTTCTCTGGTATATTTTCCAGCTGTTCCAGGACCACTGAAAGAGTCACCAACATTGTGTTTATTCGGATCTACCAAAGTGAAGGATCTGCCGTAAAAGGCGGTTCCAAGTATTATCTTTTCAGGAGAAGCTCCCTGATCCAACCAGTATTTTACTATAGCTTCCTAAAATAAAGAAACAATCTATTTATTATTTATACAATTTCCGGAAGGAAACACGAAGCTTAATTACTTCAACTTTTTGGAAACAAATAAATAAAAAGAATAAGTAATCGCTTATACGCAATTTGAAGCTTACAATATTCCAAGAAGCTAGTTGCTGGTCTTCTTTGGATGATGATCGGAATGGTGCATTTATTCCGACTCTTTTGGAACTATCCCAAGATCCACGTAGATCGTAAGCCATTACGTTGATGAAATCAACATATTTTGACATTTCTCTAATGTTGTACGATTTACCGGCAGACGATGCAGTGGCAGCTACAGCAACACTTACAAGATATCCTTCGGGAGTGAATTTATTTTTGAGTTCTTTCAGGAGCATTGCAAAACTGTTGACGTCCTCAGCAGATCCGCCACGTTGATTAGGATATTCCCAATCCAAGTCTAACCCATTGAAACCGTGTTTCTTGACAAATTTCAATGCGTTCTCTGCAAATGCAGTCCTTAAATGCGACTGTCGGAAGACACTATAAAAATTAAAATATCATAAAGTTATTTATTTATGAAAGAGGAGTCGATGTTATCATGGTAATAACCAAAAATATTGCTTAAAATGTTTAATGTATTTGTGGATATAATATTAATATACCATCTTTAACATTTACAACACTTATAATAAGCATAGTATTAATGATTTTTTGAATTTAAATTGTAATTCCATGTTTAAGTCAAAAACAGAATTTGTATATTACGTACTTTGAGTATTTTGTAGATCCTTCATTCCATCCTCCGATAGCAACCAAAGTTTTAAGATTTGGATTCTTTTGACGAAGAGCATTAAATATACCAAACCCATTTTGTCCAAAGTTATCCGCTAAGTCTTGCAATGGATCTAAAACTCTGATATTCGCATCCTCAGATAGTCCAACAAATGTGTAAATTAAGTGTGTACAAAGGTTTGGGTCAATATTGAGAATATGAAACTTTCCATATGACGACCGATATATTGACCAACTACCGTAGTAGCAAACAATTTTTTCTGAAATAAGTTTGAGATAAAATACATCAATGAAGAAGAGTAGTGTCTAAAATTAATGTAGGTACATCTGTTAATTGGAGTATAAATGAAAACCAAATGAATTTTATTTATATTTTAATGCAGTATAACTTACTTTCTCCATTTGTACCACTTAACGCAATTGATAGAAATGCTAATGTCGATATAAACCACAACATCTGTAAAATTAAATTTATTTTTTATTAGAAATTGAAAGTTTTACTTTCCAGTAAAAATAAGTATTGAGTGGAGCCGTTTTGAATTGGAAGTTAGCATAAGCCAATTCGGATAATAGATTAAATACGTATAAAGCGCGATAGTGTAGTTTACACTTTTAGTGTCAATTAGATTAACTATTTCCGTTCTGAAGATAATGCAATTTAATTGATTTGGTTGTTTAACGTTTAGCCCTAATCTACCCTAATGTTTATCAACATTTCTAATTTTCTTATAACTTAAAAAAATTTGATTTCATTTTAAGTATTTTCATAAAACACATCAAAACCAAAAAGTTGCTCAGGATTCTTTAAATATATTCAAATAGTTCAAACTCTTAATAAAAACGAATGCATATGGGTAATCAAAAAAATTATTTTTTCGAAAAACAACCTGATTTTTGTAATCGAATTAGAATTTGCATGAATATTTATACAGACGAATTACGCTTGGTGTCAGTTAGTAAAATTTTTCTGTAATCTTAATAGAAAATCCTTAAAATTCTTAAAATTAATAAGTTACGTTAATGGTTGGAATTACTAACTAAACAGCAGAGCTGGGTAAAATGGTTTTTAAAACCTATTTAAGATGGCATTTTTAATAGTTTTTTTCCATTTGAAATGCCATTTTAAATAGGTTTTAAAAACCATTTTACCCAGCTCTGCTAAACAGTAACAGTATTTTTTTCAGCGACCTAATCTACCCCCAATTCAAATTTGCACCAAGTTCTGGTATAATTCCTGGTTAGGATTATAACTATACATTTATAACACGAGAATTTGATATAAAGAAAATGATTATTTAAAATCTTACCTTAAAATTTTTATAATATCCAAAATATTATCCAAGAAAATTAGTTTATCTTACAAATTCTCATGCAAATCAAGTTTAATTTTTGACTTATTTACCAGTTTATTAAAAACAAATCAATAAATGAATTTACAAATCAATTAAATCAATAAATGTATAATTTTATTTTTTACTTTGTCATTTATTTGAAGCGACAGTTTATTCATAATAAACTTTAACACGCATTGATGATCCGCTTTTATAGACTTGCTAATTATATGTATTTAATAGGACAATGCATTTTGCATACATAGATAATAATTTTAATTGCATGACAACTTAATATTAATGTTATCACTAACAGGAAATTACAAAAGTTTATTTGCATTTACTTTGTTTAGCAAAGTATACAATTAATAGTAATTTTTTGTGAAAATATTTTTTCAATTAGTTCAATATTTTTCGAGGGGGAGGGGGTGAAAGTTTGGGGTTTTACGGTACAATGCTTATTTTGATAATTTTTCACTCTTAAGCAATTGAATAAAAAACTTTGTCAGGGCGTACAGTTTCGATAGATTTTTTCATGCTCTTTCGATTGGCAATAAGCATTTTCAGAAAATAAATTTTTTTGACCTAAAAAAATTAAAAATAAAAAATAAATTTGACTTTTTGAGGGGGAAGGATACGATTTTTTTAAACGAAAGCTGAGGTTTTTTTTACTAAAAGGACATATAAATGAAAAAGTGGGCCTAGAATGTTTAAGCACTGAAAAAAGAGTTTTCTACTGACCGGAGCGCTGCGGACTGCCGCGCGACCCGGTTTTTTTCTCGGTTTTGTTTTTTTTTTTGTTTAATCTATCGAAACTGTACCCTGACAAAGTTTTTTGTTTAAATGTTTAATAGGAAAAAATTATTTAAAAAAAGCATTGTACCGTAAGACCCCTTGATCACTTGACATTAACAATTACATTTTTCGATGAATTTGATTAAAATTATATTAAAAATAATTAAGACTCTGGGATGAGTTTTATTTATGAAAATAATTAAATTATTGCAAAGAAATTTATAAAAATTTTGTAAATAATAGATTTCATATGAAATTAAAGAAAATTTTTGAAAATAATTGAAATTTTGACGAGAATATAAAAAAATTCTTGAACATAATTGAATTTCTGCAAAAAATTTTATTATACTTTTGAAAATAATTGAATTTATGCAATCAGTTATAATTTTTCCAAAAATCAATTTATTATTGGGAGGTTTAAAAATGAAATTTTGTGCAAAGTTAGCAAAGCAGTCAAAATTTTTGGTCACAATTTTTTTTTGTTTTTTTGTTACTTGCAACAGGAATTTGTCGTAACAAAGTGATTGAATCATTCGTAAAGTAAAACTTAAGTCTGTGGAAGAAAGGCATAACAGCATAACTGCATTTGTCATGATTTTGAGATAAATTAATTTTAATGTTCTCTCACTTCTGTCAATTCAGAAAATCAACAGATTTGTTCGGTCTTTTGCATTTAGTATTATTATTTAATATATTTTCAAAATTCTTTTATAACATTTAATAAAACACACGATTTGATATAAATTTTGATAATTTTTCATCGGAATCATGAGTCTTATTGCACTTATGCGGTTATGCAAGTTCAGATTGTATATGAGTCCAACTTCAGACACTTTTAATGTCACAATTTATTTTGGTTTGATTTGTCATAATAAAAAAATTTTTCATACAAAGACAAATTAAACTATTAATTCGTTAGAAAAAATTATAAGAGTTTATTTAGTTATAAAATTTATTTTTTTATAAAATGTTTTTAATTTATTGAAACGAGAAAAAAAATTTACTTTACTGTTCAACTTAAAGAATTTTTTAATTTATTTTTTTAAATACTTTCCAAAATTTTTTAGAATAAAAATACGCTTAAAAATAAGTACATAATTAAATGCACAATTTATGCTATAAAAAATTTGTTCCAGTCTTATTAAAATAAATATATTTAATCTAAAGTACGAAAAATGTATTTTACTAAAAACATTTTATTGCAAAATTCTTATTGTTTTTATTCATAAAGGTTATTTTCATTTTTAATTATGTCAATTGTTTTTTAATCTGAATGCAGTTATGTTATTATGCTGGTCTCCTTTTGTCAAAAACGCAATTATGCGATTATGTTTTCCATTATTTTCTACATTAATAACCATTTTAATGATTTTTCAGCTATTAAACTTTGAAGAGCAATATTAAATATATACAAATCTGATGTTATCTCAAATTTGATAAAAATGTCAGTTATGCTGTTATGCCTTTCTTCCACAGAAGTAACATTTAAAAAAATTTTAATTCATTCATTTTTTGAAGGCACAAATATGAAATTTTATGAAAAGTTAGCAAAGCAGTGATAATTTTTGTAAATTTTAATATTTAACAAAATTCATTTTTCTTACTAAAAGAAAAAATAAGCATAATTTTTATTTTATAATTATAATTTTTGCACAAAATTTTGTTTTTTTTAATATTTGGATTATTTTTTGTGATTACACATGTGTAGGTACCCGTTTTTATTGTTAATAGGCATTATTATTAATTATCTATTGATATCAGGAAAAACTACACGCGCGCTTTAGCGCGTGTTTTTTTAGCTGTTACCTATAATAATTTTAAAAGATAACATTTTTATAATTTTTCATAAATAAAGTTTGCTACTTATTCATATTATTTATAAAAAAAATTTTAAATACAAATTTCATAAAACTCGATTATTTTTTTAATTTTTAAATAAAAAATAATTTTTTCTCGACAGTTTTTCAAAAATTGAATTATTTAAAAAGTAAATTTTAAATCTGTAAAGTCTAATTATTGTTAAAAACAGGAAGAGTTTGAAATAAATAAAATCTTTTCAATGCTGAAGAATAACATTCAGAATTTTCTTATTAATTCATGAAATTGTATATTATTTCAGCACTTTTGACAAAATTCACTGACTTTTTGCTGATTTCCCTGAATAAAGTTAGAAAAATAATGATTTTTTGTAGAATCCTTCTGAATAATTGAATTTTCGAATGTCAATGACATGAAAATATTATTAATTAATTTTGACTAGAAAACTATTATAAACAAAATAAGTAATTAATTGTAATTAAATGTAATTTATTTTTGATAATTAATAAGTCTATGAACAGTAGTCAATCTTTAAAGATAACATGCTTAACGGAATAAAAATTTAAATCTTATTTTCATGTGACATGTAATATAAAAATTACGTTATTGTTATATATGTTAAAAGTGAAAAAAAAGTCCTTATTAAGAAAATAATCTTTATAATTAAATAATTAATTATTATGTGTCGAAGAATTATCATAGTGTTAAAAATTTTGTATGAAAGTTTGTGTGTCGTCTCATAGATGACACTTTCATCCGTAAAGTCGTAAACTTCTCTTAAGGGCATCCGGGAAATAATACTGGTTTCGTGATAGACGTCTCATTTAAAAAGAAAAGAATATTTTGAGTCGGGATTTTTTGGTAAATATAGAGAAATGCTCTGGGACCAGCGGTTCTCTCGGAATTTAGAGAAATTTTGATAAATAATTATTGAAAAAAATTGTTTAAATATACGGAAAAAAGGGGTTTTGAACGGTTCAGTATAGACGTCTCATTTTGAGAGGATAAAATATTTCGGGTTCATATTTGGAGGGGTGATAGAGGAATTTCACTCACCGAGGAGCGGTCCTCTCCGTTTTTGCAATAATTTTGCGAGGAAATTATTTTATTAACGATTGAAAGTGGAGTAATTTGAGATTGAGACATTTCCTTAGTTCAAGTCGCGACCACTTCCGAGAATTGGCGCCACCTCCTTGACCACTGACACATAGATCCACTTGACTGTGTGCTCACCGCCATATTGTCTGTCACTTTCGCCAAAAATCCAACTTTTGTAATTTCGTTTTTCAATATTTATTTTAAAAATTACTTGCAAATTTCGAGAATATTCTTTATCATCACGAATTCCCCTAATTATCATGATAAATCGGAACTAAATATCTCTAATTATTTAGGAGTGAGACGACACGCGGGAAAACACTTTTTGGGCTCGATTTTTCCCGGATGCCCTTAATTGTTGTATTTTTTAAATTGTTTAAGAAAAGAAAATTTTTCATCGTAATTAATGTTAATATTATAGTTGATAAAGATTTTAATTACCTTTAATTTACTTTCTTTAATGTATTTGTACGTTCATTTGAATGTATAGAAAAAGTAATTTTTTGTTTACAAAAAAATTACAGAAGATATGAATTCAAACGTTTATTAAAATTGGCCTTACAGTCTATACTCTATACTAAATGATTTGATCTAATAACGTTGGGTTGTCAAGTTACAGGGGCTTAGATCTTTTTCAGCGATACATCGAATTTTTGAGGCGGAAGAGCAGAACTTTTCGTCTAATATAGTTGAAGAAGAAAAGTTGTATTTTGATTGAAGAAAAGGACACGTCAAAAATACATTTTTCAATGTGTTTTTAGTTCAGCACTGAATTTAGAATTTTATATTTCTACATTTCCACACGTATGAAATTGAATTAAAAAAAATATTATATATAATTAATATAATATAATTCTTCTCTTTGACAAACTCCTTTAGTATAATATTTAAAAAGCATATGAAATATAAACGACTCTACATTCTGTTAATCGCTTTTTAATTATAAACTCCTCGAGAAAAAAACTAAGATAGTTAATTGTAAACGTTAAATTAAAGTGTAATTGTATCATATACATTCTATAACATTCAAAGAAGCTTTTCACTTGAAATTATTAAAGTTTTATGGGTGAAAATAATATAAATGGTTAATTTTTGATCTCATCCCGGTAGATGCTGGCGATAATTGAGCAAAAGCTAACAATATATTTGATTCAGCTTATTAATTTTATGTACCAGAACGTTGACAGATTGCATCGTTAAACGGTAGACAAGCAGATGATCTGTCCAATTAGTCAAACATAGAGGTTCTTTCAATGGATAACTGTATGCAGTCTTTTACAGTGCGTCGATCAAAAGCTTTGCGTATATCTGCGCGCTCATAAACCTCTCTTTTATTCTTCAAGCACAAAGATTAGAGACCTGCACCTGTTATGTAGAGCAATGAATCATCGCAGACTTTATAATTTA